AGGCATCCCTCCACGTAGGCAGATAGTCCTAGTGTGCTTTGCCGTAATCTCAATAAACCAATCCAAATCTGATTTTGTGATTTTGAACATAGAGCACCGAAGGTAGTGACATTCACTTCGAATGGTGCGAATATTGTCATACAGTGTATTGTGAAGAAATGTAACTATTCTTAACCATTTCTTTTATTCGCCATGTTTGGTACCAAAGAACTATTGCCTTAAAATGTTAAATTTCACCTTAAAAGGCTAAAATATTGAAAAACGTTTTAGATATTTGGAAAAACATCGAGTGGAATGAAGGAAATGCCAGCAGTTGATTTCCATAAAAATATGGAGAAGCTCTATAAGTATGCTGAAATATGATTAGCTAATAAAGCATTAAAAATACAGGATGTAACACAATTCATTGTCAATTTTCGTAATAGAATGTGCAGTGACATTTAAGCTCGGAAACACAGTAAGTACGAAGGGCACGGCGAATGAAAAGTCGCTTTAATCATGGATATTTTACAGAAAATACAGTTTGATTTACAAGAATTGTTCAAGTAAACGGCCATCAACTACAGTACATGCATGACAAGGACGGATCTCGTTTACGTGATGTAAATTAATGTGCTTCATAATTACGATATTCCGCTTCGCATTTCCTATTCACCACAGTTTATATTACTAAAATTGTTACTTTTACCAAATTCTATCACCCGCAAAAAAAAAAAAAAAACATTCATTATGTTACACACTGCATAGCTGGAAGGAAAAGCAATGACAAAACTATTTCCTTCAAATTTCCATTTTCTTATGTATATTGAGTCTTGGAATTTTATAGACACTCTATTTATTCTTTGCTGAAATATCCAGCTATTTCATTTTGTAAATTGTAGGAGGAATCCAATGATTCCATTGGAAAACGTAATGCAACCTGTTCTGTATGTATGCGAATCGGTAACAGGTCTGAATGTAAGTTTTTAACAGGTATTATATAATTTTGATATTCTTTTGAGAATTTTTAGAAAATTGTTTTGCATTAGGCATCGAGTTTGGAATCTTTATTTTCCATCAAACAACGGAGAGATTTATCAGCGGACATTATAGGAATCTCAGTTATATGTACTGAAATTATGAGTTTTTACAAGTAATATAAATGCTTTTCGTATGATACTCTTTTTTTTTTTTTTTTTTTTTTTTTTTTTTTTTTAGATTACGCTTCTAATGCGACTATCCAAAATTTATAATTTTTGCTTGTGAATATTTGCATTTTTGTTGTTTATTAACATCCAAGCTAGCAGCTGGTATCCTTTCTCAGACATGCCATACCAGTATTCAAATAACCTTTAATCTTAGTTAACAAAGATAACATCTTTTAAGCAAGACTCGATTTTGTAGCCATTAAATGTTGAATTCATCAGACGTTCAAGTGTAATTGTTTGTATAGCTTATTTCTTTGCTACACGTAAGTAAATTATTTGGGGTAGAACAAACAAAAAGACCGTTCTCTAATGGTGGACAATCAATCTTCTGTTAAAGGTTTTGGATAAAAAATCACAGAAAAAGGATTCTTAGTTTAATCCCAGATGATGACAGCAAATGTGACGTAGATCGTTATCAAAGCGCTGAGAACTTTAAAATATCCTAATCATCAAATACGAGATAAGTTAAATTTTAATTAGTTGGGTAGTCAGTCACGGCAGACCACACAAGCGTTGTCATCCACCGTATGGGAAAACACTTCGTAAATTCTATCAGGAAAGTCTTGAGTTCACACTGTATCTGGAAAGTATTTGGAACCAGAGCCAATGCGCTCTTGAAATAGAATTCAAATAAGTTTATGGATTCATATTAGTTTCCATCGTTACAGAATAATAATATTCGAAGTCTAAATCAATGTACATAGTTGCAAAGATAGTGCACATTTTAAAATCCCCAATAAAATAATTCCATATCTTAAACTGCGAATGAAAAATTATATTTTCCCCAGTAATCGTCGAAAGCAAAAGCAAATTGATTTTCATGGCCATTTTATGATAATCGTCTATTTTTTTTCTAATTGAAAAACTTCGTTGCACTAATGATAATGATTTCTTTTCATCAAAATTCATTATGCTACCAAAATTTCTAATACTACCTCAGCACGGAATCTTATTTATATATTGAAATCCACACACATTTTTTCCCTTGATAGTTGATACTTGGCTTAAATATTCACTGGTGAAAAAATAATTGTTACATTCCAGTGAGAATACCAAAAAAAGCTAATTATAAGTATGCTTATCTAATGTTTCTTCCTGTTTAAAGTAGAAATATGATAGAATGGAGGAAAATAATTCATAGAAAAAGGTCAAGACGCTTATCCATAAGTCAATATTTTGTGTAGATGCATTCTAGGAAAATTTCACGTAGCTGGCTATAATTTAGCGACAGCCCTGTGAGCATGAAATGAAAACTTCTCTCTTTGTGGTGTCATATCATTCCGTTAATGTATCGAAGTGTTTACCTCGCCTTCATAAAGTCTCATGATAGCAAGTTAGTATATAGTTTTATAGTCAATCTTTACTGTCATCTTAATACTTTTGACGCATTTTTATCGGATAATTTGTCGTCGAGGGATGAAATTCAGGTGTGGTTTACAAAGAAACTGCCTTCTATCCGTTTTCTCCGAACAGAAAAATCGATTTTGTGCAATTATTATGTAGCGGATAAATCGAAGTACGAATTTCTAACGGTTTATTGATATTTATTTAACTATTCATGAAATACTTTTTTTAACATCTTTGTTTTTTCGTGTTACGGTGCTTTGCTCTTAATCGGTTCTCATTAATACAAAATAGTTTTTAAGATGCTGCTTTGCATAAATTATGAATGGTTAAAATAATTACATTTTGTTTTTAATAAATAATTTATTTTAAGAGTGAGTTTTTTGTTTTTTGTTTTGCTTGTTCAAACAAGTGTGTATAAAAAGCATAGACGTTAATGATTTTTAATTTTTGTGCGTAGTTTGTTAGACATAGCTTTGATTAAATGCACTTGTAGGTTATTAAAGAACGGAGATGTTTTATAACTGATATGCGTACAATTTTCATTAACATTGGACATGGCAAGTACTATTGTGTCTAGAGTTAAGTCATTTAGACCTTAACTCGAGTTATTTTTCCAAATATTGTAGATCTTGATTATCTCTCTCTTTTTAAGAAATAAGATTAGTTTTCCGCAGTGGCATTCTAGAGCTTTTGCTCTTCCTGGAGCGGTCCTTGCGTTTACCGCTTCTCTTGATATACGAACAAATAACTAAACGATATATAAGGAAATAAATAAACATCTACATTCATTTTTGAAGAAAAACTCTAATTCCAACATTTAAATTATTATTTGCTTGTTTCTTCATTTGCAAAAGCATCAATGACATAGTAGAGGTCTACTTAATCGCTCCAGAGTCTACTATGTAGACGTTAGAAAAAATCTCACAAATGCAAAATAAACATTTGTAGACCCTTTAAATGCTTCTTAAAATGATTTTTATGTAGAAAACTTTTCTCAGAACTAGCAATTTTGGGGTAAGTTCGCAGTAGTATTATAGTATTTAGAATTTTATTGTGGGAAAAGTAATTTAGAATAAACTGCAAAAATTCAAAAGGCTTATCTTTCACGTTTGTGCTTCTTTTCCCTAGCACTAATGAGAATAAAACACTCTAAAATACTTTTCTCTTAAAGAAGAATTTTTCCTTATTAATATCATAGTGATGAAAATATAGTTGATATTCCTAATTTTCATTTAAAAGTTTTGACGCAATAAAAAGGATGTAAACAAGTATGTAGCTGATGAAATCATAAGAGAATTTGTTTGAATACCTTAGCTAGAGTAAAAATTCTTTGTCATCTGAAATTAATTCCGTATGAAAAATTAGAATTTAATTAGTCTTCACCTGCCGCGATGATCCGCGTCACTAACCCCTATAAAATAATGTTTCGTTTAAAAAATGCCGCTCCTAAAAATATATTGCCCAGGTCGAATCCCCCCTTTTCCATTTACGTCGTTGATGACCATAGTTTCTTATGTTCTTATTCATTTTCACTTGGTTTCTATCGTTACAGTTAGATCGAAAAACCTCCGAGGAATGTGACGTCACATACTTTATGACTATGTTGATTACAGGGAATAATGTTCAGAGGCGGTCCCCCCTCAAATCCTCTTTTCTTATATGGACTAAGAAATCTAAAATGCAGTATATATGTAAAAATTTAAAATTACAATTACATAGACTGCCGAAAATTTTTTATTTAATTAAATAGAATTTTAAGAAAAAATGAAGTGATGAAACAGAAATTTCAGAAGAATAATTATATGCAATTCATTAAAACTTCTTTTTTCGCGATTTTGATTTAAAATCCGTTATTGTTAGCAGCCGAACGTTTATTTTTATTCGTATAATAAAAGTAATCGAAACGAAAAACGAGAAAACGAACTCTAACAATCGGGAGTTCTCTATAAACAGAACTTTTAATGCTCATTTCCTCTTCATGCGTGCTTCTCCTTCACAAAGCATCTCTCCCCTTATGTTGATAGAACTAATGTGCTTTGCTGTGATGAAAATAATCTAGTCCTATGCATTCTGGATAGGAACAATACCTTAAATACACTGCAGTGCCAGGGCCAGAGCTGATGCAACTTGTGCAGCTTCACCTGGTGGCAGAATTTAGGACTGAAGAGATAGCAACAGCTGGCAAAAAGCCTAATGATGGCTCTGGTTCACTAGTTCAGTGAAAGCAGGGCTGTCTTTATGCATGCAGCCACTGGGCATTTCTCAGGGGTCTCATGTTAATCTGTTTATATTTCATGTACATTTTATTTTAGTGTGTGGTTGTTGTAGGGACCCCAACACAACCCATAATGTTGTAAAGATGGCACCGGTTGAAAGTGCACTAGAATTGAGTTTATTATATTTAGAGTTTACTATATATGTAAATCAGTATTTTGCATTATGGTATTTTGTTTTTTGCTTGCTTAGGATCTGGTACGAAGAGGTATTCCTAATCACATCCGAAATATTGTGTGGCAGTTGTTGTGTAATGCGCAAACTTGCCCTGCACGTGAGCTTTACACAGATTACCTTAAAAGTACATCACCATGCGAGAAAGTCATTCTCAGGGACATTGCACGCACATACCCAGAACATGAATTTTTTCGAGAGAAAGATGGGCCTGGACAAGAAAGTCTGTTCAATGTTATGAAAGCCTATTCACTCCATGACAGAGAAGTCGGCTATTGCCAAGGAAGTGCATTCATTGTGGGATTACTTTTATTACAGGTAAGTACACTGTGGAATTTCTTGTTAAAGTTTTCTCTTATATTTGCAAGAGCCCACACCTCTTGACCTATGAACCTGCTGTGGATCTTTTATGCTATCATATAACCGTTTTAAAAATCATGTTTGAAAAAATATTACAATAATATATTATAAATTATATTAGAAAATATTTATTTCAAGACTGTCACTGAGAGAAAACTTATATTGTCGTGAGAGGAAAATGATTAGCTTGAATGATAATTTTATGGAGCAATAAAACAAAGCTGTAATGAATTGAACTAAATTAGAGAGAATAAGTTCACTTTTAAAACCCTGAAATTGAGTTTATTTGATGTGCATTTTAAATGATAGTTATTAAAACATCTTGAATTTGACACAAATGTTATAAATGTAAAAATGTATTCGAATGTTAAACTATTTAAATTATTCGAAGACATATTTGTATATCTGGAAAAATAGACCTCAGATGTCTTCTTAAAATAATTATTTATCTGTTAACAGCTTATACATAACATGTTGAAATAATGAAAAGCATTTTATTATCTCAGATATATGTTGAAAAACATCTTCACATTATAGAGCAAAATATGGTAATAAATGAATTGAAGTAAATGAGAGAAAAAATAGATGTGCTTATTTTTCATTTTTTACTTCCTTGTATGAAGTAAAGGAAGTATTGTAATTATGAAAAATTCATATTTCAATGAAAATGTCCGTTCTTACTGTTCTTGAATCCATTTGGACGATGTCTTGCATAGCTTAAAAATGAGTAGCCATAGAATTTTGAAATTTTGTATATGGGACTGCAATGTAATACAGCAATAATATGCACTTCCCTTTTTCGTTTTACAATTTTTAATAAATATTGAGTGTTTATATATTTTTGTCTTGCTGTGAATTGAGAACTGAATTGGTTGAATTAGAAATATATTATAATTAAATTCGAGGAATTAAGTTTCAGTGAAGTGCAGCAAAAAATGTGTATTTAATAGGAATGTCTTAATTAATAGGAAGACAAGGAAGTCTTCTAGTGTCCACATCAGATATCTTTTGCCAGAAATTACAATTTTTCATTGGAAGAATGTTTTAAGATTGAGAAGTTTATTCTTTTAAATGCTGTACTTCTTTCAGAAAATGATTCAGTTACATAATAAAAACTGGCAGTGGAATATTTTTAAATCTGAAGATTCATTTCATTGTTTTGTGCATTTTTGAATATTTATGCTATTTTTGAATTAAAAATATATCTGAAATTTCTGTCCATAGTTAAAGTCTTTTAAGTTAAACTAATTGCATATTGAGCGGCCTGAGTATATTGTGTAAAAATTATGTATTTATATTTTGGATTTGATTATATCTTCTTAATTAGATGCCAGAAGAGGATGCTTTTACTGTGATGGTCAGACTAATGGAAGATTACAGGTTAAGGGAAATGTACAAGCCAAGTATGGCTGAGTTAGGGCTGTGCATGTATCAACTGGAATGTATTGTTCAGGTAAGAAGATAATTTATATTATTTATCTGCTGCAGTTATTTATTAAATTTTATCAAATTGCTTCATTCAGTTGCTCATAACTAATGTATTACAGAGGTGAAAACTCTTCTATCAGAAAACAGGATGCTCCCTAAAAATGTATAATTTCTATTTTTAAGTATTGTTGGTTTTTAGGACAATTTTTGTATTTAATACCCTTTCAAAATTTCCCATTTGTGTGATAAATTTTATTATTACTGTATTTTGTCATCAGTTTATTTTTGAATGTGCATATTTATTTGACAAAAAATGAAATAAAATATTACATTGATACTATTTTGACAATTTTATTATTAATTTAAACTCATTTCTGACATACTTATCTGATTTTCATTCATAGTATCATAGTCAGATAATATATTATTGGTTGATTTATAAATATTTTAAAATAAAGTCAGCAATGTTAAATTGAAAATTGCTCTCTCTCTCTCTTTTTTTTAATGAAGAATATTCAGAATTTCTTGCCAATTCACCAGACCAGTATAATGCCAACAATTTTTTATGTTTGTCTGCATACAAATGACAAACATAATAATGTTATTCACTTATAATAAGATCATTGCATGGTTGGTCTTTTTGTGTGTGTGTGGGGGGGGCAGAGGGCTATTACTGTCACTTGTAATACTTGTAATAAGTTAAACTGGGAAATAGGACAATAGGTATATACTGAAAACATGGCCTTTTTGTTGACAATAATGGAATTTGAATTATAATGGAATTTGAATATATGTTAGATAAAATAAGAAATATCATAATAAAAGAGGTAAGCAGCTTTAAACGTGTACCATTTTCATGAATGTAATACATTTAGGTAAGAAAAATACTAAATGCCTTCTTAAGAAACATAAATTTATTTGAAAAATTGCTACATGTTTTAAGATTATGGACAAGATGTATAAAAGTAGCGAATTATACATTTTGAGGGAAATCATGTGGAACATTAATTTTAAGAAGCAGTACAAGGGGTGCTGATAAGTTCCTGGTTTTAATTTCTTCTAGCTGAAATAAAAAAAAACAAGCTCATTTAAAAGTTTGAAACCTTAGTATATAAATATGCAAATATCAGATGTTTCTAACTCAGACATTTTTTTTCTGTTGCAAGTAAAAGCTGATATGGTAGAGTCTACAAAGAAGTTTCATGTCTTCGAGGTTATGATCCATCCTGAAGTTTTTGTTTCTGCAGGAAAAGTCAGAAATGATATTCACACTGGGATATTATAAACACTAGGAGAAACTTGTCCTTCCTACAACACTGTGAAAACTTAGATAACTTGTTTCAAGACTGGCCATTTCATTGTTGAAGATGTGCTGAACTAAAGGTGTCCTTAACTGACAATGAAACATGTGTCCATGAGCTGATTCTTGAAGTCGTGGTACTGAAAAAAGATAGCCCAGCTACTGGACATCTCCCGGGAACATGTAGGGCTTAGTCCCACCATGATCCTAGATAAGAGCAAGCTTTCAGCAAAGTGGGTGCAAAAATGAACAGTGGTCAGTGGAAGGAATGAGTTGTGACATCCAGAGTAGTTTTGACCCATTTTGAAGCTATACAGAACTTTTTAGCTGGGTTAGTGACTGAGAATGAAACTTGACTTCACATTTTTGATCCTGAAACTGAAGAACAGCCATGGCATCACAGCAGGTTCCAATGGCCAAAGAAGTTCCCACCTAAAAATCGGCCAAAAAGGTTATGGTGTCCATTTTCTGGGTCAACCACAGCATTCATTGGTCTATTACTTATCCAAGGGATCTAATATAAACAGACAGTAATATGTTAACTTTCTAGACCAGACAAAGGAAGTAATTAAGAAAAAACATGGAGGGAGGTTGACCCAAGGGATTCTTTTACTGTGTGACAATGCACTTGCACACACATCCACCACTAAGGCTGCCAAATTGGCCTGAGCTTTTGGTTTTCAACTGGTTTGCCATCCCCCTTACTCACCAGACCTTATCTGGTCAGCAGGGAAGATGGATTATCTGTAGGGCAATTATCACTAGACCTTACCCCAGACTTCTCTTCAGGCCATTATCTGTTTTTAAACTTAAAGAAGCACCAGGAGGGTCATCATTTAGAGGACATTGTTGATATCAAAGAGTCAAGTAAAAACTAGTTTTGGGATCAATCAAAGAAATTTTATTTGAGTGAATTAAAAAAGTTACAGCAATGATGTAACAAATAGAATATGTTGGATAAATGTGTAGTTTCAAAACTTTGATTCTTTTTTTCCTAGGCAAAGCATATCTATCCCCCTAATATTTTATTTTTGAAATTTTGATACTCTTATAAGAAGTAATTTTAAGGAATTGTGTTGTATTAAGTAAAACTCTATAAACTAAATAAGTAAGAAAAAGTTAAAGTTTGTTACATAAGTGTGCTGTACTGGTTTAGGTAACTATCTTAGAAACTGCTATGCCATTTGTGGTTTTTCAAGAAATACTTTCATGAAAACTTTGAAATATATAATTTCTTCATACAGCAGATAAGGTACTGTCTGAAGATGTATCAAACTTATTTCTCACATTTTTCTTTACACCATAGGAACAAATTCCAGAACTTCATATGCACTTTCAAGCTCAGAGTTTTCACACATCAATGTACGCTTCATCTTGGTTTCTGACATTGTTTACTTCATCCCTTCCTCTTCATTTAGCTTGCCGAGTAATGGACCTTTTCCTGTCTGAGGTAATTTTATCACTTATAAAAATGTGCATTCAAATTTAGTTAATAATTCTGCACAATTGGAAATGTAATTTAATTTGTTACAGTTCCTATAAATGTTATTTTCTTGGCCAGCAAATAATTTATGTATTATAAAATAATTAAAAAAACTTCATAGCTAATAGTGATAATTTTTTTTTTTGTAAAAAGTGTGTATTAGAAAAATTTAACTGTTCAGGTGTCTGTTAAATTTGATTTATGTTGAGAAATATAAAGACAGAAGAGTACCTTATAACAATATATGTGCTTTGCTAACCTGATTTTATTTTATGAATGTTTTGCATGTTTAAGATAGGAAAAAGTTTTATTGTTGTGTTGAAGGCCGGATTAAGATGTAGAGATGCCATAAGCACTTAAGATTTTTTTTTTTTTAAATCCCAGATACATTTATGCCAATTTTTTTAGCCCATTCCTTTTTCACTTTTGGTTTAGTTGCACCATATTAAAACTGGCAATGATTAATTTTTGTGATGCCCCTTTCCTTGATGCTGTAACCACATACTTATTTTGCTTAATCCAGTGCTGGCTGTGTGGCATTTCCTGTGGTTGTTTGAAAGAGAAATATATCTTTCATAACTGCATGAAAAATACATATCTAGAAAAATTTTTATATCCAAATGTACAGCTATTGTAATTCAAAAATCATCTTGGAAAAACTCTATGAATAAATTAGTTTTATTATATATATGTATAGTAAACTAATTTATTTATAGAGTTTTTCGAGGTAATGTATATATATATATAGGGTGTATCAGTATAGTGTTGACAAAGTTTCAGTAAAGATAGAGTACACCTAGACATTGGGAAATCACATAACAATGCATGGTAGGAAATGCATTCTTGTCGCGGTAGTGATGACTCAAAACGTAAAAAAATCTGATGTTTACACCACATGATTTCCTTGTATGGAATATTAAATTATACACATTTTTTCTTGCATTTCGTTTAAACTTATTATATTGAATTAAACCTACTTCACTGACAGCGCATAAACCACAATAGAATAAATGCATTCTTTAAAATTCACTTTGTTTATAGCGACACTCTGGCGCTAGGTTTACTTAACGGTATTATATTTCGTTCATATTATAACTCAGAATGCACAAAATTTATATCATTTAAAGAATTATCTAATCGTTGCCACATGTTCTATTCAAATACTACACTGACTACTAATAAGTATTTGGACACCTGTGATAGAAAAGAAAAACTAACTTTATTCAAAATCAATAGTTGGTAGAGCCTCCACGAGAGATAATTACAGCGTAGACCCTCCGGGGCATACTTTCCACAAGTCTTTGTATGACAGCTAGTGGTATTTTCTTCCACTCGGCTTGGAGAAAACATAGAAGTTCTTTCACCGATTTTGCACGGGTAGTGCACCCCTGAATTCGGCGATGCAACTCGTCCCAGAGGTTCTCGATAGCGTTCAGGTCTGGACTCTGGGCAGGCCAGTCCATTCGATGAACTCCATTGGCACCATACCAAGCCTTGGTTAACGTCGAAACATGACAACTGGCATTGTCGTCCTGAAAGTAACAGGGGTCCAACCCATAAAACTGCCACAACGTAGGAAGCACATTGTCATCCAAAATAGTGCAGTAGGCATCGGAGTTGAGCTTACTCTGAATGGGGACCAAGGGTCCCAGCCCATACCAGGAGAAACACCCCCAGACCATAATTCCACCTCCGCCGAACTTGACTGTTGGCACAAAGCATTCTGGCAGGAGACGTTCTCCAGGTAGACGCCAGACCCAGACCCTGCTGTCCGAAATCTTAAATGCTTATTTCCTCGAAAAAATTCCAGAAAGGATTAAGCATGATTTAAATAATAAATGAAGGCATTATCTTTGTTGTTGCGAAACTAAGTTTCTCTAGATTGGCGACAAATCCGCTACTCAGCTGTTTCAAATGTAAACAAGAGCAATGGCCGCCATCAAATTAGGCTTAGCGGCACTTAAACAATTTTAAAATTGTTGATAATTCTAAAAATATTGCATACAGATTTACTAAAGGCATAAAACCCTTAACTGAAAGATAAAAACAACATAATTCAATCATTTTTAAAGCAAAAAAAAATGTACAATTTACAAACATATAAGAGTAAAGAAACTGAGATTACTGAGCCGGGTAAAAGAGTGGATGTATTTAGAAATATATTTATATATGTTTGGTGCGGCCGATTGAAACCAAAATACGAGGTGCACATCTACATGTTATAGTAGTCTTATATACAAAATTTCAACGTTCTGAGGTTACTCGTTTTTGAGTTATGCGAGATATGTACGTATGCACGTACGTACGTACAGACGCCACGAAAAATTCTCTTCAGAATTCATTTTAAGGCAGTTTTTTTGTTTTTTTGGAGGAAAAGAGTCTTTTATTCTGTCCTTACGTACAGATATCACGCAAAAACATCGTTAAATTTCATTCGATCAAAGTGGATATTTTCATTGAAATATGCTGCCTGAAGATTTTCGCGATTACAATACTTCCTTTTTACTTCGTACAAGGAAGTAAAAAGGAAGGACACAAACACAGAGACAAAACATGTTTTATTATGTTTAGTACAGCAGAAACTTACAAATAGGAACTAAAACAAACAACAATCGTCATTAAAGAAGGTGTTCGAAATTACGATCCCGGACCGTGATGCAAGCATCATTTTTTTGGCCCATGGTTCCTGCATCACAGTCTAGGTCGTAATTTTGAACACCTTTTTTGATGATGATCGTTGTCTATTTATGTTGTTTTTTCTTTGGTTTTGTTGTACTCCGAAAAATAAACATGTTTTCTTACCTCGTTTTTGTCCTTTCTTTCTTGACTTCTTTGTCATCACTATCGTGTCAGGAAAGCGTTTCTGACCATGCATTCCTATATGATTTCCCATCATCTAGGTGTACTCTATCTCTCCTGAAAGTTTGTCACCGCTGTACTGATACACCATGTGTGTGTATACCTTTTTTCCTTCTTCTTTGTGAGCCTAGAAATCGGTGTTTATTATGTTTTTACTATATTGCAGGGTATGGAAATGATTTTTCGTATTGGAATTGCTATTTTGCAGTACTGCAAAGAAGATTTGCTTCAACATGATATGGAAGGAATGTTAAGAGTAAGTAATATTTTTTTAACTATGTTGTCCTTGTAGTTAGTTAATACTGCTTAACAGAAAGAGATTTATCCATTGTCTTAATACTGCTTAAGACAATGGATAAATTTCTTTCTGTTTTTTTAATTGTATATGTAGAAAGATAATTTACTTGTTTTGACTACATTCCTTCCTTCTGAATTGAGTTTAATATTACTGTATATTTTCCAGTATTTTCAGAAAGAAATGCCTGCCAAATGTGAAGCCGATCCAGATTACTTGATTACACTAGCAATGCAAGTTAAATACAATTCTAAAAAAATGAAAAAGTATGTAATTCTGTCCATGTTTGTGGCATTAATTTTTTGCTTCTAACATTAAAACCGAATCTGTCAATTATATTTATTAAATGTAGCTGCCTCTATTAGTTATAGAGATCTTATAGTGTTTAGCATATGGAACAAGATTTATGAGGAAATATTTTTCTTTTAATTAAGTTCTCTTTCCAAGCATATTAATATTTTAGTTTTTTCACAATATCCAGTTTTTGTATATTTTGAGAGCCATATCTGTGTAGTTTTTAAATTTAACCTGCTGATGTACAAATAGAATTGAAAGTTGATGTGCCTAAAAGCTTCGGAAACAAAACTTATTAGTTATTAATATTGAATATCTTCTATTAAATGAGTAAAATCTGTTGTAATAGGAAACTGATTAAAAGTTAATTCCTTATGAAACTGATATTAAACTATGGAAATTAAAACTTTGTCAAAAGTAACTTTCATATTTAATCTTTAGACTATTACAGTGATTACATTATCTGAAATAGAAAGGAAGGTAAAGCAAGAGGTGTTATTACGCATAGTCGAAATTAGAAAATTGCAACCAGAAAACTATTTGACGTGTATTCATGATATTTATAATGAATATAATCATTATAGTGATTATATATCAATATAATCATTATAGATATATATAATCATTTCTAGTTTTCATAGTTTTCTCTTCAAAATTTTTTCAAATGCTAAATATTATTTTTATTTTTTTGCATTTAAAAATTTTATGTGTTTGTTTTAAAGAACAAAAGTTTTTCAAATGGCATTTTTGTTACATGGATATTATTTTCCATGCTCATGATTTTCCATGCTCATAATATTATTTAGGTACAACTGAGCATCATTTAAATTTATTCATGCTAATATCCCTTGCATTCTTTTATGTCCCAAATGCATTTTTTTATTTACATTTTAAATATAAATAATAAAATTACTAACACATTTCTTGCTATCAAATACAATTATATATAAATGGATGTTTTATGAAATACATAATTATTGTATGTAGTTTCATAGACTTCTTTCTGATACTATTAATTATTTTCAGACCCTTTTGACAATAAAGTTTTTGTAACTTTGCATATTATTAAATTCAAGCAGTTATATGCTAAAAATTACTGTTCTCTCATGTAATATATGAATATATAAATTTACTAAACTTTTCAATTCTTTGAAGGTTAGAAAAAGATTACACTTCCTATAAAGCTAAGGAGCAAGAAGAAATGGTTGAACTTCGAGTAAGGACACTGTTTTTTCTTTGAAACGGGTCATTTTAATTACTTTTTTCTTTTTTTAAAAATTGAATTAAAGTGTGATTACAGCTAGAAACAAGATAAAGGATGCTTTATGATAATTACTTAACTCTTAATCTCAGATATTTTTTAAGTATGTTGACATTATAAAATGCTAATTACTCATGGGCTGTGAAGTAAAATTTCATTTTATTTTGCAGCTTGTGAATATTTTTCACTCATGATAAACCATTTTTGTAATTTTTTCCAGACTCTTTTTCTTTATTTTGTAAATATATATTGTTTAAAGAATAATTAAATCATATATTATATAGTTTGAAATTTTTCGAATTTAGTGTATAAAGTATATTAGTAATAACATACAGGGTGTTATAAAATGACTTACTCTGTGAAGGTATCTTCAGCTAAAACTAATGAATGAAATGAAGCCAAATTTCATATACAGACTGTGAAAGGCATTGAGAGATGAATTCCATGGGAGAAAGCAAAATGGGACCGGAAGTCACCAATAGTAGAGGTTTTGCCTCTGCTGTCACATACGCATTAGGAAATTTGTAAAATTTACGTACATTATGGATAGTGCATGCATTGTCACAGCGATGCTTATTCCTCTTAAAAAGGTAGAGAAAGTTTACAAGCCAGTAATTCTTTGTTTGACCATAGATTTGTGCTTCATGCATCCTATTTTAATGAGTGTGCTTTCCTTGTAAAGCTGTTTTACATTAGGGAGTTCATTGCTGAGGCAGCTCTTTGTTTATTTAGAATTTGGAAGAGTTTAAAGAATTTAGAAGGATTGTTAGCGTGAGTAAAGGTCCAATGTTGGTTGTAAGACATACAGACATGTTGTAAGACATGTTTCTGTTACAGGCAATGCTGTAACAGAAATTGTAATAACAAAAGCTATTTGTTAAAATAAAAGTTAAATAACAGAAGTTATTTGTATAAAATCAGTAACGAGCTAGAACTAAAAACGGCAGATTATGCTAAGCATCTAGCTTTCACGCTAATGTTTCTTGCCCAAATGAAAATTGGCAGTTATTGGTCATGGAAAATATTGTGGAGAGATGAAGGTTATTTTTATCTGAATGGTTTCATCAATACTCACAGCTACTGAATTTGGGCATCTGAATGGCCCATGCTGATCCACCAATGTCATCATCCACCAATTTGTAGAATGCAGTGTCACTGCATTCTACAAAAGTAATCATGTGGTGTGAATTGTCAGACAGTTTCATGATAGGACTACACTTTTTTGAGAATATCTTGCCTACAAGTCATGTTACCTACACCGTTAGTGGTGGGAAATATAGACAGATGCTGCAAATTTTTGTTTTTCCTGAATTACAGCAGAGACAATACTTGGATTTGACAACTTTTATGTAAGATGGAGCATGGCTGCATGTTTTTCATTTAGAACATAACCTTTTACTCGAGTGTTTTGGTAATCAGCCAGTATTTTCCAGGGAAATGGTTGCCTCATTCCCTGGACATCATTCCATGTGACTTTTCGCTGTAGGTCTTGCTTAACAAGTAAATTATAGGTTCAAAAATTTGAGCCGACACTTTTTAAAAACCAACATTTATTTTTCATGCCATTTCTCATTCTACAAAATCTTAAATGCAACTAACTATCAAACAGAAAAGCAGACGTAGACGTAATGTATCTGGGCACGTGATCCTCGTGACAGAGGAATTCTTTAGGGTTGCCACAGAAAGGCAGTGTGTTGCCATAATTCTCTCACCTTTTGAGTGGATAACATAAAACTTACATCAATATTAATGAGGGTTATATAACAAAGAAAATTACTTAATACTTAAATCATATTACTTGAAAACAAAATTAATACTGAGGAATAATATAACAATAATAGCACAACAAAATAAATCATAATAACTCAAAGACATGAATTACATTATTCATGATTATTACAACTCTACCACTACTGGTGGTGAAAGGAACTTGATCATTTTGAGTATCATCTATTATATTATCCAGCTCCATTCTAAACAATCTCTGTATAGGTCTCAAGAACTCTGAATTATTACTTTTTACAAGAGCAACTCTTATGTTGCCATCTCAACCAGGGATCACCCGAATAACGCGTGCTAAATTCCAATATGCACGGATTTTATTTTGATCCTCCAGCAAGACAATTTCTCCTACAGAGAGAAGTTTATTTTTGTAATTTCTGGTAGACTGCTGTCTTAACTGCTCTAGATAATCAGAGCGAAATCTCACTCTTAACAATTCTCTCATTCTCTGGAGATACTTTGCTCTTCTACTCAATTTTTCTTTGTCCACATTTTCAATATTAGGTACACCCGACAATATCGTCAGACACGTACGTAAGTGGTCTTGAGTTGACAATTCTTTCACAATCACACAAGACAGTGAGTAACTCTTCATAACCAAGAGAAGCACGACCTAAAAATTTTCTCAATATTTGTTTTACAATTTGTATTAAACGCTCCCACCATCCACCCCACCAAGCGGCGGATGGAGGATTAAATTTCCATTGTATTCTCTTTTCAGCAGCCATAGAGTAGAGGCAGTCCCAGTCAATTTTTTGCAGAACTCTCTCTGCACCCAGAAAATTTGTCCCATTAGAATATATGGTGGTAGGGTGTCCACGATGTGTGATAAAATGCCTTAAAGTCTGAAAAAATTATTCAGTTGTTAATGAGGTAACCAGTTCCATATGGATAGCATGATAAACCGCACAGGTGAAGAGCACAATATATGATTTTTGTCCATCTTTTAAATGCAAGGGTCCTGCAAGATCACATCCTACAATTTCAAAAATGGCTGAATCACGAACCTTATCATTTGGTAAAACGCCTGGGACTGTCTCACCTCTTTTACTTGTAAATCTTTGGCATGTTACACATTTTCTTATACAGTTCCTTATAGTTTTACATGATTTTAAGATCCAGTGTCTTTCTCTTAAATGTGACATCAACAATGTAGTACCTGCATGAAACAAATCTTTGTGGGCACTTAATATCAATAATTTGACTACTGGATGTTCAGAAGGTAGGTAATATGATGGGGAACTTAAAGCTGTTAGAGTCATCACGATAAGCAACATTAGATTTAGCTCTTATTAGACCCTGACTATCGACAAATGGTCTCAGTCGTCTTAGCTTATCGTCTGTTTCACCATTAAACGACTATTTTTGTATTAATAACAATAAAGCTATTTCTCCCCTTTCTATTTCAGATACAGTCAAATCCTTAGAATGGTTGTTATTATTATTCTTACGTACATTATTATAAAATCTGAATATCCATGATAACATTCTTATTCTTAAATGATGAGAAATACTTATAGTACCATACAATGCAATTATCATTCTTTACCAACGTAACAATAACTGTCTTACGTATTTCTGAATTAACTAAATCCTCATCTGGTTCATCATTAGATTTAGGCCAAGTTGCCTCATCTTCCCGTAACCAATCAGGTCTCTCCCACCATTTTGTTTTATTAATTGATTTGCATAACAACCTCCAGAAAGTAGGTCAGCAGGACTGAAACTACCAGGGACATGTCACCATATAGTGGGGGAGGTCAAAGACTTGATTTCCTGTACACGATTAAAAACGAATGCTCCCCAACGTTGATTTCGCCGTATCCATCTTAAAGCCATCGAGGAGTCAGTCCAACAGTGAATATGAACTTTATGTAGGCCAATATTATTAATAACTGAAGACAATAACCTAGAACCAATATTACAAGTAAGAAGTTCTAATCGAGGAATCGTAATAGGTTTCAAAGGCGCTACTCTCGATCTTGCGTGTACCAAACTAACCCTTACCTTTTTGCCACTCTGTACTCTTAAAAAGATGCATGCACCATACACACTTTTACTACTGTCACAAAAGAAATGTATACTCACAGCTTCATTTATATATTTGAGACCTACCCATCTAGGTATTTGGATACTGGATAGCAAGCACAACTTTTTACGCCAAAATCTAAACTTTTTGGTTAATTCATTGGGAAGAACATCGTCGCATTTAAACCTTAAATTCCAAGTTTCCTGTAAAATTAGTTTTAAAATCACCATTACAGAAGCCGTATGTCCTATAACGTCAAACACCTGATGAGCTACTGCTAAAACTAGTCTTTTAGTAACTGGGTCATCGAATTTTATATCTTGACTTATTTTGCAAGATAAGGTATCTGTAACTGTATGCCATACAAGGCCAAAACAGACACATCTCCTTCCGCGGAGGAATCTTCCTCTGGCACAACACTTCTTATATTGGATTTCCAGAATCTTAAATTAAAATGACCCAAAGCCATAATTATTTGTGAATTCATTTACAAACTTTCTCATTTCTACTTTCTGAATTCCATACTAGCCACACAGTTATCTACGTAAAAGGATGTTTTCAAAATCTCTGCTGTATGACGTAAGCTTTTCAGGGAACTACACTCAAATGATATTGTATTGTAGTGGCCAATAAATACGGGACTACACGTAATACCAAAAACTACCCTTCCATGCCCGATACAGTTCAACTTGTTCTTGATTATCCCTACTGAACCATACTAAAAAATAAATCTCAAAAAGTCTCTGATCTTTTTCCCTTATAGATATTTGCAAGAACGCTTTTTCTATATCTGAAGTGACATCAACGTAATTCTTGTGAAACCGATTAAGAATCGAAGGTATAATTTCAATTAAATTTGGTCCCGCAGATAAACAATCGTTCAATGATGGGTAACCAGGCGAATGAGAACTTGCGTTAAACACTGGTCTTATACTTATGCTACTATTTTCTTTAACAACCGCTCTATGAGGTAAATAATGTATGCTCTTATATTTATTCTTATCCGGTACTTTTTCAATTATCCCAACTGCTAACCAGTTCTGGAAAACGTCTCCGTAAGCATCAAAATTTCCTGTAGTCATTAATTTTCTTTTAGTACTTACAAGACATTTTTCTGCTATCACTTTGTTTTTGGGTAAAAACGAGCTATCCCCGAGGCAATGCTACTTCGTACCTTCCCTCTGAATTTACCGTAAGAGTCTCTTCGAAATATTTTTGCATATCCTCCTGTAACTCAGTTTTGGTTTTACTTACGGAAGGTTCACTAATACCCAAAACATCTAACTTCCAGAGATCACTTATACATTGACCCTTCACTAACAGAGAAGAAATTAGGAGGGATACACTATTTATCGTAGTTGGCTCAGTGCCAGTAAATTTACCCATAACAGTCCAGCCTAACTGTGTATGCACCCTGTTGATGCCACACATAAGGGGAACAATTTTTCCAGTTAGCAACTTACCAGCAAAATCTGCACCAATTAGTAATTTTATCTCTTTATCGACCTTAATGTACCATTTTCTAAATCACTTAATTTGATACCATGTGACTTAAGTTCGCATAACCACGAACCAGATGGGAGTTGTTTAATTTCAGAACAAATTTTGTTTTGACCAAGTACCTCTAATTTACACTTATATTTACTATATATATATTGCTTACTTCAATAACATAGTTTTTATACACATTTTCTCCACCAAAAAGAAATTGCTTAATTTTTATTCACCAATACACTTACAATTTAACTTTTGAGCAACATCATTACATAAATATGATTTCATAGAACCACTATCATAAATTGCTTGTACAAACATTTCTTTAGAACCATTCTGAATTTTTACAATTAATGTTTGAAGATATACATCTGATACTAAGAATGCCTGTTTTGTTTTCATCATTCCCTAACTTTGTGACACTTTTTGTTTTGTTAGAAGGCAAATCGGGGCACATAATCACAAAATGTCGATTTTTACATAAGGTACACCTATGTTTAGCTGTGCACTGATTTGCTCTATGGTTTTTCTTAAGACACACAAAACAAACATTCTTTTTTTAATGATATCTTTCTTACATTTCAAACTCATTAAAGATGCATCCTTACAACTTTCAGACAAATGGGATTTTTCACAAAAAATACAAGTATCAGACTTTTTATACTTTTGAAAATTTTCATTACACTTACTACTATTACTACTATTGCATTAATTAGTTCACATGCAGTTGGAACAACATGTTTTTGTGTCAAAAAAACTTATTTTTCTTATTACTTACTTTGTCAGAACCCAAAACATCACGGTTAAGTTTAACTCTAAATTCAGTTTCTACTTCCCTTTTTAGAAAATCAATTAATGACTCCAAATCACTCTTACCTGTTGTTTTCAGGTGGATACCTCGTTGTCTTTCCCAAATTTGTATTAAATCAGCAGGAAGTGATGATTCCACTAAAGGAAATAAAACAACTGCAAATTTATCTTTAGTTAAACCGAGTGATTCCATTGTGCGTAGTTGAGTTTGCAACTTGTCATAAAGAGTTAATTAGTCTATCTTTTGTTTGTCATTGATTACTAGTTTTAATAACTCTCTGACATAAATTTGAATTAAAACATTTTCATTTCCAAATTGTTCTTTGAGATACTCCACGGCTTTTTCGCAATTTTCTTCCGTAGCAGGAAAACTTTCCACTATTGCTCTTGACACAGTCTCAGGTTTCGTAGATTGTAGTAGATAATGAAACTTGTCTCTCTTGTCGATGCGAGTATCTTCATGTATTTTACTAAATCTCGTCCAAAACGTCAACCACTTTCGGGAGTCTCCATCGAACTTCACCAGTTCGAGCTTCGGCAGTTTCTGCTTTGCAGCTGTAATTATTCCTGATGAAGAACCGCTATTCGTTGAACCAGTAGAAGGCTGTGAACACTTATCCTTTTTCCTGTTGGCTTTTACTTTCAAGTAGATAATTTATCGTAATATTCTTGAGCTGCACTAAATTCTCTTTCGTATTCTTCTTGAGTGCAACCTTTTTTCTGTAGAAGTTCCAAAAAAGAGTCACTGTATTTCGTAAAGTTTTATACTTCTCTGAAATTTAATCTAAATAAATTTCTAAATTGTCCAAATCTGGAGAATCTGATCATATCAGTTCTTCCAACTTATTAGCTGTTTTCATAAATGCACTCCTAATTGCTTTTCGCTTCAATTTTAGTGTTTCTAAGTCCTCCATGTTTGCACCTAGGAACTTCTCTTATTTTCGTAAATTATCAAGTGTCGATATCGATAACGTCACCCTGTGACATTCATGCTGGCTAGGCTTGCCAAATTTGTTGCTTAACAAGTAAATTATAGGTTCGAAAATCTGAGCTGACACTTTTTAAAAACAAACATTTATTTTTCACGCCATTTCTTATTCTATAAAATCTTAAATGCAACTAACTATCAAACAGAAAAGCAGATGTACACGTAATGTATCAGTGCACGTGATCCTTGCGACATACGAATTTTTTTTAGGGTTGCCACAAAAAGGCAGTGTGTCACCACAGTACGGTTGCCTTATCCCCTTCGTGCCGGGTAGCGCAAACGCGCGTTTATCGCGGAGGCCGGCAGTGTCTTACGTAAGCATCTGTCCAGGGCCAGGGGCTTTTTTGCTATTTAAGCCTAAATCCATGAAATTTCCGAAGTATCAACACATTGTTTAATAATGCTCTATAGAGTATTTAAACGGCTTATGCTTTATAGATATTTTTATATATATACTTTAATTACCTTATTTCTTGTTTAAATGCATATTTTACACATTTTATTTTAATTACTCACCATTTTATGACTTTTAACATTATACATCTGAAAACTAAATATATTACTTAAAATTCTCTTTTCGTATGAAAAATTTGAAAACAGGGATCTACACACAGTCCTACGTTACATTCCTTGCACTCGTAATAACTCATTTGCCGTTTTGGAGGATTTTTCCGGGAATGTGAACAAACGAAGCATCGTCGTCTCATTTTCTTATCAGTCTCTTCTGAACAAAGTTTTGGAAAATGTCTTTCAGTTAATCTTTCAGAATCAATATGAGAATATCAGAATTTCAGAATCAATATCTCAAATATTTTGCATCATTTCTGCTATTTCATGCTCTGGAAACATTTTCGACACTTCGACATTGCAATGGTAAAAAGAGAAAGAATTCCCGTCTAACAAGATCTAATTATTTTCTAAAAACTGAACTGCAAACCGAAATACCCAACACTTTAGCAAAAATAAAAGTTCTCTACTTACAATAAACAACTACGAGGTGCGAATTTAAAGAGACGTCATAAATCACGCCATTTGGAAACATTTATTTCCCCGTTTGTTTATATAATCAAAAACACATGTATGTGAGTCATGCTTCTCTCATTTCGAGTAGAAGGTCTAATGTACATGTATCTGAAACCATATGGACATACAGTGCCATCTTGTGGCAGAAATTATAGTTTTAAAACGTTCCAGGATACTGGCACAAATACGTGACAGTCGGGGCTGAAAGGGAAATTGCTCTGGCATGCCTGCGTGTTGGCCGGGAAGTGAGTGTGTTCATTGCTGGCACGTAGATGTGACAGTCGGCGCGAAGGGGTTAAATATGCTGTGTATATTGGTGGCATTACAAACCTGATGTCCGTAAAAGAGATCATAAGAAGACTATAACAAACATCCAAACTGGGAGTTTACCTGCAGCAGTAGAAAACATCATGCACCAGATGCATAATCTTTTGTGCATAGAGAAGGTCAGCTCACTGAAAACTGATCACACATGATCCAGGGAACCCTAATTAAAGGATTTTGTTCTGTGAATTTCTTACTGTATGTTCTTAATTTCTGTATGTGCATTTTTTATTATTAAAACATTTATGAAACTTTGTGTGATACATTTTCATGCATTCATTGTAATTATTGACTCACTTTTGATTCTGACAGCACCAAAATCTCTCCTATTAGTGATTTTTGATACTTTAAAAAGATCTTTTAAATCCTCTCACCATGTATTTCACAGTCTCTATATGAAATTTAGTTTCATTATGTTCATTAGTTTTAGCTGCAGATGCCCCTGAACAGGGCCTACCTCTGGAAGTTATTTTATACATTTATACATATTTATTATTTTTAAATCACCCTGTATATTGTTGAAATTTCCTTATAAATTGCATCTCTAAAGGAAAAATACACAAATGATCAGTTTAAATCCCAATTTTTGTATGGAGACAATATTTTTGTTATATGAGGGGATTTTCCAATGAAAACAAATGTTTCTCAGATAAAGAATTATAGTTATACATAAGAACACACTTTAATATATGTGGAGTAAGATGAGAAATTTATAATTTTAGGCTTAAATAATGTTATTTCTGTAAATGTTATCAAATATAAACTCATTTCTAATTCTACAATAATTATAACTTAATTTGCCCTTTCTTAATAAAGTATTTTATCAGTAAAAGAGCAGTATGCTATAGACCACTGATATTTCAAAATTCAAAAAAGTCATCTGAATGAGCATTAAGAAGTAGTCTCTATACAAAAGGAAGAGTAATTTTTAAATTAGGGAATTGACAAGTTTTGAATTATTCACTATATAGCCATTTTGTGTATTTCTTTAGAGCATTAATCTTGAAATTAGTTTAAATTTTCCCTTCTGTTATTGGTATTAGTTGTACAAGAAATTCCAAGCATCAACATTGAATTATGAGAATGAAGAAGTTTAATACTTACTGTTTTTTTACATAATCCTTAACTACATTCATCAGATGGTTCACTGATGGAAATAATTGAACTGAATCAAAACATTTTAACAATAAAAAAGATTAAAGCAGTAAAAAAGAACTTAATTATTCCTGTTCAGTTGAGGTCTAAAATCAAATTAATTATAAAGAAGAGTGCAGTGGGGAATCTGGGAAAGTGAAAAGGCATGTTATGTTTAATGTGATAAGTTTAACACATTTAATGTGTGATAAGTTTAACGTCATCAAAGTTTAAATCTGTAAGTAATCAAAACAATTTTCACACAAGTGTTAGAATACTCATTTTTACATTTGTAATTAAGGTAATCTGTTTGCCATGGAATTTCTGTTAAACAGTAACCTTTTTTTTTTTCCCTTCCAGAGATTAAGAACTGAAAATAAGCTTTTGAGGCAGAGGATAGAGAACTTAGAACTGGTAAGAAAATGCATATTTTTGCTTCAATCTGTATAACTTGCTTGTTATGGTCTTTTTAAACTGCTATTGAGTTTTTGAAAGTTCTGTATTTAATTTTGGTTTGTTAATGCAGGAGAGTGCCTCGCTGGCCGACCGCTTAGTTCAAGGTCAGGTTACGAGAGCACAGGAAGCTGAGGATAGTTATGCCTTGAGGCGAGAACTAGCATCATTGAAACAAAAGGAATTGCTGGCTGAGCAAGAATTAGAACAAGCTTATAGGAAGATTAAAGAACTTACTGAAGTTAGTTTTAATTTTTGATTGTATTTGAATTTTTTACTCCATTGTGAAGACTGTAATTTCATCAGAATGCAAATTGAGTCAGTCATATGAATCATATTTTTAACAACTTTGATTTCATTTTATTAATCAAAAACTTTAATAGGAGCTGTCTATATATATTTTTGATTATATAGCATCCTCATTTTTAATTTATTAAATAAAGAAAAATATTTTCTTATGAATTTTCGTATGAGATACTTTGATATACATTTTTGATTAAAATACATTAATATTAATTTTCTTTCATATTAATATCAGAATCTCACATTTTTAATATTATAAAGGGAATGGTATTTACACTGATTGATCCTCACTTTCCTATAGCCTTTTTTACTTATTTAAAATTTTAATCCTTAATTCTTGTAGGCTAATTCTCAGCAAACATCATATGATAACCAGACTGAAGATTTAATACAATCCATGCAACAAGAGTTAATATCTGTAAAATTAAGAGAAGCTGAAAATCAAGACACTATGCAGGACCTTTTACATAGGATACATGAGCTGGAATCTGTAAGTTTATATGTATTACTTATTTTAAGCTAACATGAAAATGTCTAAATTACAATAATGAATTGCTTTTAAAATAGCTTTTTTAGTATGCATTAAAGCACAAAACATGTTTGCATGTCAGAAAGAGTAGAAAACCATTTCACATATTAAACACAGATCAGGCAGGTTATGTGCGATTGCTGGCTGCAGAGCAAGTTTAACAATCAAAAAGGCTGAAGAATGAGACAAAGACGGCAAATGGGCATGTTTTTGAAAGGAAGAATGATTCGAATGCTGGAATGTAGACGATCTCAAACAGAAGTGTCTCAGATTTTGAATGTGCCTCAAGTGTGATCTCAAGACTGTGGAGGGGGTTTTCACAGTACAGTAGAGGTTACTCGATGACCAGTTCAAAGTCAACCAAGAGTTACAACCATTCATTAAGATGTATAATAACTGACAATAATTGCACATTAGAGGAACAGTTGTGCAAGGGATTTTGTTTCAGCCCCCACAGCTGCCTCAGGATTATGAGTTTCAAGGCAAACTGCTTATAGGAGACTTTATCATGCTGGTCTGTATGCCAGACGACCAGCTATTAGCATTCTTCTCACGCCACCACATAAACATGCTCGTCTAAACTGGAGTTTGAAACATCAGCACTGGAGTTTGCAAGTGTAGACCAAAGTATGTTCAGTGATGAGTCTCAGTTTACTCTGAATACTGAATCTCATCGGATAATTATATGGAGAGAACATGGAACTCTTTCCATCCAAGAAAATCATGGAAAGACATCATTTTCCTTCAAAGGGAATCATGGTGTGGGCAGGCATAATTATGGATGGCCACACAGACCTTCACATCTTTGACATGGGGTCTGTTACTACTAAAAGGTAAAGAGATGAAGAAAATACTAAAAGGTACAGCCTTATATTTGCCTGTTTTGAGGGGCTGTTGGTCATGGATGATAACATGCCTTGTCTCTATGCGATCCTGGTTTACAACTTCCTTGAAATGGAAAATATCCAGCGCATGCTGTGGTGCACTCATTCTCCTCATCTTAATCCTATTCAGCATGTGTGGGATATGCTTGGGAGACCAACTGCAGCCTTTCTCCCACCAAATTCCATTCCAGAACTGAAAAGACCTCTCCTGTTAATGTCTGAAAGTGTTTGAGGCCACAATTCATCCACACTCTCATAGCACATATGAGAAATCGTTTTGCAGCAGGCGTGGCTACATAGAGGTGACCGCATATTGAACTGCCAAATATCCACTAAAATAAAAACTATTAGTTTGTGCTGTTTTCTTTCAAAATATTTCTTTGGATAATAACAGCGCATCCTTCTTTTCATTGTTTACTTATGGTATAACAGTATTACACTCGTATATTATGTTTTCCGTTATTCTGACTTGGCTTAAATATTCACATAAACATCAATTATGCTAGACTTTTGCGCACCAGGGTATGCTAAAATAATTGTTTAATAAAATGAAATAAATATTAACATTGTGCTTTTTTTTGGAAATTTGATAATAACCCATATTGACCAGATCTTGCTCTCTTCGATTTTCAACTCTTCAAAATTCTTTGAAAGGTCTTGAGTTTACTTAATTAGAGACTTCCAAACAGCACCTCAATAACTTCTTTACAAATAAAACCTTATGGCCTTTTTTTTTTTTTTTTTTTAATTGGAATTTTTCAGCTGCTGGAGAGAAAGAGAGCACATCATATAACAAAATAGTATTTATGTGATTCAATGAAATTTTCTTATGTTTTTATACTGCTTCATGTATATTTGTCATAAAAACTGCAAAACTTCCCAGATGATCTAGTATTTTCATAATTTTTGTGTTATGTATATTAGATTATCAAACCTTGAAATTATATTACAGCATAAATTTTTTTAACTTATTCATTAATAAACTTAAATAACTCATTAACTTTTATTGTGATTGTTTTTTTATAAACTATTATTTTTCACCTTCACAGGTAAACAAGTGCTTGAAAGAAGCATATCCTGAAAATACAATTATTCATATCCAAGAGGAACTTATTGCTGTTAAGCTCAGAGAAGCTGAAGCTCAACAGTATATCAAAGAACTCTTGCAAAAAATTAATGATCTACAGTCTCAGCTTTTTGTAAGTTCTCAAATATTTCATTCGTTTAGAACATAATAATATCATATGTATAAATTATTTGTTACTGATATAGATGTAACTAAATATAAAAAATTTTGAGAAACTTTTGTTGGCAGTTATCGCTTTGAAATTTCTTTTGCTTCTATTTAGTAGGACAAGGTTATTAGAGGCTTTTAAATATATTTCAGAATTAAACACTTCAAAACTCCCTTTTTATTTCCTATGTTGTAAATTAAATTGCTTAGATTTGGCAATATTATGTAAATCTTCTATTTGAAAAATATATTGTAATGAAGTTTTAAAGAACTGTCACCATTTTTGAACAAACAACAAACTTTATTAGTCAAAACGTACAGAATAACTGGAAAAACATTTTTAAGCATGCACATTGTCTGCGGATAATCATCTGCCGTAATTTACATTTCTTGGTGAAATTATGTTGGTAGTGTAGCATTACAAATACGTTACATTCTTAATTTCCTTCCCTCAAGGGGAACTTTTCGAAGAAAAGTTTTTTACTTTCAAATTGATGCAACTTTCAAGAAAATTTTTGGTTTAAATACCAAACTAAATAAAATGTAATATTCTAATATTACTATATAAAATGTAATATTGTAATATTACAAAAATTTAAACAATGAAGTTTTAAACTTCTTAGAATGTATATTTTAGTTGTGAGATGTTTGGATACAACGGCTTAAACTGCCAGCATTTTAATGGTGCTTCCCCTTTCTATGCGCAACTTCATAGTTTAAAGGTTGTAAGATCAAAGCCCATTGTAATAATCTAGGATTAGTCCCAGTGTTTTTATCCAACCATATTAGAGGATTGTGATTAGTCTGAATGATGAACTTGATGATGATGTCCATCTAGGTAGAATTTTAACTTTTGTACTTCAAAGACAATGGCAGCACACTCCCTTGCGATTGTACTGTACTTCTGTTTAGGTGAAACATTTTTGCTAAGAAATATTATTGGACGTCCGTCATCTTTAGCATACACTGGTGTGCAAAAATTAAGAACGAGACGGGTTTTTCAATATAACTTAGTACAAAAGCTTTCCAAATCAACACATTTAATACCGTAAGATCCCCAAAGTAAGACATGAGTATGTAGCAACACTTACTAAAAGAGAATCAGAGGGATAAAAAGAAAGCTTTCTTGAAAAAGTAGCATGGAGCGCAATGCGACTGAGGCCGAAACATCCCTGTGATGGGTGTCCAGCAAAAACTCCTGTCTTTAATAGGGATATGATCTTCCCTGACTGCTAGCAGGTTTTCACAGCAATCTGCCCATGCTGAGATGAGGGTGCAATGAGTTGTTGAGGCATTGCTTGCCCATTCGTCTTGCAGCCAATCAAAGCTCTGGAATCGTTACTGGTGGTAAGGTACGAGCTGGCAAGCATCTGCCTAGAAAAATCCCATACATGCTCGATGGATTGAGATCCAGAGATCGTGCCGGAATCCATATGTTCAATATCCTCACTTTCTAAGAGCTGTTGGCAGCTACTATGCGATGACGTGGTGCATTGTCGTCCATGAAAATGAACTGCAGACCTCTAAAAGCACTCTAAAAATGTAGGAGAAGAATCTTGTTACAATAACGGGTCCCGTTGACTGAACCTGCGTCGAAGATGTGAAGGTCTGTACGACTACCAAGCATGATACCTCCCCAAACGAGAACACCGCCACCTCTATACCTGTCCCTTTCAATAACGTTCGAGGGATGATTGCGGCTTTCCCGCTCTCTCCAGGTGAGTATGCGATGAGAATCGCTACTCGGACTGAATCTGCTCTCATCTGTAAAGAGTACTCGTCCCCATTCATTCTCTCTCCAATTCCAGTGTTCCCGGCACCACAGAGAACGCCTTCTCCGATGAGCAGGCATTAGAGGTACACACCGTACAGGGCGTCGTGCAAACAGACCACCACCGTTCAGTCTTCTGCCCACGGTAAAATGCGATATCGGTCGTCCAGTCGCCTGTGTCATGTGTCCAGCGATTTCTCCCACTGTCTGTCGCCTGTTTCTTCTGGCCTATAAGGCAATATACCGGTCATCTGCGGGTGTGGTTCCTTGTGGACGACCACTACTAAACCCCCGGATAGCTGTTCCTGTAGTTTGAAATTGTCTCCAAAGTCGTGAAACGATGCCGTGAGCAATTCCGAACTCTGCTGCCACACTTGTCACACTGCGGCCTTCCTCCAACTTCCCAATGATTCGATCTTGGGTAAAAGCATCCAGATGTCGTCTAACAGATTGATTATTCGCCATTTCTCGCTGAGGCAGCAACTCGGTGTGATTTTAACTGCTATACAGTGTGCAATCTCTTTGCCAAACTGATCTTACACCAACAACATGCTTTATACTACTCAGACACTCCCCCATTACGTCTACCTGCATATCTGCGCATGTGCTACCATACATCATCTTACTTAATCTCCTGATTGGTCTTTCTGTCCGCTCTGCCTCTTCGTTCAGCTGATATGCTAATTTCTCGACTTCGTCCTTAATTTTTTCTCACCAGTGTATATCTGTGATAATACAACGCCAATACCAATATTCCAAGTGTCGCACTGAAGGATAAATGGCTGAGAATAGTTTGGACTATATAAGACTGGATTTTGTGTTAACCATTTCTTGAGTTCATCAAAAACATTTTGGCAGTCATCAGTCCAATTTATGGTTGCTTTGCAACATTTTCCTTTTAACAAATCACTCGGTGGTGCAGAAATCACAGAAAATTCAGAAATATACCTTCGATAATACCCTGCAAGTCCTAAAAATGACCGGACTTGTGTTTTCGTCGTAGGTTTAGGGAAGTCCTTTATGGCTTGGATTTTTATTTCTGATGGTCTTCTTTGACCTTGTCCTACTACATGACCTAGATATTTGACAGTCGTATGAGCAAACTGACATTTCGAAGGCTTAATATGCAGTTTAGCAATTTTCATCTTTTCCAAAATAATTTCTAACTGCTTCAAATGTTCTTCCCAGGTTTGCGAGAATACTGCAACATCATCAATAGACACAGCAAATTCTTCACAGTTTCTTAATAATCCTATCATCAAGCAGCTAAAATCATATGGTGCATTTTTTTAGCCCGAAAGGTAACCTTAAGGGTTTGAATGTTTCAAAACTTGTCACAAAAGCAGTGTAATGCTGGGGTCGTTTAGTTAGTGGGATCTGCCAGTAACCTTGAGTAAGATCTAGAATAGTTATATATCTGGTAGATGACACTTTTTCCACTAAATGTTCAATGTTTGGCAAGGAAAAATATTGTGCCTTGTTCAAGCAATGGTAATCAATGCATGGTATTGCCTCTTTTCCAGGAACTTCAACCAGTATGAGTAGAGAGGTAAAATCTGATTCACCTGGTTCTATTACTTTGAGTTTTATCATCTTTTCTACTTCCGTTTTTAAAATCACGGTTTGCCTGGTCCGACATCTGATAAGGGTTTGTGCATATTGGTCTTTCTGCTTCTAATTCTGTGCATATTGGTCTTTCTGCTTCCAATTCTATATCATGTTCGGTAAGGTCAGTACATCCTGGTTTATTAGAGATAATACAGGAATACTTGTGTATCAACTACTTTAAATCTTTTCGTTGGTCTTCAGATAATAGTGAATTCAACTGGATGCCTTGCAAAACTTCAGACATTTCAATGTCTGCGCTATAATTTAGACTCGGTATTTCATCTTCATAACCATTTATCCTGTCTTCTAAACATAGCAAGTTTATATTTTCTGCTCATTGAAAATATGGCTTCAGCATATTAATGTGGTACACCTGAGTTTTATTTTTCTCGGGAAACTCGACTACATAATTTGTCTGTGATAATTGTTGAACTATTATTCCAGGACCTACACATTTAACTGATAGTTTGTTTGCTTTCGATAGAGCTACAACTAGAACTAAGTCTCCTTCTTGAAATTTAAGTTCTACAGCTTTGAGATCATACCAGAGTTTTTGCTTTTCTTTGGCTTCTTCCATATGCTGGACAGCGAGTTCTTAACATTTCCTCATTCGATTCAAAAATATAGTACACTACAGTATTTTCTTCCTCTTCTTTACCAGATAATTTTTCATACAGTAGCATAATTGAAGTTCTTAAGTTTCTGCCATGAACTAATTCTGCAGGCGAGAAACTGGTACTGTCATGAATAGTCGTTTGAAGAGCAAATAAAGCCTGAGGTAAGATTTTATCCCAGTCTGCACCAGATTCTAGACATAGGACTCGAAGAATTCTTTTTAAAGTTTTATGCATCCTCTCTACAGGATTGCTTTGTGGGTGGTAAACAGAACTTCGTATAACTTTAATTCCGAATTTTTCTAGGAAATTCGATGTCAGCGCACTCGCAAAAGATGTAGCTTGGTCAGTTTGTACCTCCTTTGGAAATCCCATTCAACTAAAAATTTGACAGAAAACATCAACAATCATGGGTGAACAAAGATTTGCAACAGGAACTGCATCCGGATATTTTAAAGACATGCAGATTGCAGTTATAAAATATTTATTTCCTGAATATGTCACGGGCAGAGGCCCACATTTATTTTTGAAAATATAAGTGATAACAAGGACAATTTTCAAAGGTGCCTTCTTTTTATCTTGCAGCTTTCCAGTTCTTTGACATTTATCATAAGTTTTAACAAAATTCTTGACATCTTTGTAACAATTTGGCCAATAAAATTTTTTTGAATAATGCATCTTTGGTCTTTGTTGCACCAAGATGAGCTGCGGTTTCTGCATGATGAGTAGTCATCAACTGTTTCCGATACTTTTCAGGAACAACAATCGATAGTCTTTGTGTTCCATCACGATCTTCTTTTTTGAAAAAGAGCATTTGGCCTTTCAACATATACCTCATACTTTTAGAAGATTTTATTTTAGCTTCTTCGCAAATCCACTTCAATTCGACGCTCTCCTTCTGTTCTTGTATAAATATTTCTGGAGAGGCCTTTATCAGATCTAATTCTGAACGTTCATATTTCACAGGAGGCAAATTTTCATTTTCAGTCAATGTGTCTTTGTTGTTAAGTTCAGTTTCTTCTTAAGATTTTTCTTTAACTCATTTGCTGAGACCAGATTTTTCGTTTCTTTTAATCGTTGCTATTGAGCATGACTTTGTATGGCATTTATTATATGAATTTAAACAACTTCATCTAGTTTTGCTTCTTCAAATAATGCAGCGGTCTTGTTACCTAGAAGATACCTTCCTTGATCTAATGAATCTCTTAAGACTGCAGCCTTTGTTATTATATGACCAAGATCACATTCAAGATCTACCTCAGGCAAAAGTAAGCACACTGGATGTTCTTCCAGAGGTGTTCGTATCCACATGGTCTCACCTGTGTACATGGAAGGCTGTACATACTTTTGGCAAATTAAATCCGAAGTTATATCGGTATCTCTAAGTATGGGCATTTTATAGCTATTTACTTTACCTAGGCTAGTATATGGAGCCATAATATCCTTAAAACTATTTTTGGAAAATTCATTTGAGGATACAGTTTCATTGGATGCTACAGTTTCTAAATTTTTCTTGAGTTTATCACATTGAGGTCGAAGATGCGAGTAGGATCCACATTCATAAAAACGAATTTTAAAAATTCAAGTATGACACAACGTATTTTCTTTTCTAAAACACTTAAAGCTTATGTGCTTTCCAATAAACAAAAATCTGCGAAGCTTGCTTATAATAACTTATACTAAAGTAAATAAAAAAGAATTCAAGCCTCTAACTTGATTCACACAACAAAATTCTTGATTTGTGACTCTAATACAAGAGCTCAAATTTCATAATAGAAATATTCTAATATTAACATAATAAATTTGCCACTCTAATACAAAAGCTCAAATTTTATAATAGAAATATTCTAATATCAACGTAATAAATTTGCCACTCTAATTCAAGAACTCAAATTTTAAAAGAGCGTTAAATATTTTGATGCTTTAATCCAAAAGCTTAAATGTAGAATATTGTTTTATTAGTTTAATTCAATAATAAGATGCAACATTTTCATACAGAATGGCACAGTATTCATTAAAACTTATACTCCCAAGTACTGTATTTTCTTTTCTTTTATTAAATAAACACTGGTTTCACCTTTCGATCTCAGCGACTACCACCAGATATTTATTCTTGTATATGTCTGTAATGAAGTTTTAAAGAACTCTCGCCATTTTTTAACAAATAAAAACTTTATTGGTTAAAACTTACAAATTAACTGGAAAAAAATTTTTAAGAGTGCACATCGTCTGCGGATAATCGTCTACGGTAATTTACATTTCTTAGTGGAATTATGTTGGTAGCATAGCAATGCAATGTAAAAAAAGAGGAATCTAGTAAACCCTTTTCAAATTTAGTAAATTTTTAGCTAACATTTTTAACTGTTATTAATGACACTTTGTAGCAATTGTGTTTCTTATCAGTGATTATAGTAAACAGCTGAATATTCCAATATCTACTTTAGCTGTCATCATCTCAAATTATTTTATTCTTCCTTTTCTTGATATTTAAAAAAAGTTAGAGATGCGCATTTAGCTAAATGGTTTATAATTTTGTAAAAAATTTACACCCACTATTTTAAAGTTTATACAGCATTACTAAAATCCTAAATTTTACATAATTCTAATGCTATTTATGAATTCAGTTTTTTTTTAAATCATTTGGAAAGAAATGCAGAATTTCTCTTTGTTTTAATTTTCCCCTATATGGTTTGTGTATTGCATTTACTTATCTTAGTGCAATGTATTTTCTATTTTACCTCATAACATTTTCCATGCCTATACACATTTAATAATTTAATTTGTACATTTAATATTTTAATTCTGTACCTTTTAATTCAGGTTAATAATTTTTTTAACTTTAGAAATGTGTTGGTACCTCATCAAGTCATGGAAATGACGATGCAAAGAGTTCTGAAAATTGCCTGCGAAAGGGAAATGTTTCAGAGCTACAACAAAGAATTATTTATTTAGAAAAGAAGGTATGTAACAAAAGACATATATAGAGACTAAAGGTTACCATTAAAAGTTCCTAACCTATTATTTTATCATTTAATTTTATAATTTGACATTAATGTACTGCTTTTAATATATCATATATATGTATGTATTTTTGAAATATAAATCTGCAATAAAATGTTTGTTTAATCTGCCATATTTTAATTCTGTACTAACTAGAAGCATATTGTGGTACAGATCTTGTTTTATGTAGTGTCACATATTTTCCTTTCGATTAATTATTTAGTTTTCATGAAATTAAAATTTTAAATCATAAGAAAATATAAGATGAAAGCTCAAATATCAAGTCATTTTGGAAACAGTATTCTGAGGATGAATGGGTATCATCTGTCTCACTTTTCACCTTTTTTGAAAATTAGGAGCAGAAAGGCTATGGATTTGTCTGCTTTTGAATTATATTCATAGAAACATGAAAATAATCTCTTCCATTTATTTCCTGATTTATTTGAAACTGTGTTTTTGGTAATATATATTGCTTGAAATTTGCACAATAGGATATGCAGGTGATTAGAAATGCAACACATGTTCATATACTTGGTACCAGTATTGTCATCTAGAAACAATGCAGAGTAGAACAGAGTAATAGAGTGTGGGTTTTAAATATAGGAACTATTTGTATATTTTATTTATTTATTTATTTTGTGTGTAGAAGTATATCTTACTTAAGGAGATGGAATGCAAACCAGGATGTGTTTAGATTTGATTGCAAAAGAATTACAGCATATTATCTTACTGCAAAATCCCCACTTGAATAGGAATGGGGGAATCTGTTCACTGTCATGTGAATATTGAAAAATGTATGCAAGAAGTTAGGTAGATTGACATACTGGATCACAATAGCCTATTAAAAATCCACCAAAGGGCAGACATCTTTGCACATGGCCCATGTGGACTATATGTGATTTAACTCATCCTAACTTAGGAATCAAATGGATAGCACAGCAACAAATGTTTGCTTGGCTGGTATGATGTTGTCTGCAGCATCATTGTCTAAAGGTTACCAATGCTTCATTTATCTTTACTAATATTGTCACACCTCGTGCCCGTTCAGACACAAGGCGGGTTCTTTTCGTGCATTCACTATAACAGGAAAATAATCTTCATCAGCTTTGAAACTTTTCCACTAATTTATTACACATAATGGTACACAATGTTCCACAAAACGAAATCACTGTTATCCATAAGAAAAAAAAATACTATATACAATATAAAGTGTGCAAAAACATGTTTTAGTTATCTCCTTTCAAACGGCATGCTTGCCGGTCCACTCCAAAAGTTCCCAAGTCTCCTTGTCACCCCACCAGTCTGACTCGACCGTTTTTTCCAGTTAGTTACGTCACTTCCTTTAATTGTCTTTCAGCCTCGAGGAGAAAAAGTCTCGGAAAAGTCTTCCACTAGGGAAAGGAACTTCACAAATATAATAATGATTTTGCAGGTATAGTAATATGTGAATAATGTATATGAACTTATGAATGGCATGACATGTCTTCATTATCATTCCAACCCAGCAACCTGGAGTTAATAGTTTGAATGCCATTGCAGTTTTACTGGCATCTGTTTTTCATGTCCATTAATCTAATTAGTCAATGTTACATTGCAAAGGTATTAGAGGCCATTGTTTTCTGTTATTTTCTGAGCTTCTGGAGAGCCATTACCATTAAGACCATAAATCATTCACAACATCACAAAGTTTTCTGGATAGCTGGCATCTTCCATTCTGCTGTGTTCATTTGATTGAAACATTCAATAAACATCATTGACCTGCCTCATGATCATCATGCCTGGTCTATAGTTGCAGAGAGACTAGGATGACAGTGAGCACTAATAACTGTAGCAGATGAATTGCTGCAAAGAATTGAAGCCTTATGAGCTGTTGTACCCATATTTGCCATTAAGAGCCTTATTTCACAATATCCCAGAAATGCAGCAAGTGTTATTGCTGCCCATGGTAGTTACATGTAATTCTGATATTTGCACATTCTGTGCACCCAAACACCCTAAATAATTAGTTCACCTTTATATAAGATGCTTATAAAATCAGTATGTTTTTGTTATTTTTGTCTTTCACAGTGCTAAAATTTTAATGGCCAGCATTTTGCTCAAACATTAAAAGCTGTAAAAGAAAGTAGCCTACCTACTAAGTATGAAATGAAATTTTACTATAGGTATACCCAAGTCTCAAACGATTTAAAAACTGATTTTTTGCAATAATTCCTGTTTTAAGTATAAAATAATATATACAGAGACATTTCCTAAGGAGTTTATTATAATACCAGATAATTTTGGTCTTCTGTAAAGGTAATAATTATAGGGAATATGATAATTAGTATTTATTATGATACATATTTGTGTTCTCAGAAATATCAATTACTCGAAGGTGATCATCTGTGGGAGATGCTCAGCATAAAAGGTTTTTTTGTATGTATATTTACTTATGAATTTATGTTCTGGGCTTTGCGATAGAAAATAAACTAAACCAAATAGTATAAGAATCATACTAATTTCTGTGCTTCATAGTGTTTTGTCCATATTGAGATGTTAAAATGATGGAAGTCGTACGTGAAGACAGACTATCACAATAAACTGCTTAAATAAATATTAAGATTCAATTTTAATAAAAATGGTTTGCTGAACAAAGTGTTTCAAGAAGTCATATTGATCACCAGATACAGTAATAAGGCACTCAAATTTCAGACAGTAATTATTTATTTTAATAATAGTTTACTTCGTTTTTTATGCACTTGATATATAAAAAAGGATGTAATATGTTTAAAAAATGAACTTGGTTTTCTTTAATTAAATGCCATTTAATCAACAACCATGAAATAATATTTTATTGAATTTAATATCTTTAGCTTAATGAAAGTGAACTGAAAAACATGAAGATGGAACTAGAGCATAAGAATGCTGTATCTGACTACAAAAAGAAAGTTTCTTTATTAGAGAATCAGGTAAAGTCTTTTTTACGCTAGGTGTATTTATTCTAAGCTGTATCCTGACTGAATTTAATATCAGAAAAATAATAGGCATCCAAATTAAGTGTACATTTGAAGTTTAAAAGTATCCATTTTCAGTCCTTTTTGACAGCTAGTATTGCACAATTTTGACAGCTAGTTTTATAATGCGATCATGCATAATGCAGAAATAGAATATTTTAAATTAACTTTACTTTCTAACAAAATAATTTTTAAGATTATGTAAAGCTAATTTAAAATTTATACAAAATACCTAAGGAATTTAAATTGAAGAAGCTATTCAGTAGTAATATATTAATTTTAGATATAGTTTAAGCAAGAGAGATACTTGCAGAATAATATTATACATTTGATTATGTATAAAATTCATTATCTTTTATGTATTAGGATGTATATAAAATTCCACCCAACTGCTCATCTTCAATCTTTTAGCTGCAGTCCAAACAGAATTTCTATAGCCATTATGGCTACATTTTTTTAAAATTCTAAAGCATATATTTTAATCAGTATTGCAAATTGCAATTAATATTTTAAATAATTTCTATGAGTGATATTTGATTTAAATGCTGCCTAAACCTTTTTCCTCTAAAACATGAAAGGATGTGCAATCACACTGACTTTATTTTAGTAAGTTAATATATATATATATATAAATTTAACGTTCAACAAATTTTTTGATATTTTATATTATTTTTAGTTGAATATATACATGTATATAGATAATGCTGCATGATAACATTAAACTGCATTTGATATCATGCAGATAAAATAACACTTTAATTGATAAAAATTTATTTTTTCTCTGAATGACATCAAAAGGAAAACGTGTATCGTGGGAATGTGCATGCCTTAATTTTCGAAAGTGTTGTGGTTAACTATAACCTGCAAATTCAAATAACATTTGTTGTTTTTTGACAGTAAATTGCCATATATTTGACTTTCCTCACATTTCCTAAAAGCCCTTCTGTGCTAACGCCCCTTTGGGCTAATTATTAAAAGAAATCCATTTTCAATATTTTTTGACAGCTAGTATCATACTATATTTTATAATGTGCTCATTGAAATGTAATGCAGATTATAATTTATTACTATATAAGTACTTCAGTCAGTTATGAAAATTATTATTGCAGGTGAAAGAACTGGCAGATAACAATCAAGCTAAAATTGCAGCTGAAAGTGAAGATGTAAAAATTCTGTGTCGAAGAGTTACTGAGCTTCAAGTCAAAGTAAGAATTTGCTGAATTACATAATACAGTCAAAAGTCTTTAATCCGGACTCGTTGGGACTTCGGCGATTCCGGATTATAGGTCATCAATTTAAATCTGGTAAGATGGCATGCAGAAATTATAAAATTAAAAATATGAAACCATAATTTATGAAATAAAGAGCAATTATGATCTAAAGGATATCAAAATTTACAAAAAAAGCTTCATATTTATTTGTTTACTTTATTAAACATTTATTTCAATGCGCACATGCGTAAAGCATACACTATGCATAGTCGAAATTAGAAAATTGCAACCAGAAAACTATTTGATTTGTATTCGTGATATTTATAATGACGAGGAATTTGATTTAAATCATATCACAGACGGAATACATAGAGATGAAATACTACATTTAGTAAGGAATTATAAGCCGAATAAAATAAAAACATCTGTCCTGAAGATGAGGATAGTGCTGACAGATCAACTTCCAGTTCATTGCAAGCTGCGACGTCCCTCCGCGCAGAGCAGCTTGAAATTGATAAACAGATTTTGGAATGGTTAGAGAAACAAAGGATCCATTTTTTTCAGCAATTACACTTTTTTTTTTGATGGGCATCGAAGCATGCTTTCCCTTTGTAGATCCTTTGGCGCTCCAGAATCGGAAATTCTTTTTGTCATAATCGAAAGTTCCAACTTACTTTTATAAAATTGTTCTAACAGTCTGCAAAAAATAATAAGCCGATCCAATTCGAAGGTAAAGGAACAACGCAATCTGCAACATTAACTGAAATAGATAATTAGATAATTTTAGCTTAGCTTATACTGTTCGTTATATATTAAACGAGCATGCGTACAAGCATATGCACATGCGTCAACGCATTCAAAACGTTTGTAACTTTGAGGTCCGGATTAACGACTTTTGACTGTAATAAATATTCTTAAGAAAAATTAACATTTAAATTGGATGTATTGAAGGTGTTTAACAAGAAAAGTAATTAAATAATTTTAATACCAATCTCTGCAACAAAACAAAGTGAATATGCTTTCTTCTGTTGTAACAGTTAAGTGATAAGTTATCTTAATATGTCGTCTAAGTAATGGGCTACTTATATACAGTGGTTTTCAGAAAGACATTTTTAACCCCTGAGTGGAATGATCAACTTAATCCAGTCAGATTTTTTGTCATTTGGTATATATTAGATTATAATTAAAAATACTTTGCTTTCTTACTTTGTTTAATAATGTAAATGACTCAATGAATAGAAGTTTATAAAAACGGAAACTAAAACAAGTAATTAGAAGCTGTTTAAGTATAGGTTAAACTGTTAAGTACAGGTAAGGTAAACAATATTTTTCATAGCAGATCCAAAAAGTTGAGTCAGTCAGAGGGTTAAGAGGGAAAATATTGTTTTTATATTCAAGCTAATTTGGTAGTTGATAAGCCAAAATTATTCCATTTACATTTTTATTCATTTCAATTTAGAAGAATACATTTTTGTGTTTTACTTTTCAAAACATCAAAATGTAATGCAGATTATAATAATTTTTAGAGAATAATATACAGTACAAAGTCCGTAATCCGGACGCGTCGGGACTTCGGCGATTCCGGATTATAGGTCATCAATTTAAACCTGGTAAGATGGTATGCAGAAATTATACAATTAAAAATATGAAACTGTAATTTATTAAATAAAGAGCAATTATGATTAAAGTGTATCAAAATTTACAAAAAATGCTTAATATTTATTTGTTTACTTTAGTAAACAATCAATGTAAGTTGTTTTGTTTTTGTGCTAATACTTTCTCTTACTCTCTCTTTCTAATACACATACCTTAATTCTATAAACAGACATAATTTCTTGTTCAGTTACAAAGTTCCACCGTTCAAGTCCTGTAATTGCTGTGTCGAGAATACGGACTAACTTGTCAATCGAAATTTTTTTATTTTCAACAACGTTCTCTGGTACTTTCTTCACAATTTGAAGATCATATGGGTAAATGCTTTATGCGCATGCGTAAGTTTGTGGCTTTGAGGTCCGGATTATAAATCATTTCAGATAATGGATGTCCGGATTACAGACTTTGTACTGTACTAATTGAAAACATAAAACACTAGAAAATAAGAAATACACTTTTAGTTTGTAATGTCTTATTTGTTTTTGACATCATTATTGGGGTAATTTTTAAAAATTGTAACTTCTGTAAATCAGTTTCCATATTTTGCATAATTTATCAAATTCATGTTTGAAGAAAAGGAAAGTATCTGAATTGTAGACTATTAAACTGTTAAAGATTTAAAACATTTTTTTTTCCTTCCCATCACTTTTTGAATGTTCTGTAACATGAAATAAATTAAAATTTATGTAATGCGATATGGCAGTACTTGCGAAATTGTTAGATATGTCAAATAGGACTAAACAACATAGATAATTAAATTTCAGCATAAGAAATGGTTGAATTAATTGAATGCTGGATAATTCAGCTTTTATTGTACTAATAAATCTCTTGAAATATTCTTCAGAAGATTAATTGGAACAAACATAAAGCAATCAATGCTTTTTTGAGGGGAGGGAGAGATAATTTAGTAATAAATTTGATATGTTAATTTTAGTAATAAAAATAAAAATTGCCAAATAATATTTCTTCTGTAATTTTGTTTGACAAACAACAAGAACTGTATTTTATTCTATTTTCTTTTTAGTTGGCAGAGCAGCGGGAACTCAACAAGAAACTAACCTCAGCACTTGAAAATGGAGATGCAGATGCAAACCACAATACAGATAAAAGTTTCAATCACATCAGTCATTTCCTGGAAACGCTGAAACAGAGTCGCAGTAATATTTCCTCTGATGAAGGTGATTTTGAACAAATCTACAAGCTGCGTCTAACATCACCAGAAATGCTCAAGAATAAGGTCAATGTCTAGTAAATGTCTTCCTAAATTTTTAACCTATGAAGTGAACAACTGAACGATACTAACATATCAGTTGTTTGAGAGTTATTTTCCATTAGTGAAGATATCAATTAAACTTCATAGGTACATGTCTTAAGTTGCTGATGCACTTGAACAAAACTGTATGTAGTATAAATGGCATTTACAACTTTAACTGCTATAATCAATAACGCAATAGAAGTGGACAGTACTTCATAAAGGTGCACAATCAATTTTTTTTAAACCTAGCCGTCCACGAGACAAATAAGGTGGATACTACACTTCCCAAGAACTAGTGCATTTAACGCTAAAGATAAAATACATTTTTCAACTATTTGCAGTTTCATTTTACTATATATTGCGGATTATTTTTCCGTTGGTATAATGCTTCAATGAAATTAATTTATTAAACAATGTAGCTGAACTGCATTCTTGCTGCTATTGGAAATAAGTTGTTATACTTGTATTAGGAACAAATGTTTATAACTACTACCTTTTTGTGGCTGTTGTGTACTTTATCAGTTAAAAGCTATAAATAAAATATACAATGATTATATAGTAATAAATTAATTTCCCGTGAATGGTTTGCATTTTGCTTGTCTTGATTCCATTATGGTCTATAAAGCATAAATGTTTGTACTAGTCAGTTCCAAATGATGAATGATAACTTTCTGTAAATATCCCAGCATTTTTATAGTACTAATATGACATAATGCAAAGAGCATAAAATATTTATTAGTATTGTATTTTGAGTATAAAAAAAGTCTCTTGTAAAGAAGAAGTAATTAGATTCTTGTTATTTACATTGATTTTGATTGCACTGGAATAAGTTCGAAAAAAATTAAAATTAAGAAAAGTTTTTAAAATTGAAACACTACCAAAAACATGGCATGTTTTTTACCAACAGCCAAAAATACTTGATGAAAAATTCCTTTTAAGAATAAAATAATAAGTAATACGAATTTTCTAAATTTATAAAGCACATTTACAGACTTTTAATGGGTATACTTTTTGACAATTTTTAGATTAGGGTCTTTAGAAACTTTTATGCTGTTTTTAATAATAAACTAAATTATTAAATGTTAATTGTTGTGCGTTGGTTAAAACAACTTTCTTCATTCCAGTCAAAAAGTGTGATTTTTGTAATCATTTGTTGTTTTCTTTGCTGTGTATTCTGTGGTGCTACGCAACATAATCCCAGCCATGTATAAAAAAAAATAAAATAACTATAGAGCCATTTTAGCTTATTGTATATTTTAATTGCATGTTATCTGTCCATATTTGCTTTTCATAATTATTTTTACACCATAAAATTTTGCATTTTAGCATGAAAAAAAGCAAGTTATTTAATCAATGTTCAGAAAAAATAAGTAGATTTTTGTCATTAAATGTACAAGGTCTAGAATTGTACTTTGGTTAAGAATGTGATTATTCTCTTCTGTATTTATTATAGCTTTTTATATGCACTAGCTGTTTAAGGCATAGAATAAAATTAAAGCTGTAGTTATATGAATTTTATTCATGTGCAAATCAGTTTTTTAATATATTTGAATGTTTCCTCAAATATAAATATCCTGTATAGGGAAATATTTATTTAATACCCTACATATGGGAAAATTAATAAATTTAAGAGTGCTGTAGAATGAATGAGGTGCTATAAGAAACTGACAGATGCAAGTATATACTATGAAAGATGTTTATATATGTAATATTTTAAAATGCCAAATATGTAAAATTATGAACAAATTAAAAATAGTTTGCTAATATCATAAAAATAGTATAAAATTATATAGTTTATTAGAATATTTTAATTTATGAAATTATTGTATAAACAGTGGGACGAGTTGTTATTTTCAAAAAATCTCCCCATTTCTGAAATTTGTTCTGATGTGTTAAAAAATACTGCTTTGAGTCTTGTAAATAGTGTAATATGTATTATTAAATTTAAGTTAAAATTATGATTGTTTTTATTATGAAATACATTACACAATACAGACTTTATTTTTAACAGTTTCTGAAAAATAGTATCAAACAAATAATGAACTGTTTCAATTCTGGTCTGCTCAGTATATAATTATATTGATACTAATGAATTTAAAATGTTTATACTATATTATTGAAAATAATCAATATATACACCTAAGGATGGCTATATATGCTTTGGAAGGAGATTTATTTTTAATATGAAAACCTTACATTTCTTTTAACTTCAGCTTTATACATAATTTTTAATTAATCAACTATTAATGATTGATTTTCTGTAAGACGTTATAAGCACTGACACAAAATCATATTTCTTATAAGGATGCCTAAAAATATATAAAATTCCTTTGAACAGGAATTTAAAATTTACTGTTAAGTTTTAATATAAAGATACTGAGTTATTTTAAGTTTACTTCTAACATAAATTGGATTGAACAAAGAAATTCAGAAGCTGTTATAAAAATAAAATGAACTGAACAAAGAAATTCAGAAAAAATACACAATAAAAATTCAACTGGTTTATTATTTATAAAAATATACATTCCATACAGCAATATAAATTCATGTACAAGTCAGATGGATGTTTATTTTAACATAATGCCTGATGGGTTATGTTAAATGCATCACACATATAATATATTAATACCATATGGTTGAATATAAAACAGTATGGTTATATACATTTGTTGACTTTATAAATTTTATATCTCAAATTTATATAAGTAAAATGACATACTTTCAAAAACTCTCGAACTGTATTTTTAAATAGCAAAATATGTACAGTTTTATGAAAAAAATACCTTCTGCTCTTGGAACAGATTTAGACAAGTTTCCTCTTTTGAGTCAAATATTGAAAATCATTAAAGCAACAAAAATTGCATTATATTCAATAAGAAATACCTTCTAAATAAGAAGTTAAATAACAGAATCTTTAACAGATATCTAATAAAATAATACAAAATACATTTGGCTGAAAGAATCATGGAAGTTGTCTTCCCTTATTCCATCTCAGTCAAATAAGTTTCAAAAGTTGCATCAATGGAGTCTTTAGAATATTTGCACAGTTTAGAATTACAGGTACAAAGGACAGTTTGGCATTTTATGATCCAAAAATCAATTCCATAGTCAAAACTAAAAAGTAAAAGAAACAAAATTTATAATTTTATTAACTTTAAGGTAGAATACCATAGTTAAATTGATAATACAGACAATAAAATGAAAAAAAAAAGTAAGCATATTCAGTACAATTAGATGTGTGGTTAAAACACCAGCCAGCATTCTAAAGCTTGTTTAAAATTTAAAGGCAGCTGAAAATAATATTAAATGAAAGACTGTAAAATGATTAATTACACTGAAAATACTTTCACTAATACATAGAATAGTCAAGATTATTTATACAATAAGACAATTTACTTACATACATTATGCCTATGATGATACCTCAAAGGGAGGGAATTCAACTTAGAACTCTTTTTTTCATCACGCAAGCAATTTAACACCTAACAATTTACAGTATAAATACAGCATTGAATAATTTCAAAGACTGTTTCATTCCAAGCAAGGCATATTTAAACAGTTACACTTTGTTTTGCAACTGAATGAATGATATAAAAAATCAGCAACTTTGTCTTTCAATCTAAATTATTCCTGCAAATTGACTGCAAAGAATTCTTCTATTATTGACTAAAAAAGATAAATTTTTGATTTTAAAAGCTTAAATATAAAATTAACTCGTCAATAAACTCAAATTAACTGCAATGAATTCTTCTGTTATTGACTAAAAAGGATAATTTTCTGATTTTAAAAGTGTAAATTTAAAATTAACTCAAGCAAACAAACAGTAAGCCTATTTTGCATAATATAAGACTCATCTCTAGGGATCAATGTGGCTTTTAAGAGCTCTAATTCTTTTCACTTAAAATGAATAAAATGCAGGCAAAATGCTTCATATAATAGCATAAATGCCATTAAGTAAAGTAAAGCTATGTCTTTCACATTCTGAAAAAATTATATCTCTCATGACAGAATTATTAGAGTTATTCTAAAGCATGGTAAAGTAATGTATACAAACAAAAAGAGCACGGTGTGTAAAATATGTTTTGGGAAACTGCTAATTTTTTTACTTTTAATGTAAAAGTAAACAAGGCTTCATTATTTTCATACCATTTCATTGCTTGTATAATTTAAAATTCTGATACATGTATAATTATACATTAATTATGGGTATAAATAAGAATGCAGATTTTCATACAACTCTAAATATTTTTAATGATTTTTAAAGTTTTATTTATTAATAAATTAGCATGCACATAGAAGTATTACATATCCAAAACAATACGTTTATTCAATGCAACTACAATCTTGTCATAATGAATAAATACTTCACAATGAAAACAATTTTTCTAGCTATCTAAGATGTTACTAACTCTTTTACATATTCTTACACTAGCCGTTTCATTTCAATTCAATACAAAGCATAAAAGGCAGTCTATTTATTTGGACTATGATAATGAAAAGAATTATGAGACACTTTTCTTGCAGCCTTTCAACTGATTAAGAACCAATTAATGAATTCAACAGTGAGATTTTTGAATAATACTGAGGTTATCAGAACTCCATGCTTAAGAAAGGTATTATATCTCAAGAGTTCCATGAGATATGTAAGTGAACGCAAAGACTTTTCCAGAAGAAAATATGGATGGAGGGGATGGCTAAAAGCTAATAAATCAATTTCAGAGAAAAATGAAGCTCTAAAATTAGTACAAATTTGAATAATGTAAGAAATGTGACAAATCTTGATGCACAATCTGAGGTTATCAGAACTTTTGTCTCAGTTTATGAAAAATTGCTGTAACAATTGGTGGAACAATATCATCAACAGATAAAAGAAAAAAAAAAATAATAATAATGAAAGCATCATTCAATAAATATGACAACTAAACTTTTAATTTTGGATGTTTCATTTTGACATAATGGTTAAGAAACTATACCAGCTTTCTAATGCACATCCTTAAGTTTCTGTTTGCATATGTTGATTATGAAGAAATAAAACTTTTCTTGAAAGTAATTTTTTTGTGGGTTCAAAATTTAAATAGTCAGTCTTCCCCTCCCCTTATAAGTACAAAAGTTGACAGCGTCATGAATATTTAATATATAATTATATATTAATATAATGAAATATTGATATTTAATGCACTTTTAAAGTTATTTATGCAGAAAATGTGTTTATATATTTAAAGTATGAAAAATACAGCCTGAACAGTCATAAAGTTTGGAGAAAAATTATGAATTTTTAGGAGAATCACACATTATTCACAAAAATCAATATACGACTAAATTTTATGTTAATGCATTGCCCTTACATTTTTTCACATCAATATGCTAGTCTTTAAACTACTGATTTAGTAACTCACATAAATTATGATAACATGACCTTAAGCTTATGTCTGTTGAAATGTAGCATAACAAGTCCTTGCTACAGACACTAACACAATCAAATTCAATATGCCACAAAACTTAAATTAATTTAGAATAGCACAAAAAATACAAAAATTTAAAATTATGAAGCAGTAATGTCATAAATGTCATGTTTATATTTATTGGAACATTCATATTGAAACTATATAAAAGAAACTTTTGTATATAAAAAGAAAAAATAATTAAAATTGAATATTTTACAGTTATGTTGATTCTGAAGTATTTAAACTATTTTATGGTAATAAATCAACAATTTTGTATAATGTTACAGATTTCAAAAGTGCACAGATCTAATTATTACAACTTACCACAATTCTTCATATGCTTGTACTTCTTTCAAAGTGAAAAATGCAATACGAGGAAAGTTTAAATCTTGATGCTCAACAAACACTTTGAGAGCTATTAAGTTAGGCTCGCAACTATGATTAAGAAATCTAGCAATATTGCCATAAAAACGACCATCCAAACAGTAATCAGCAGTCTATAGAAATGAAAGAACACATTTATTAATATTTAAATTCTAAGCTAACACAATTTAAATAAATACTTTAAAATAAGAAGGGAAATTTATTAAAACAAGTGTCTCCATCTTGTGTATTTTAGCATAAGTATTAATCATTTTTAAGGTTCAATAATACACTCTTTTGCAAAAGAATCCAAACATCAAGAAGGACTTTTGTAACCTTAACAAAAATTGGTATGCAAAAACATCTTGATCGAACATGCAAATGATCAAAGTTTCAAGGTAATTGAACAGGAATTGCGATCATAGCACGCATTTCTAGTGCACAATTTGCAAAGTATAAAACCAGTAACAGAGCCGGAAAATTTATCATTTTTTTGTTGCTGTCATTGTAATTCCGTAAAGAAGCAAATAAAGATGCCATTACGAAGCTATTGAAGACCTTACAGACAACTAAAACGACTTTGAACATGGTCGCATTGTAGGGTTGCGTGAAGCTGAGTGGTCATACCGAGCAATAGGCTGCCACCTGTAGCATACAGAGACTGCTGTGCAAAGATGTTGGCAGCAATGGTTGCTACAAGGAAATTGATGACAAAATGAAGGCTCTGGAAGGTCAAGGAGCACAAATGCAAGGAAGATAGGATGATTGGTATCATTGTCAACTATTCAACACACTACAGCCACGTCTATACTTCCCGTGGTACCGTCCACCATCTCACGCCGCTTGTCTGAGGTGGGGTTACACTCACAGAGGACTTTAAGACGTTTGCCTTTGACCCCACAACATCAGCAAAGTCGTTTGGAGTGGTATCGCAGCCGATCATCATGGCTACCATCAGACTGGCATTGTATAGTGTTAAGCGATGAATCCCGCTTCACTCTTGAAGCAGATGACCACCGTGTTTGTGTCCGGAGAGGACGGAGCCAGCGCTCCCAATCAGCCTTTTACAAAGGCATACAGCCATAACCTCTGGTGTGATGATGTGGGGTGCTGTTTTTTATGACAGCAGGTCATCTTTAATCATCCTCCATACATCTTTAACAGCTCAACGATATGTTGATACCATCCTGCAGGCCGTTACATTACTCTTCATGGCACGTCATCCTGGGGCGATTTTCCACCAAGATAATGCCAGGCCACATACCGCTCGCATATCTCTGTGCGGTTGATAATCTTCCTTGGCCAGCAAAGTCACCAGACCTTTCCCCAATCGAGCATGTCTGGAACAAAGTAGGCCGCAAGATTCGGGCACCACAAAATATCACAAATCTGGAGCAACAACTGATGAATGCCTGGCAGAATGTTTTGCAGGATGACATTAGGAAACACTACCACTCCTTGCCTCGACAAATTCAAGCATGAATTGCCTTTAGAGACGGTTCGACCAAAATTAATAACAAAAATTACTACAAACCTTCTACCGTAAATATGGGATTTTAATCTTGGAGAAAGCATGAATATTTGTAATGTCTGCAAGACATGGGGACGCTCACATTATGTTGCGAACTAAAAGACCACTTGAGTGGATTGGTGGTAAAGAGGTATGGAGGGCCCAACCACAGGGGTGCTCTCCATAAAAACTAGGAGTGTCATACTGTCTCCTAAATGGCACTCAAGACTCATACCAATGACAGATGAACTGAGGATTCCTTGCCACTATAAAATTTCCGGACTTGTTTTGATTGAGAAATGAGATTAGCAGCAACAACAAGGATAACAAAAGTTCCTTAGTAATGAGAAATTAGACAATTGCTACAAAATTTTTAGGTGTTAAGAGGCAATTAAATCAGCAGAGAAACTGGTCTGAATTAGGTAGTATATTTGCATTTTTAATAGTTTTAACATGAAACTGATAATATTACTGGATGAAAAATAGATTTTCTATTTAATAATATAGCTGCTTAAAGTAATATTTTATCATTACTTAGAAATCTACAGAATTTTTTTTACATTACAAAAGTATTAAAAAACAATAAAACAACCACACACACATAAATATTATATATTTATTTAAAATACAAATATCTTTAACACTGACATTTTTATCTGAACTTTACTTGCTTGTGACAGAAGAAAGGTTATGTTTACTAGGCAGTGATAATGTAAATGTTAAAGGGAAATCTTCACAAATATTTTTAATTGAATACTAATAGTTAATCACAATAAGTTTTAACAATTTTTACAGGAAATATATCTTTCTTTTTCACCACAAGAATTACATATTCATATATATGTGTGTATGATGATATAGAGATTGATAGTGTGATGTATAATGTACATTTGCAGTCAAAAATCAGCCATTGTGAGGATTTAACACATTTTTCTTCATTCTCGAGAAGCACACTGTTCCTCAACTTTCTGATTTGATGCAGCTTATAATTTTTTTCCCGCCTGTTATTATTACAGCAATTTTATGAAGTTGAACTTTCGATTACATCGAAAAGAGTTTCTAATTCTGGAGCTACAAAAGGATTTACGAGGCGAAAGCATGTTTCAATGTCCATTAAACAAAAAGTGGAATTGCTACAAAAATGAATAAAGGTTTCTCGTTTCTCAAAATTAGGCGAGGAATATGGCATTGGAAAGTCAACTGTATATGACATAAGAAATCAGAAAAAGGAATTTTTTGTTATTCTGATACAATGAATAACAGAAAAATTATTTGTTATGCTAGAAGCGATGATCATGACAAAGTATTGATTGAATGTGTCAGACAGTGTCGCAGTGAGGACGTGCCATTGACGGATACAGTGCTAATGGCTCAAGCCAAAATATTTCATGAAGAAATGAATTTAGTGCCCATATTTGGACAGGTTTGTTAACCAAATTTAAAAATTGCCATAGTATAAGGTGTTTAAAGAAAGCTGCTGAACTATTTGCAGATGAATTCATTGAACTCATTAATAATGAAAAGTTATCTCTAGAACAAACAGTGCTGATGAAATTGGTATTTACTGGCAATATGTACCATGAAATACCTTGGCAACCTCTACAGAAAAGGCTCCAAGCGTTGTCAAAGATTCCAAAGCAAAACTAAAAATTTTAGCATGCGCAAATGCTGCAGGAATGCATAGCTGAAAACTTTCATAATAATAATAATAATAATAATAAATACATGAACTCGAGCATGTAAAAGAGTAAAGAATTTCCACGTTATATATCTTGAAAATAGAAGAGCATGGATGACACAAGCATTAATGAATGAGTGGTTTGAAAATCATTTCATACCCGAGGCTCGGCAACATTTAAATTTGATTCGTTTACCTGATGAAGTAAAAACTGTCCTGATTGTAGACAACTATTCGCCTCATACTTCACTTAAAGTTTTAGTGAAAGATAATGTATCCATATTATTTTTACTTCCAAACTGTATGTCCATCATTCAGCCTATGTATATAGTAGTAGTGCACACACCGAAATTCAAATTTAAAGTAACATTTTAAAAATCCATGTTAAATTTCTTGAATAATGGCAAGACTGTTCAAGAATTTTTGAAATAATTTAACATAAAATCTGTTGTGGAGCAATGCAAGATCATGCATCATGCGAGGGTGTGTCTTCAGATACTTTTTAAAAATACTTGGCATAATCTATGGTCGGCTACCATGCTTCATGGTGAGGATGATGTAGATGACAACCGCAAATTTTAACGTATTCAGATATAGAAAACCAAAGATGAAATTTTCCAATTAATGGATTTTGTAAAGAAATGTGTAAAAGCAGTAATAAATGAAGATGATATAACAGAAGTTTTTCATTGCGATGACAATGCCCCAATCATCAATCAACGGATGGCGAAAAGCATAGTATGGTTCTAGATCCAGAAAATACTGCTATCGATAGTGAAGAAAGTGACAGAGAGGTTATTGAAATTTAAAAAAATTGTATTGATAAGTTAGTTGGAATACTTGACACAGCAATTACAGGACTTGAACAAAATGGAACTTTGAAACTGAACAAAAAATTGTCTGTCTATAGAATTAAAGAGAAAGTATTATCACAGAAATCGAAGCAACTTAAATAACTTACATTGAAAGAAATGTTAAATAAAGTAAACAAATAAATATTACGCGTGCGCGTAAGACCTTGACTACTGCGCATATGCGTATGCACAAGTGCAGAATACGTTTTCGCCTGCGCGTTTAATGTATAACGGACGGTGTAAGCTAAAATTATCTAATTATCTATTTCAGTTAATCTTAATGATTGTGTTGTTCCTTAATCTTCGAATTGGATCCCGCTTATTATTTTTTGCAGACTGTAAGAGCAATTTTATAAAAGTAAACTTGAACTTTCGTTTATGTCAAATAGAATTTCCGATGCTGGAACTTCCAAAGGATCTACAAAACGAAAGTATGTTTCGATGTCCAACAAAAAAAAAGTGGAATTGCTGCAAAAAATGGATAAAGACATGAAGAATGTGACAGAGAGGTTAGTGAAAACGAAAAAAAAGAAAAGTATTTCACATAAACGAAGCAACTTAAACAACTTACATTGAAAGAAATGTTTAATAAAGTAAACAAATAAATATTAAGCTTTTTTTTTGTTAAATTTTGATACCCTTTAGATCATAATTGTTCTTTATTTCATAAATTACGGTTTCATATTTTTAATTTTAGAATTTCTACATGCCATCTTACGAGATTTAAACTGATGATCTATAATCCAGAAAAATCGATAATATGGAATCGCCGAAGTCCCGACGAGTCTGGATTAACGACTTTTGACTGTATAAATTTGCAAATATTATAACCTTCAGGCAGCAAGTAAAATAAAAAGTATATCTAGGAGATCATGAATCATTTAAAACTATTTTACTAATACATGCAGCATATAAATGAATAAATTATATAAAAAATAAAGTAATTCAAAATAAAAGCCCTGCACACTTACTTCACTCTCAAGATCAAAAAAATAAGTATCATCTCCCCGCTGAATTGCTTCATGTCCAGTTATCAATTCTCCAACATATCTATCCAAAACATATTTAAATTAAAGTCACACAGTAATAATTCATCTAATAAAAATATAAGTGATAATTAATTAAAATTATATATAACAGCCATTTTTGCTCATAAGAAAGATTCTTGGCTGTTTTAATTGTTTTTATAGCCTTCTTATCCTAATACATATATTTAAGTCTGCAAGTACAGTTAGATTTTATGAAGTGATTATGGGGTAACTGTACAGAGGGCATTCTAAGGTAAATTAACTCCTATTTATGTTATAAACAAAAAAGAATAGAAAAGTCTTATAATAATGGAATATGAAGAAAATCTACATTTTGAATGCTGGAAGCATAACTTTTTACTTCATTTTTAGATAAAACAACCTGTGATCTATTATTACAGGAACATTCTGGCAGATTAGAACAATTTCCCTTAATTCTTTTAACTAGTAAGCTGTTTGTATTAAAAATATGAGAATGGCCAGAACTTTTCTTGCAATTTTTACAACTTCCTTCCATTTCTACCTTTAATTCACCCTCCTCCAAAAAATATATGTTGATACTGTCCAATGCTAAAATAAGGCTGATTCTCCCACAGGTATTTGAGTAAACGGAAGGACAAAGAATTTTCGTAAAATGAAAGGCCAAGTGGGCAGACGTTTATAGCAGCTCGGTTAAAACTCTGATTTCTTAGTGAAAGGATTCAGTTCTTAAATCTTGCTATTTCAAAACTAATACATTCAGAACAACTCATAAGTACAACAAGGTTCCCACAGATATTAATTTTTTTTTCTCTGATGAAATAGTTATTCAATTAAGTATGACTAACTGAAAAAATTAGTGTGTTTACTACAACATACAATACAATAACTATGTTTATTATTGTATATATATATATACATATTTATAGGAATTATGTGTCTAAATCACTTTAAAAGTATATCATGTTTTTAAAAAGAAATATCAAACTCTGAAGAAAACTGTTCTTTCGACAAAAAATGTTTTACAGAAGTATGATTCAGAATAAATATTACTACTATGGTATTTCAGAATTACACTGGAAAAAAGTTTATTTAACACAATTACTGATTATAACACAATACGTACGTGGATTGAAAAGTAATGCATAATGAATCCACTGTAGCTTGGTAAGAGAAAGCACTAGGTAAATGAAATTTTGAAAGATTTTTTCGTTACCACCTGATGTACACAAAATTTTAATTTTTGCTGTTGCAGTAAAACCACCATGAATAATCAATATGAGACACTACTGTTGAAAACAGCCTCCAAATAAATAGATAAACAGTTCTGTTTCACCAGATGGCACACGGCATGATTTTTTTTTTTTTAAATGTTAAATTTTACCTCATTTAAAATTAGCAACAAGAGTTCAGATTCAAGAAAGATGTAAGATGTTGACTGTAATCCTTTTTCAATTTTTTTTTTTTTTAAAGATATGAATGCTTTTTGTGTTTGACATGTAAGATTTATTTGAAATAAAAGTATTTTCTTGGAATATAAATTTCATATATTTATGTGATTCGAGATATTTATGTGATTTGTCAAAATCAAATAAATGATTTGTCAAAAGCCAGTTACACTGGCCGTTAGGCCATTAAACTCCTTGCTTGCCAATAACGCTGAAATCTACAAGAAAAATTTGTCAGTGTTTCACACTCGTCCAAATGATCCGCCGTCATTGGCCGTTCACTATTACATAAAACACACAACGGCGAATCAGCTATCCAATGCGAAATAAATTACTCTGTAGACAGTCATGTCCCGTCAATGGTCTAAAGATGCAACTGCAACTGTTTACAGGTGGTCAGGATTAAAAGCTGGGTTTGATGAGAGAACACTTCAAGGCTTGCCCTCACAAGCCCGAGTGGCAAAATCTCTAAAAGTCTTTTGATATGTTAGCGATGTCAGAAGCTTAATAGAATGGAGGCTTGCACTTGTTTTTGGCTCTTGGAGAACCACAGCCCCCCTTTTCGAAAGCATATCAGCCATCTCATTCCCATAAATACTGCAGTGTGAAGGTACCCATTGAAAAGATATCTCGTGGGAAAGTTTCTTTTATGACCTCTTGACAATGTTGGACGCATGTGTTCTTACACTCTTGGTAAGAGGAGATGGCCTGTATTGAAGTCGAATCAGACAGTACAACAGCCCTCCTGAACGAGCTCTGTTTCAATGATAATTGTTGGAGAGCTACATGAATGGCTTTCAGTTCTCCATTAAAGTGAGTGGAGTAAGCCCCTACAGGTATGTAGAAACTGAAAAGCTTGCTAAAAACTCCAGCTCCAGTGCCCTGAATTCTATCAGTCAAAGAGTCAAAGAGGAATGTTATATACATGTATACATTCCTCAGCTAGAAAACGTTGCTCAATTGTTTCCAAAGCTATAGTTCTTATTTGCTCTGGACTCATTTCCTTCTTATCAACTTTCATTTCCAGGTCCAACTGCACATCAAGGAAGCTGTAATTCAAAGGATTTAGCAAAAACAGCAGTGCCGGTTTCAGTGTTCTTAAATGATTGTATTGTTCTAGGTGAGAGACACACTGCAGAAAGCCATTTTATGTTTTTGATCGAGATATTTTAGATCTTTTATCTAAAGATCCGAACACGGATCAAAATATGTTTGATCAAGAATATGAAAGGATAAAATCTTATTCTGATTTTTGAAAATGAAAGTGGAATGATTTCGAAATTAACTGTGTAATAAAATATCTAATAATGATTCTTCTGTTGAAGTGGTAAATAAAAGAAGTATTAAATTACCTAAAATCGAGTTACAAAAATATGATGGTTCAATTAAAGGAGTTTTGGAATTTAAGAAAATTCATGATGACCCATGTTTATCGCATGAAGACAAGTTTATATATCTCATTCAAAGCACAACAGAGAAGTCGCAAGCTCGTGACCTTTTGAAAAGTTTCCCAACTATGTCAGATAATTATCCGTTGGTGATAGAATGTATGAAGTCGTATTTTGGTAAAGACGAATTACTAATTGAAGTGTATGTGTGTGAATTGTTGACTTTAGTATTGAGCCATAATAAATGTAATTTAGCGAAGCTTTATGATAAGATCGAAGGATATTTAAGAGCCTTAAGTACCTTAGGCGTTACCTCTGATAAATATGCAGCTATGTTCTATCCTCTGGTTGAGAGCTGTTTATCCAAGGATGTTTTGAAAATATGGGAACAACATATCAGTTCTCTTTTAGTTAATGAAAAGGGGAAAGGGGAAGTAAATAAATTAGCTATTCTAATAGAATTTTTAAAATCAGAAATGGATGGGGAACAAAGACTTGCAAATGATAGAAATTCATTTGATAATGAAAGGAAACCTTTAAAAAGATCATCTAAGCAGAATCTTAACGAAAATAAATGTGATATTCCGATCACTGCTAGTCTTTTAAATACGAATGGTTATAACGAAAAGAACTGTATTTTTTTGTGAGAAAAAACACAATTCTCAAGATTGCAATAAAGTGAAAAAAATGAGTTTGGATGAAAAAAGGGATATAGCTAAAAGGGCTGCTTGTTGCTTTTCCTGCATTAAGAGGGGATATGTTTCGAAGCAGTGCCATAGTAGTATAAAATGCTTTATATGGAGTAAATTTCGTTGTACTGTTATGTGTCCAAATCCTTTATTTGAATCAAAAGCAGATCTTCAAAAATCAGTTGAAAACCCGAACTGTACCCAGCTCAAGGATCAGGCCCTTACAAGTCAAGTCTAACTCAACAGGAGTACTGTTACAAACATTGCAAGTTTATCTTAGGGGTAAAAATGGTAGACACATCGTAAGAGCCCTTTATGATACAGGAAGTCAACATTCTTATATTAGTGCCAAAGCAGTTAAGCTATTGAACTACAAGTGTTTAGGAGAGATACCAATAGTTCACAGTTTATTTGGTGGTCTTGAATCTCCTCAACTGAAGCATTGCCGTTTTATAGTGTATTTGACTAGTTTAGATGAGAATTACAGTTGTAATTTTGAGTACTTAGAACAAGAAAAGATTTTCAGTAACGTAATGAAAATCCCGCAAGGCCCATGGATGACAGATCTTCGCAAGAGGAAGATAACTTTGACTGATAGTACCAGTAACTCCTTACAAGAAACTGATTCTCAGATTCATCTACTTATCGGAGCAGATGTAAACTTTTAAATGGGAAAGTACAAGTTTTAGCTGATGGTCCAGTTTCAAATGGCCAATAATATTGCCTAGCAAACATCCAGTTGTTCATTTGCTTATGTTGGGAACATCATAGAAGATTGAGCCATGCTGAAGTACAAACGTTAATGGCTCAACTGAGAGAAAACTTCTGGATATTAAGATGCAGAAAAACTGTTTATGAAGTTTTGAGATACTGCAAGAATTGTAGAAGATTTGAAGATTCCAATGCTGAGGTTATGGCTGCCCCTTTGCCAGAAAATCATGTAAAGAATGCAGCTGCGTTTGAAATAACAGGAATTGATTTAGGAGGGCCATTATACTTAAGAAAAGGAGATAAAAGCTTAGTTCGTCCTCTTCACATGTGCTGTGATTCAAGCAGTGCACATAGAGTTAGTACAATCACTGAATACCGAAACCTTTTGCTTAGCATTTCGAAGATTCGTATCACTCTTGTATGTTTATTCTAATAACGGTACAAATATTTTAGGAACTAATAATATTTTCCACCACATAGAATGGCACAAGGTAGAGGAATTGGCTTTAGTTAAGCAGATTCAGTGGATTTTCATCCCTCCTACTGCTGCCTGGTGGGGCGGATGGGAGCGACTAATTGGAATGACTAAAAGAATCTTAAGAAGAAACCTGGGACCCGTTCGACTACATTATGATGAACTGGCTCCCATTTTATGTGAAGCAGAATATATAATCAATAGCCGTCCCTTGACTTATCTGGCAGAGAATGTTGAAGGCTTACAACCATTAACTTTATTTTTACAAAAAATACGTACTCGATCTCTCACTGAATTAGATGTTTTCAATTCGAGTCATTTAATAAAACGTTTTCATTATCGTGAGAAACTTAAACAAAACCTGATGAAAAGATTTCGGATAGAATACCTGGGTCAATTGAAATCTCACTCCAAGTGCAAACACCCAACCACCTTTAGAGTAGGTCAAGTTGTTCTCATTAGAAGTGACAACAGCAAACGAATGGACTGGCCTATGGGCAGAATACCTTACCCTGGACAAGACCAAAATATTCGTGTTGCTTGAATGAAAACTATAAATGGTGAACTATTAAGACCCTACCAAAGACTTTATCCTCTTGAAGTTGAAGACAGCCCAGAATGTTCCATGGTAAAAACCAGATATGGACGTATAGTAAAACCAACTCAGAGACTGAATTTGCAACTTATCTTATTGAGACTTTCTTATTGATTATTTATTGAGGTTGCATTCCTACACCAGAATGCAAGGTGGGAGGAAATGTCACAACCCCCACAGTACAGAATGGAGAGATTCCAATTTAAACTCCGGGCATCTGCGCATGCCCAGAAACTTTGGTGACTCTAACTTCTTTCAATTTATTGCTATGTTGTTTTTCTGTTAAGTGTCTCCTGTATTGAAACTGAGTGTGTATTAAAATGATTAATAAATGATGTGTGTAAACTTTTAGTAGCCTTTTTGAATTAAGAAAACAGCCTTCCCAGCGTCAACATCTTTTTACGAGCAAAGAGACAAGGTAAGAAGATTTAAGATTATTCCATTTGTTTCAATTGTTTAATTAGAATTTAGATTGCTCATGGAACTAGCATTATACTAACCATTTTAAAAGCATTAGAAATGATGATTACTCTATATATGTGCGGATAGAAAAATGATGAACTAGAAGGAGGTATCAAAATGATTTTTCTTTAAAACAAAGCAAAAGACATTCAAGTTTTAAAACATAATAGAAAAATAAAGAATAAAAAGAACAACAGTACAGAAAATCAAAATCAACATTTCCAAAATTAAGCAAACATTAATTCTAATAATTCAAGTATATCAGATTTTACATGACGACAAGTTTTCTTGCATTTTATACACATGATTAAGGTGTAACAAGAATTACACTAGATAGTATACTGAGCTGCATTTTAAGTACTAAGATACCAGTTAAAAAGATACTTACTCACAGACAAATGAACCTTTTGGAATTTTCCGTAAAGTCCGTACACCCCAACCCCGGCTTAAAGTACGGAATAGTTGTAAAGGAATTCTGAAAAGAAAGATGAAAATAAAAATGAAAGAATTTACATTCCATACTGCAAAATTTAAATGACTAAGGATATTTTCTTAACAATTTTTGCTACATAACAGTAATTTAAAAAACGAAATATGTACAAACCGTAGACCTCGCTGAACAACTCTGTTGATGCAAGCTTTAGAACAGTGGCAAGTCTTGTTGCATTCAAAAATTGCAGGAGGACCATGAAAGTCAAAGTCAGAGACAAGACAGCCATTCTATTTGAAATAATAAAATCCTTTCAGGGAAAAGAAATAAAAAAAATAATAAATTATGCTATGAGAAAAATGTAAAAAAAGTAAAAACCCTTACCAAGTCATACCAGCACTTGGAACTCATCACACAAGTACAGTATCGAGAAATGCATTTGTCTCTACAGTAACAAAGCTGCAAATTAAAGAAAAAAATTTAATAAAAAGAGCAGATGAACAATACATTGTAATTAATATACGTAATCTTAAAAGTTATTGAGATTATGTAATGCGAAAGAATTCCTTATTTTTTAAATAAAATTTACTAAAAGTTTTGTTTATTATGACAAAACATAAATATTATTTGCTCTGATGAGGAAGAACTCTGTAAGTGGTCTTAGATTGTATTGTTACACACAATGAAAAACCCCTAAACCCTATAAGGGGTTATAAATGTTAAAAGAATCAAGCCCTTTGCTTTTTAAAATAAATTCTAATATGAGTTATTAATAATCATTAAAAATTATTTAATTAAAACACTGAATTTTCATATGCATTATATAGACTTAATTTTTAATGCATTGCAAAAGCATATTAAAAATATACTTATATTTTGTTTTATTCAGTATATGAGAAAATAGGATGGTAACAAGTATGCACCTTGGTTTTGGCTACAGAAAGAAAATTACACCTCACCATTTGTTACTTTGAAATCATATCTATCTACTCAGTGTATATCTTTAATGTACAATGATCTCAAAAAATCATATATATCTAAGAAAACTATCATAAATCACGAAAATGGAAAAAGATTGTCTTTAGCAATATTCCGATCCCGAATCTCAAAACCTGAAGTTACAATAAAATACATTATTTATGAAACAAGTAGCCTATGAATGGTATATATAAAATATCAGCAAAGTAAATGAAAAATACCCTACGATACATATTGACTGTATTTACTATACTATCTTCTTTTCATTTTGATAAATGCCACAATTACCACAGAGAAAGCGTTGTCACAGTTACGTTCACAACCATACACATTATCAAAGTTTATTTTTCATTTACTATACAATACTATTGAGGATTTTATTATTTTCTCTTGCTTTTAGAATGTATTTTTAGGTCCTTTTGGTTAGGCTTTTAACAACCTATCATTTATACACAGCAATAAAAATTACTTTGCAGATGAAAAAATACTGCCATAAAATTTAAGACCATTTCTAATAAAGTCACACAGGGCAGACTATCAAATTTATTATTAAAATACCTTCATGTGCTGCTTACTATAACTGTTTTTCACTTTATACTTTACTTACATGAATGGCTGCAGAAATATTGTCATTCTACTAAAATATATTAGCAGATTATTAGCTCTGCAAAAGCAGATCAATGAATATTGCTTTTTAAGCTTTTGCATACAGTCTGCATCCAAATAAGAAATAAAACAGATTGAAGGTGAATCCTAAGCAAAAAGTACAATGGCTGTAGCATATGATATGAAAAAGTTTTACATTCCATACTGACATATTAAAATATCAAAGAAATATGTTTTGAAATTGATTAAAAATGAATTAAACAGAAATAATTAATACAATGAAAGCTGATTTATTTGAACTATATATATATACAGAGGTTGGGCAAAAATATAGAAACACCCCATAAAATGCATGTTTGAGCTGAATCCTACAAAAGCCAGTGGTGGTGCTAATATGCTTGCTCACTAACACCACCTGTACAACACCCTTAATATGTTACAAATGCCATTCATTATTGAGACAGTGTTTTGTACAGTTGTGAATGCATTATGTCAGAGCTAAATGAATTCAAATGTGGGCAATTGTATGGTGAGTGCTTCCAAGAATATTTATTAAATTAGACTGGAAATACTGAAAAAAATGGCAGAATTAAAAGCTGATGAGGAAGTAAAAATTTCTCCCCATACATTTGCTTTAAGAAGTGATTAATAAATTTGTAATTAAATTTCCTAAATAGAAACAAACAGCATTTTTTCCCTCAAGCATACAAATTTCAAGATACTTTTGTTATAACACAAAAAATTTTACAAACTGTAAAATTTCTTATAAAAACAATTTTAGAAAAAAAAAAAAAAAAAAAAAAAAACATAATGACAGATATTTAAAAATTCACTGAATTACAATTTACCTGCATAGTGTCTACCAATGTGTTTATATCCACTCCTGATCTAAAACAGCTTTTGGTAATATATCTGAATTCCATAATGAACTCTTCTTCATCTACTTCATTAATAACTTCAATGGGAAATACCTCAGAACCTCGAGAAATATCCCTTAAAAAGGATAGACATATCAATATTTTCAAAGAACCTAAACGAAGCTCTGTAGCAAAATTATTAAACATACATACCTGAAAACAACACGCTGTTCTAGTTTTCCTTTTATAGGACCCATAGATTTATAGTGATTTAAAAGTTTCCAAGATAAAGAATTATCTCCACAGCACTAAAAAAGAACAATATATAAAGTCTGAATCTATCATTTTTCACATATCTGTGCAATATTAAGTTTCTCTAATACTTTAGTTTTTGGCATGCAAATATGTATATTTATAAATGCAATATAAATATACATATTTGCTCTCTACGATTTTTTTAAAAAAATCTAAATTAAAAAATTGCTCAATTTAAAATAATAACTGACAGAAAGTATTATAAAATAAATGCAACAGCAGCATTAAAGAAGGCTATAAGCAGGATTAAAAATTGATATAATTAGACACAAAAAAATCTACCTATATTTTGTGGCAATACTACTATAATGCATATAAAATGTGCAATAAATTGATAATTGGACACTATTATATCTTGTGTGCAATATTACTATGTGCAATATATATATATTAGTGTGCAAAACTTCAGCGAAAAGTTCATTTTTCAACATAAACCATGAACTCATGAAAACATGAAAGAGTTTTTTCAATCAGTACAATGAAAAGGCAAATTAAGAAAAGTTATACATATGCAAAAATATCAGTACCATCATGTCAGAGGGTATGTTAGGGCACACAAAACACAAGGAGTCATGAACACAGTATAAGGCAACTTAAAAAGAAGAAAGGAATGCTGGTTGGTTTGTGTGACAGTATGGGGCACCATCTCATATGACTTCTAATCACATCTAACACTCATTCAGAGCACAATGAAAACTCAGTAGTAGTTTGTGACATTATTCCGCCACATGTGTTGCTTCTTGTGGCAGAGCTAATAGAAGAACTATTTCGAGAAAACAGTGCTTGACCACAAACACGCACCAAGGGTGTATAAGACAGCGTTCACTACATTAATCACCTTTTCCTGGCTTGCCCGATTCTTAGATTTGTCAACAATCAAGCATGTCTTCCATACCTGAGTGACATGCTTGATCAAGAATTGTAATTCAATTTTAATAGAAAGATTAATTTTGCTTTTGTATGAAATTTAAAGGCACCTCCTTTTGCTAATAATGCAGAAAGGATTTATATCCATTAGCCATTTCACCAACACAATTCACTGCAAACCTTATTCATAACAAATAAGAATAAAAATCAAAACTAACTTATTGATATTCATTCTAATACATAAGCATGTGCATACAGTCACAGTTGTTTCAAGGCAATATATAAAAATTCATCAATGCTTGCAGCAATGTTTGATTTTATTATAAGAAAAAATATTATAAATAAAAAGCAATTTGGGGAGAATTAAGAGCAAAACCAAAAATTAACTAACCATTATAGGAGTTTCATCATCCTTATTTTTCTTGTCCAAAATTGCTCCATTCATTAATAATAACCTAAAAGACATTTTCTAACATACATGAAAAAATACAAAACTTCATATGTTCAATTACACAAATTAAAATTTTATAAAACTTGCAAAAATTCATATAATGTGATAATAGCACTCTCAGAATGTGATTACACATCATCTATTTACTTTTTGCAAGAGGCTGATGGTAGGGGAAGAGAAGTGGGAGACCATCGAATCACCTCCCGAAATGTTCTTTTTCAAAACTTGGGTGGAAGCATTCCTACTTCTACTATAACTAGTAGAAGTAGTTAAGTAATCTACTATAACTAGTAGAAGTAGGAATAAATTCAAAAGCTAGCCCATCAAATATATATTTGTAAATGAATTGCCAAAACATATTCTTTTAAAATGTTAATTTACATTCAAAATGACAGTCATCGGACTTTCCAGGACCAAAAATTGTATTAAAAAAAACTTAATTACTTTTAAGGAGTGTATGAATCCTGTATCAAGTAACATATTGCAAAGAAAGGCATAATATTCTTGCTCAATAATAATCAAGCCATAATGTGATTTTTTTTTTTCCTAAAATGAGACTACAATATTATTGTGTTTTTTCTTCTGACACCAGTTCATACAGGGTTCATGAGGATTTGAAGTGAATAATGACAATACTACTTGATAAAGTATCGAAACACACTTTATTGGCCAGTATTGTCAGGACATCTCCAAAACACGTTTTTTACAGTCGTCGATGAACTACTATAAACACGCTGACACTATCAGTGGCAATGCCTCCAGGTTATCAGGCTATAATGGTGATGACAGCTTCACTGCAAAGCACCAGAGTATAGCTCCCAACTCTGCTTGGTTGTTCTCGGAACTCCACGTATTCTAGAGACTCTCCACGCTACAACTCAAGATGCACTCGATGACACACAGAGCACAGCTCCCGACTTTTTGGTTCAGTTGTTCCCGGAGCTCAACACGCTCTCTCGACGATGCACTACGAGACTCTTTCGGTGCACCCAACGACCCACTCAGTACTCGCTGCCCGGCTGTCAACTCGATCCACTACGCAGGGATTGACTCGCTGGACGAGACACCAACTTCATACTAACTCTCCACGTACCAGCAGGGTTTATTTAACATTCTGAGCTAAACCGGTACCAAGCTAAACCAAGGCACATCACCAATTTTGTCACCAAATGGGTGATTTCTTGCCAAGTGTGACAACCCTGCCTTATCTTGCCATTTTATGGCAACCCTAAAACTGCTTTGCGGGGGGGGGGGAGGGTGCATCAAGCCATCTTACTGCACCTGTACATTTCATAACAATATTGACAGCTGCCCAGAAATTCATAAAAACTATAATGAAGAAACAAAAATGCAGAAGGCTACACAGTGCTAAAGCTGTTCTTTTTTCACCCTCTTTCTCATTAATAAAATCAGTTTTAAAACTTTGTAGATTAATTGTGCATATCATCCTGATTGTTTCATATTGATGTTCAAATCTGACCCCAAAATATAGCTAATTTGAAAAGCATTTCATTACATTTGAAATAATAAATTATTTTATATTTATTTCATATAAAACATTGATAGTTGCATCCCAAATTACATTTTGGCAGCAGAAGAGGCTGACTGCATAAATAACATAATGGTTCCCCTCATCCTCCCCGTCCCCAATATAAAAATACAAAACTATTACACAGAGAAATTTTTCAATTAAAATACCCTTTGCACCATACACAATTTAGCAATCTTTGTTATAACAAAATTATTAAACTTACCTTAAATTTAAACCAATAAGAGGAAGAAAAGGTTTACCTGACACAGTCATAATTATCTTCACGTGCAGCAATATGCCTTGAAGGAAAAGATAAAGTATTTAACAGATAATTTTAATTAAAAAAATTAGTTACTGCATTGGAAATGATATATAATTATTTTACAGTAATTTATTATTATTTAGATACATTATATATAAATTTATATTTTTTTATACATTGCAATTTTTTATTTAGATAGATATTTTTTTTCACAGTGATTTATTATTATTATTATTATTTAGTATTTAGATTTGATAAAGTGAAATATGTTACATGAGTTCGATATAAAGAGGGTACATAATTTGAATTTCATTTTTTGAAGTAAGTAGATTTCATTTTAATGTTCGAATTAAATCATACGTGATAAATTACCTTAAAACACTTTTTTAAATATTAAGCAGATCATAGAGGAGAGACATCATTTTCAGATCGGCATTTTAGAAAAAAATTTATTATCTCATACTAAAGCCAATTGATAGATAAACGTACATGCTTGTAAAAAATAATGATGTTAATTTACAACATTAAACTTTCTTATCGTGTTTTTATTTTAATTACAGATTAGAGAAACAAGAAATTTATTTTGTATAAAACTAAAGCTTCGGACAGAATTAAATTAAACATATTAACTGAAATATAACAATACATGACTAACGGAACTCGATTTTTAATAATATTTAAGTCATTCAAATACATCACATAAAGTTTTAAAATGCACCATTCATTATGATAAATTTGCATTTTTAAATCTAAATTATAAAAGAGAAACACAGATGATAATAAATTAGTGGAAGTATTTAAAATTATCAATTTATGGTTTAGGCATTGCCAAAAAATATAAAATAATGGAATTGAAAACAATGATTTTATTTGGTATTTTGAACAGTCTCTTTAAAGAGTTAATTCAAATTCATTGACTGTTATCAGTTTTATATCTAAAACTTCATCTTGAATATATTTTCAATAAAAACAATCTATTGGATTTAGATCTAGTTGAAATGGTTATTTAATGCTAATTTATAATTAATGCTATCTCTAGTCTAATATGCAGCTGACTTTACCAAAAATAGGCCTTAAAATTCTTAAGACAGCGGTGTATTTTATTTTGCTGGAAATAAAAATACTGGCATATCCTAAGGGATCGAAATGACAAAGGAAGGAAATAAGATATTTAAATAAAAGACAAGTAAATACATAAAAAAATATGCAGTCATAATTATGCTTTTAATTTAAAATTTGCGTACTGCATTCACCAAGTGTACAAATGAAACCAGTGCAACTAGAATGTAAAATCTGCCTCAATAACTGAATTTCATATAATCACAAACAAGCAGCTTAGTTTTATTAGAAACTGATCCCTTAGCATCAGAAATAAATAATACAAAATTCGTACGTACAAGAAATACATTACTATTTATACACATTTATACTACACAATCTCGAATCATGAACACCTCAAATCATGGTTTACGAACAAATTATCTGAACAAAAAAATGTCTCAAACAAATGGTGTTTTGAAACATTCAAGTCAGCAGTAATGATTTTGAAATGTGTTTTGAGGTGATCTAATCTATGGAATTAATATCCAGAGGCTGAATAAAGACAAACAGTTTTCGTTTGCAAAGAGAATAAAATTCAGAATGTTACAGAGAGAATAACGCAAAACACATAAGAGCATACCAAACTTAGCCACATGCTACTTATTATTAACTCAATAGACACTAATTATTAGACTAACTTACTGTAGAATACGTTTAATGTTCTCTTTCAAATGTAACATTCGTCACTAGGATAAAATGTATTTTTTCTTAATTAAACAAAGAGTGGTTTTTCGGGAAGCATCGATAACTTTTGCTGAAAAATTATGCTTAAGTAGCATTCACCTACTAAAATACAACACAATCTTAGGGTTTCATAATAATATTCAAGCTTTGTTACTTTAGGGGGAAAAAATAAATAACACTTTTTTTGGTATCAAAATTATAGATGGTTTTTACTTTTTTAATATTTTAAATGATATAATCTGTAAATTTCAAAGATTTAAGAATATGTTTCTCTCCTTTAGTTTTAAATGATAAATAGAGGGCAGATGTCAGGGATACATGCGAAGATATAACAAAAACTAACAACAAATATATTAAATAAAGGGGGGGAGAAGAAGAAAATAAAAAGAGGATGCTACTAATTATACATACAAATTAAATGTGAATCAATAACTAGTTGTTTTAAGCAACTGTAATTGGCCTCAGTAGGATAAAAGAATGCTTCAAACCAGGGCTTCTTAAACTTCTTCAATCGCGACTCCTTTTTATTACTGAGATTTTTTTCGCGACCATAGGACCCCATAATATTTACGAAAATTTCGTGGGACCTCATAAGCATTGCACAAATCTGACACATGACTGTCAATTTTTTCACTTGTACTGTAATATACTATTGCAGTTATAGGTCATAACTTTAATTTCTAATTTTAAGACATTGAACAATGTGAAAATTTTAAATAAGTAACAGACGAAATGACAGCATCACATGTAAAGCAAGTACAATGAACGATTATATTATAAAAAGAATGCGTCGAAACTGTTTCGTTTTTTTTTTTTTTAATCCGTATGGTCTTAACTTTATCTATTTTCAGATGCATTGTGTAAAAATAGTTGGTAATATAATAAGTTAAAAGAAATATTAAAATTGCTAACATTTTTGGCGACCGTCTGTTGCAGGTCTGAGACCCCCATGGGAGTGATGACCCACAGTTTACGAAACTCTGCTTTAAACAAAAAGTGCACAATCAAGAAATACAACCAACTTATACAGGGTGATCAGCGAATAAGCCCCGATTTCAAAATTAAACATCTCTACAACAAAGATCGATAGAATTATGCGGGAAACTGTATGTTTATTAGCAAAAATGTAAAAATGGTGTACAAAAGTTTAGAAAATTTAGTTACGAAAATCATTAACAGATGGTGCTCTGCATTTAAAACTCTTTCTCTGAAAGGAGTCTAAAAAAAAACAATGAAGTGAAGCGGGAGTAGCGGGACTATTTCAATAGGCAGTGTTTTTCAATGTGTCCCACAGAAAGAAGTCACAAGGACCCAGATCGGGAGAATATGGAGGCCAAGCAATTCCTGTGTCAGTATATTGCGGATAATCTAACGCAATTCCCAAAGTATTCATGAAGAAAGCGAAAAACTTTATTTGTTCGATGTGGTCGAGCCTCATCTTGCATAAACTAATCGATAACTGGTTGATCCTCCAACGCTAGTTGAGTGCTGACAAACTGTTCCAAAATCGTAACATAATGTTCAGTAGTTATCGCTCTCGTACGAAAAAGGGTCCGATAATGCCTTTGACACATACCGCAGCCCATGCAGTAACTTTAGGCGAATGCAGTGCTTTCTCTTCACACAAATGAGGATTTTCGGAACACCAAAATCTCCAGATTTGTTTATTGACAATTTCATTGAAATGAAAATGTGCCTCATCTGTGAACCAGATGCAGCTCACATCAAATCTGTCGTTGTCGATCATTGTTAGAATCTGATTCGCAAAGTCAACCCTTTGTTGCACACCTTTCATGGTGACTTTGGATTTTGTATGGAAACATCCGTAGGCTATTTTTTATTTTTATTTATTTATTTATTTATTTTTTTTGCGTGCTCATGTACTTTAAACCTGTCTCTGATGCAATCCGTCGAATGCTTTTCCTAGGATTTTGCTGAACAATTCCAGAAACTTTGGCTGTATTTTCAGGAGTGATACAGTTTGCCTAGGCCCAGCATTTTCCTTTCGATCATCAGCCACGCTGCCAGTCCGTTCGAATTTCGCGAAGAGCATGCGAATGGTTTTCGTATCGGGTCCAACTGGAACATTGAATCGGTTTTGAAAACTGCGACGTGTTGCCGTAGGACTGTGTTCTAATCGGTGAAATTCCAGAATAATAATAATAAAAACCCGTTGTTCAATGGAATACATTATTTCACTTTCTACGCTAGCCTCGCTTCACTAGCCAACAGTCGTACTGATCACTTTCAATGTGTCTCAAGAAATTTCAGTAAACTATGGAGATTTAAAATTTACTCCTTAATATAGATTATTAAATGCAAGACTCTGTCAATTTGTTTTTCTGTTCCTTTCATTTAAAATAAGTGACTAAATGGCCATAATACGTTCGAAATTGGCCCCTATAGCCCATGGGAAAAGGTTAAAGCCTATTGGATAGGTCATTGCGATTACAGCGACCTCTGTTGACAATTTTCGTAACTAAACCTTCTAAACTCTTGTACACCATTTTTACAGTTTTGCTAATAAACATACAGTTTACCGCATAATTCTATCGATCTTTGTCGTACAGATATTTAATTTTAAAATCAGGGCTTATTCGCTGATCACCCTGTATATATCATAGAAATTTGAAACTAATAAACTTACAAAGCAGTATCTCCTCGGAGGTTTACATAATTGAGATTACAACCATTGTCTAGCAAATCCTGAACTATTGAGACCACTCCAGAATAAGCAGCCCAATGTAAAGCAGTATTTTCTTCCTATGGAAACAACATTAAGTGAAAAAATACAAAACATTAAATGAAAAATGAAAATTCAGAAATTATATTTTTTACAGAAGAAGGAACTATAACATTACTATACAGTTTCAATGAATAAATATATTATTCTTAAATTTGAATACTTTATTTTGAGTTATTTACTGTAGAACAAGGTATTTCTTTTATGTGTGTGTCTTAATTGCTAATAATCCATATCCTATTCTTGTCATACATTAAACCATCATTAAATTTAAGTTATTTATTATCAGATAAATATAATTATTTAAAAATAAAATGTTATTCAGGAAAAGTTTCATTCAGAAAAAAGAAAAAAAATAATAATGCTAATGGTAAAAATATAATTAAAAATTTTATGAAATTGATAATACTGAAATACGAAAATGATGAATAGATCTCAGAAATCTGAAGTTAAAAATGCTTTGAAATGTCTCTTAAGGTTGATTAGCTATAATTTGCTCATAAAAACATAACTTGATAGTTCCCATTATAATACAGTTATTAAGTCATATTTCCGAAAGATATCCGAAATGATACAGCCTACTTTTCTTCAATGCAAGAATGATTTTAAAACTGTTTAACTTAAAAGTGAAAATGGGAAGAATATTTTTTTAAATGTTTGATCTAATATCCTCTTTTCTGGATTATAAGTCTGCATCATGATTTTCATGACAGAAAGGCTTTTCTTAAAATTTCCAGGCACACTGATTTTCATTCGTCTTATAATACTTTCCAGAATTCATTAATCAGGATGGGTTTGCACTTAGAAACAACAGCTCTTTTCAAGAGAACAAAGGCACAATAGTGCATAAGTGAAATAAGTGTCAGAGGACTTTGCAGGATTACATTGAAAAGATATACCTGTATCAATTTTCATTTTTGCAACGACTGCTGTAGTATTTTTCACAGTATGACTTTTATTGCTTTGTCTTAATAAAGTTAATTCCTTGAAAGTGATTGGGATAAAGAAACAGAATTTCTTCTGTAAACATTAGATATCAAATTTTCTCTTGATAAGTTGAGCTGATTTAAACACTTTTTCTACTCCTTTTACTTTTAAATTTCTGTTGTAACATAACCCAGTGACATAAACTCCTTATTAAAACTTTCTTTGCCATGACAGAATCAGGTTTACACATTTTTTTCGATTTGTTTTTGAAATAAATAGGCTATTTTCGTTGCAGCCATTTCAGAAAACCCATGCTTCATCAAGGATCACAATGTATTTCCATTTATTTCCCACTAAATAGTTTCCATATAGGGTTCTACAAAATGTTCTGCACTGAGCCACAAACCTTGGTGAAAGCTGATGAACATTATGTTTTTAACTTTTATAAGTTCTAAATTTTTGTTTATTAGTTTATTTATTATTGCTATTGATGTATTTAAAGACTTAGCACTGCACTGGCACTGTTTCTGGGTATTCATTTGGAATCTTCTTTCCATGTAGAAGTAATTATTATTGTTTTTTCCCTTCCCAATTAATAAGGTGCTTATTTTGCACTTAAAATTTCTAATACCATACATTTCAAAACATTTCTGAATTACAGAATATGAATATTTCTCTTTGGAAAGTGCAAAAACACATTTTTCAAGCCACAGTTTGTTTACATGTGACATTTTGAAAGAATACATTTTAAAGTAGCAGACGATATTTCTCTTTTCAAATAATACTTTGTTAAAAGATATTCTTTTATTTCTTTTTTTAATTCTTTATTGAAATTATTTTAAAAATGTGCAATTTCTGAGACCATGAGTGAAACTGGCACTGATGAAAAAAACAGTATAATCTAAGGTAATAAAGATAAGATCATTAAACTATAGCAAAAGCTGAAATGTCTTTGCTAAATAATTAAATTTTATTGCTTTATGTATGAAAATAAAAGCAAAGACATTTTCAGTTCTTAATATAAAACAAGGTTTTTTCTTACGATTAACATATTAAACATTAACAGCACGTAGGCTTAATTTGGATTATTGAAACAGCTTTCTTTAAATAATTCACCAAATTCCTAATATGTTTATATTATTTCTTTTTCATTTCTTGTGTGCAGAACTTTGTAAGAAAACACTTTCACATATTATGAAAGGTAATACTGAAGCATTAAAACTATTAATTTACGAAGCTTATTTGCTTTGGTCTTGATAACTTTTTAAATATATATACACTGCTCGACATTGAAAATGCAACACAATGAAGGAGTGGTCAGAAATTTATACAAATTTTAATGTAGACGGACATCACTGAGTTATGCGAATGATGTGAAATGCGCAGCTCTCCAACGCATGTGAAGTAAGATATAAGAGAAGGAACGTGCAGAATGGGCAATATTCGTGTCCTTATTTCTGCCAGACGAATTATCGAAGAAAGTTAGTTTTTGTTCTGGAGGATACGTGTAATAGGAGAGAATGCCAGGCCGCCGTCAATGAAGGTGTTTCCAGCTGATAGACGATTTTACGAGGGGTATGGTAATCAGACTGAGAAGGGCAGGTTGGTCCTTACATCAAATCGCTGCTGATACCCACATGGATGCCTAATGCAATAAGTGCATTGGCTATGGCGAACATGGTTAGAACAAGGAAATGTGGGAAGGAGGAGGGGTGCAGGGGCAGCCAGAGTGACGTCAGCACTCGTGGATCGACGCATCCGCCGACAAGTCGTGGCGGTCCCGCAAGTCTGCAGCATGTGCAAGATACCCTGGATGTTCCCCTGTCGACCAGAACCATTTCCCGTCGACTGGTTGAACGTGGCCTGCACTCATGGCATCCGTTAAGAAGACTGCCATTCACAACACAGCATAAATGCCAACGTTTAAAAATTGTGCCGGACTGGAGCGATGTGGATGACAGAATGGTGAAATGTCATATTCTCAGATGAGTCACGCTTCTGTTTATCCAGTGACAGTCGCCGCATACGTGTGTGGCGTCGACGAGGAGACAGATCTAATCCGGCAGTAACTGTGGAACGCCCCACTGCGCAACAACATGGCATAATGGTTTGGGGTGCTATTGCCTACAATTCCAGATCAACTCTAGTTCGTATTCAGGGCACTATCACGGCCCAACGATACTTGGATAATGTTCTGCGGCCGGTGGCAATCCCCTACCTTCAAGGGCTGCCTAATGCAATTTTTCAGCAGGATAACGCCCGGCCACACAGTACTCGCATCTGCCAACATGCTCTGCAAGGTATACAGATGCTTCCATGGCCACCGTACTTTCCTGACCTGTCACCAACCGAACATGTGTAGGATGTGATTGGAAGCCATTAGCAGACTCAGCCCCTGCCTCGTTCAGAAGACGAACTGTGGCAAATGGTTGAAAGGGAATGGAGAGCCATCCCTCAGGACACCATCTGCAATCTTACTGACTCTTTGCCTAGATATGTCTTCGTGCATCGCTGTCCACAGTGGTCCTACAACCTACTGAGCCGACGCCATTCTCGCTCTGTATTCTGACTATCATTTTGAAATAAAGATCACTTATTGCTGCTTGCTGTCTCTGTCTAAATTTCATAATTTTCTGACCACTCCTTCTTGGTGTTGCATTTTTTCAATGTCGAGCAGTGTATAATACCATTTAAACTAATTGAAGTTTAAATGGCACTATTTTTGTTTTAGATACAGTCAAAAAGTCTTTAATCCGGACGTCCAAAATCCGGAATGATCTATAATCTGGACCTCAAAACTACAAACTTTCTGCGCATGTGTAGCGTTTACGCAAGCGCATAATACCTTTACGCATGCACGTTTAATGTATAACGGACGGTATAAGCTAAGCTAAAATTATCTATTTCAGTTAATGTTGCAGATTGCATTGTTCCTTAATCTTCTAATTGGATCCGGCTTATTATTTTTTGCAGACTTTTAGAGCAATTTTATAAAAATAAGCTTGAACTTTCGATTATGTCAAAAAGAATTTACGATTCTGGAGCTGCCAAAGGATCTACAAAGCTAAAGCATGTTTCGATGTCCATCAAACAGAAAGTGGAATTGCTGAAAAAAATGGATAAAGGCATTTCTCTAACCATTCCGAAATCTGTTTATCAATTGGGGGGGACGTCGCGGCGCGCAATGAACTGTAAGTTGATCTGTCAGCACTATCCTTATCTTCAGGGCAGATGTTTTTATTTTATTCGGCTTATAATTCCTTACTAAATGTAGTATTTCACCTCGATGTACTCTGAAATTCCTCGTCATTATAAATATCACGAATACACATTAAATAGTTTTCTGGTTGCAATTTTCTAATTTCGACTATGCGTAATGTATGCTTTACGCATGCACGCATTGAAAGAAATATTTAATAAAGTCAACGAATAAATATTAAGCTTTTTTCTTGTAAAATTTTGATACCCTTTAGATCATACTTGGTCTTTATTTCATAAATTATGGTTTCATATTTTTAACTTTATAATTTCTGCATGCCATCTACCATTACTTTAAATTGATGATCTATAAACCGGAAAAACTGATAATCTGAAATCGCCGAAGTCCCGACGAGTCCGGATTACAGATGGACTTTTGAATAACGACAACATATTACATTAAAAAAAATAATTAAAAAATACACTAAATGATACTGAGAGATTACTGAGATAAAGAATTCTAATTTACAAAACCTTGCAAAATATTACTTAAAAGTAAACACTGCATTTAAAAGCGCCCCCCCTTTTTTTACACTGATAAGAAATACAATATGAAAATCTGGAAGATAAATAAAATATCTTAAACACATATGCTAGCAGAGCGTTTTGATCTGGACATAATTTTCAAGTTCAGATCTAATCCAGACAAAATAAAAAGAATAATATAATAACGAGTATTTTGGGGTATAACAACATATTCCCAATATGAATTTGATAGACCTGCTGAAAGGAAAAACATCTGGCTGAAAGTTATTTTTTGAAATAAAATATTGGAAAAAGGGAAGAAGAGTTTGAAATCATTATTGACTGTTGAAAGGCAATTTGATAGATTTGTTGGAAAAAAAAATGAAATGAAAATAAAAATGTTATGCTCAAGATAATTTTTGGAACAAAATATTTGAGAAAGGGCTGAAAGATAATGGTTTGAAACCCTTATTGATTATGCAGAATGTCCACTTTCATGCTAGTTAGTTATATTGTTAACAATGAAATAGGAACAGGCAAGAATATCACATCAAAATATTAATAAAAATGATACAAAAATAAATGAGAAAAGAGTAGACATAAAGGATAACTAAATACTTAAATTAAAATATGGAACTATTATACCTCATCTCGAATATTAGGATCTGCCTTCATTTCCAACAACCATTTTATGAAGTCATCATGCTTGTTTTCACATGCCCACACTAATGGCGTCCAGCCTCCATCATCCTATAAAAATTTAAAACACATGAAAAATTAGACATTTTGATTTATTATGTATTAAAAAAAAAAAAAACTCCAACAATTCTGTCTTTTGCAAAGGAAGACAAAATAAATATTTGTAACCCCCCCAAAAGAAATACTGGTAAATCTTTAGAATTATCATTTTATATACAAAACAATTCCCCCCCCATTAAAACAAGGTGATAAAACTATTCTTTAGGCACTACAATAGAAAGGATGAAGTTGAGAATTTTTTCTTTCTTTTCAGAAATGATATATTACACAGCACAAATTTTTGGGAAACAAACATTATACGAGTTTGCCCTGTGTCGCACTGCTCTGCATGGTGGTAGGGAAGCTATGTGCCATAACGTTGGTCCTGAATTAGAATTACAGAGAGTCATAGATGTTTTTAAGCATGGGGACATTTAAATTATCATTAAGCAGAGAGTCCTCTTGAAAGGTTCAAGTTAGGATCAAAGTATCTTGTCAGCTTTTTTATATGTTAAATTCGTTAGGCTCATTAGAAACCATTTCAGCATTCCATTACTCAATTAATGCTTTATTCTTTCTTGAAAATAAAGTACCTTGATTTTTACTTCTACTACAAAGTTATGCACTTTTTGTTTTTCAATAGAACTATTGAACAATTTTATTGCTCAGTAAAAGATCATTAACAGTTTTCTGGCAATAACAATAATGTTATTTTCATAATAAAAATAAACACTAAGACTATCTATAGCCATCACGAGTAATAACACATTTTAAGCTTAAGCATAAAAAAGCTTAAGGCACAGTCAAAGAATTTGAATCATCATAAAAACTAAAACTGAATACTAATTTCATTCAACATATTTGCAGATCATGGAAACAGATTTTTTATACATGTAAAATGGTCTTCTACATTACATTTCTTTCTTTGCACACCAAATTGAGTGAAAATGATTAATATACAATTAGTTCTTTCTCAGAAAATACGGGGGCAAAAGGGAGAGATCTATTACTGAATGGTACTAGAAAAAATAATATCTATTACAGTAAATTTTTTAATATTTGCTTGAAATATCTCTTCACTATTGTTAACATTCAACTCAGCAAGCACAATGGTGATGAGATACATGCCATGGAAAAAGCATCGAAATTCTTTCTACATCCTTGAGTAATCTATAATACTTTGGTTAAGAAATGTTTAACTAAGGAATAAAGATGCTATTGCTATTATTCCTGCAAATAAATTATATGGGTTAACAAATATGGTTATTGAATATATATATAATACATTGTTGTGTTTTTCTTTTCTGACACCAGGTGGTAGGTTCTTTTCTTCTTTCACGTTCGTAGATTTGGAGTGAATAACGACGACACTTTATGAAGTATCAAAGCACACTTCATTTAGTCAATATTAATCATGACAGCTCCAAAATCACTTTTACAGTCATCGAACTGTTATAAACACACTGACACATTCAGTTTCACAGGCTTCACACTGACAGGCAATAGCGGTGGGGACAGCTTCCTGCAAAGCACCAGAGTACAGCTTCCGACTCTGCTTGGTCGTTCTCGGAACTCCACGTGCTCTGGAGACTCTCCACGCTACAACTCGCGATGCACTCGACGACACACGAGCACAGCTCCCGACTCTTCGGTTCAGTCGTTCCCGGAGCTCAACATGCTTTCTCGACAATGCACTAACCGTGATACACTAACATACTCCTTCGGTGCACTCAACGACCCACTCAGCACTCGCTGCCAACTCAATCGACTACGCACGGACTGACTCGCTAGACGAGACACACTATCAGCTCGCTAGGCGAGACACTCACTAACTGACTGCGGACCAGCAGGGTTTATATAGCTTTCGGCTTATGTTCTGGCTAAACTGGTAAGAACATCCTAGGCTAAACTGGTAAGAATTCGTTCCAGAAGGTTCTCCAACCGTCCATGGTATATCGCCAATTGTGGCAACCCTGCCTTTCCTTGCTATTTTGTGGCAACCCTAAAACTGCTTACCGCGCCTGTACATTTCATAACAAAATTATTATATAATATGAGTTAACAAATTACCAGAAACTAAATTTTGAAACTAGCAACTTCTGATTCCTTGAGATAGAATTTAATAAAAATTGAGCATTTTTAAAATGACTATTTTGTAAAATATCACAAAGCTTTATGTTTACTATTTCAATACTTATATAAAGGAAATGAAAGTCATACAAAGCTGTATAACTGAACACAATTGCTATTGTTATATATACATCAATTAAAATTCTATTTAAAAAATATTTATAAAAAATCAGAATAAATTTGGAAGTATTGTTTTTGATACACAACATGGTGACCTTTAGAAATAAATTACATCACAAGACTTGCAGATACAGATGGTTGTAAAAAATAAAATTCAGTCCACAATATCGCATGCAACAGCACACATACAGCCAACCAGTGGAGAGGCTTACATTAATGAAAAAGCCAAAAATCACTGCAGCAGCTGTCACAGATGACATCTTACTTACACATCAGAGGATTACTTGAAGTTACTAAGTTTGAAAGTTTAATTACTTTATATTAATGGTTTAAGAAATTTACACACAGTTATATTACCACATTTCTTCACTGATATGGCTGTTAAGGAATTCTACTGTAGAATAAATTTCTGTGATTAGCTTCACAGATATTAAGGCATTTTAGTAGTGTGTGCAAATATTGTTTTTTGTCAATATTCTATAAATTAAGAAATTCAGATCAAACCTTATTATTAAAAAAAATACTATTACCAGATATAGTTTTAAATTTAAATAGCTTGTTTATTGCTTTTTGTAAGAATTTAGACAGAAATCCTGTTCCAAAATATAATTTCAGTCTAGAATTTTTAACTCTAAAGTAATCCTCAAAATAAACAATTTTGATGCTTTAAAAAAAAAAAAAAAAAAAAAAAATTAAAATTTTAAAATTATACTATTTAATGGAGGAAATCTGTATGTGCGAAATATGATGTATTAAAACGTCATCTGCTTAGATAAAAATTTTGATCCCATACAGAAGCACAGTCTGCATAACCAGAATTTAGCTGATTTATAAATCTTTAGCATTACACTAAAATAATGAATCTATATCTTTTGATTTTAACATTTACATTCATCTTTTTTTTACATTATTTTCAGTATTTTACAAATAATAAAAATCCTACATGTCCTAAAAGATGCATATACAAGAATTATTGTTAAGTCATAAACCAAATTTCTGAAAACTAAAAGTAATAAACTGATTCCCCCCAAAAAATAATGGTTTTTAGATTTTTATTTCTGATGAAGGGTTGAGGAAGCCTCAGCTTGTAAAATGTATCATTTAACATTCACTTAAGGAAATAATTACTTGTGTCACTTTTCTTAGGTCATAAAAGTCCTGCCCCGTTGATATATGTTAACCCTTTCAACACGACTTTTGCATGATTAAAATTTAATTATGAGAAGAAGTTTAATTTAATGTTGACATACTAAATATGTATAATATGTGTAATACGAGTTTAAAGTTTTTAACATATACATATTTAGTATGTCAACATTAAATCTCATCATCATTTCCTGGAATCTCCAGGGACAATAAGTCCCAATTGTATTGTCAACTGGGACTATTTGTCCCAATCGTCTAAGATATTACCCTTTCTCAGAAAACAAAACTTAAATTTATGGTAATATATAATGTGAATAATACAATACATAAACTCTGTTACATGCACTACTTCATATATAACAAAACTTTTCATATATGTTTCATAAACACAAACATAATATATCAGCATATTGTAATTTGATCACTGATAAGGACATATTAATCCACTGTTAAATACAGTTGGGACGGTATATGTATATCCCACAAAAAGAATTTATTCACTATTTCTTAAAATCTGACATTAAAAATGTTAAATTTTTACTTAATAGAAACAATAAGAACTATTTCATACTATGTATGCCTTAAATATAATTGTACTTACTGTAAAATTAAAAAATCTGATGTGTACACCACGACTTCCTTGTACGGAATATTAAATTATATGCATTTTTCTTGCATTTTATTAAAAATTATTAGATTGAATTAAACCTACTTCGTCGACAGCGCATAAACCACAACAGAATAAATGCATTCTTTAAAATTCACTTTGTTTACCATAGCGACACTCTGGCACTAGGTTTACTTAACAGTATTATATTCATTCATATTATAACTCATAATGCACAAAATGTATATCATTTAAAGAATTATCTAATCTCCTTTCTATCAAAAATGCAATGTTCTATTCAAAACTAATAATAAAGCTAGAACTATGTATAAAAGAAATTAAGCAAACAAAACAAAAAGAAACAGTTTTTCACAGACGATTGAGTATTTCTCATTTAATTAATTCAGTTCTCACTTCGCGAGAAGGCAAAAATACATAAAAACTCAAAATCTATATTAAAAATTACGAAGTAAATCTCAAACGCTTATTTCCTCGAAAAAATTCCAGAAAGATTTAAGCATGATTTAATTGGCAATAATAAATGAATGCGTTTATCTTTGTTGTTGCGAAGCTAAGTTTCTCTAGATTGGCAACAAATCCACTATCTCCTGCTTTCAATGTAAACATTCAATGGCCGCCATTAAAAAGGCTTAGCGGCACTTAAACAACTTTTAAATTGCTTGATAATTCTAAAAATATTGCACACAGATTTACTAAAGGCATAAAATCCTTAACCGGAAGATAAAAACAACTAATTCAATCATTTTTAAAGCAAAAAATGTACAATTTACAAACATATAAGAGTAAAGAAACTGAGATCACTGAGCGGTAATACTGTGTGCAAACATAAGGATAAAGTCGAAAATTAGCATATCAGCTGACGACGAAGCAGAGCGGGACAGAAAGGACCAATCAGGAGATTAGTAAGGTGTGTTGGTAGCACATGCGCAGATGCAGGTAGCCGTAATGGGGGAGTGTCAGTAGTATAAAGCATGTTGTCGGTGTAAATCAGTATTTCTGGCAAGAGATGCACGCCTTTACAGTAAAATCACACCGAGTGCTGCCTCGGCGAGAAATGGCGAAATAACCTGTTAGACGAAACTGGATGCTTTTACCCGAAGTCGATCATGGGAAGTTGGAGGAAGGCCGCAGTGTGAAGTGTGACTGCAGAGTTCGGAATTGCTACCGCATGTTCATGACTTTGGAGACAATTTCAAACTACAGGAACAGCTCCAGGCGTTTAGTAGTGGACTTCCACGAGGAACCACACTGCTGATGACTGGTATATTGCCTTACAGGCCAGAAGAAAAGGCGGCAGACAGCGGGAGAAATCGCTGACACACGACACAGGCGACTGACGACTGATATCGCGTTTTACCGTGGCCAGAACGACTGCACGGGGTGTCTGTTTGCATGACGCCCTGTACGAGTGTGTACCTCTAACGCCTGCCATCAGAGAAGGCGTTCTCTGTGGTGCCGGGAACACCGGAATTGGAAGACAATGAATGGGGCCGAGTACTCTTTACAGAGAGAGCAGATTCGTCTGAGTAGCGATTATCATCGCATACTCATCTGGAGAGAGCGGGGAAGCCGCAATCATCACTCGAACATCATGAAAGGGACAGGTATGGAGGTGGCGAGTTCTCGTTTGGGAGGCATATGCTTGGTAGTGTACAGACCTTCACATCTTCGACGCAGGTTCAGTCAACGGGACCGTTATTTAACGAGATTCTTCTTCCATATGTGCGTCTTTTAAGAGGTGCTATGGGTCCGCAGTTCCTTTCATGGACGCAATGCACCATGTATCGCACAGTAGCTGCCGAACCTCTTAGAGAGTGGGATTTTGAACATATGGATTGGCGACACGATCTCCGGATCTCAATCCCATCGAGCATGTATGGGATTTTCTAGGCTGACGCTTGGCAGCTCGTACTTTACCACCAGTACGATTCCAGAGCTTTGATTGGCGCTGCAAGACGAATGGGCAGCAATGCCTCAACAACTCATTGACACCTCATTCTCAGCATGGGCAGACGCTGTGAAACTGCCTAGCAGTCAGGGAGATCATATCCTCTATTAAAGACCGGATGTTTCTTGCTGGACACCCATCACAGGGATGTTTCGGCCTTCAGTCGCATTGCGCTCCATGCTTCTTTTTCAATAAAGCTTATTTTTATCCCTCTGATTTCTCTTTTAGTAAGTGTTGCTTACATTACTCATGTCCTTACGTATTGGGGATCTTACAGTATTAAATGTGCTGGTTTGGAAAGCGTTTGTACAAAGTTATATTCAAAAAAACCGTCTCGTCCTTAATTTTTGCACACCAGTGTAGAGTATATATATATATATATAAATATATTTATATACGTTTGGTGCAGCCGATTGCAACCAAAATACGAGGTGCACATCTACATGTTATAGCAGTCCTATATACAAAATTTCAACGTTGTTAGGCTACTCGTTTTTTAGTTATGCGAGATACATATGTACAAAACATAAGTGCATTATCTGCAATCTAAAAGTAATGCCGGGTTTCTTTAGTCATACATTTGTTCCTGAATTCCTTAAAAACACCACAAATATAAAAAGCCACTTAAAAGTGGGTTTTATTTACCCAGTAAGGCATGGAATCTAATCTCTGGGACGTATGTGCCCATTAGGACCGAAAGGATTTAAAAGTAAACCCTCAGCAATGAAGTTGTTCATAGAAATGTTAATGTAAACACCAAACCACAAAAATTTCACCATTTACTTAGCAAATTTTACTTTTCTTCTCATAATAAAACTATCCTAGTGATAAAGAATGATTTCACTTGGGTGGATACATCAACAGTCATAGCATTAACAACTGGATTGCTGAAAATTCACAAAGTGTTAAGTTACACTCTATTGAGAGAAACTATATGCCTTTTTTTTGTTAGTAAGTTCAATAATTAATAATTATTATATAGCTTACCTTGAATTTTCATCAACTTATAGTAGTTACCTGGAAAATTGAATTTTATACAGTAAAAAGACTCAATTGAATAAGATTTTACTTTATTAGCTATCAGAATTGTTTATGTGTTTTTTTTTCTTCTCTTTTTTAAGATCAAATACTAGTCGTTTGGTTTTGCACTTATGTAAAAGATGTGGTAATTGGCAGAGTGCACAAGGATACCACCTTAACTTTAACTTGTTTTATGAGCAAAAGTTTTGTTAATGGATTCTACTGATTTGTCTTGAATATTATAATTTCCCTTTACGCTTTGAAGGCTTCTAGTTTGTTTTTCCAAAAACGAAAATTTTTCGTTTTTAAAGATGGAAATGTTTTATTCTCTAGCCTTACTTCCCACTTTATTTTAAATGAATCTTCTAGCTTATCTTGTATTGCAGATATCAGAAGAATTTTGCCTAACTGATTGCATTCTGAACCAAGTGTTTTAAAATTCTGAATAACTTCATTGCAAGTATCAATTATTGATCGAGTGGAATCAGATGTTGGTTTTACAAATTTTAAATTAAATAATTTTCCCAACTGAGAAAACCCTAATTCCCTTTGGTTATCATATCTGTCGAGTAAAGAGAGTGCGTGTGTAATTATGGCAAAGCCTCGAGGGCTATCTGCCTAACGGGAGGGATGGCTTCGTGGAGGACTTTCTAAGGGAAACTGGCTCGTATACACGTTACACATGGGGAAAACCATGAAAATGTCCATGCAGCCAGCCCATTCGTGGGATTCGAACCTCGGACCGAACTACCAGTGTTCAGCGACTTTACCGCTCGGCCGCTGGTGGGCCCACTGTTGAGTAAAGTGTCACAAGAATTTTTATAATTTTCAGAGGTCATTGCGAATCCCCTAATAAATCTTGCAGCATCAGATAAAACTGCACTTTGAAGATGTTGCAATTTTTGAATGTCAGTTAAAGATGCATTAGAATCAACAGAACTTAAAACTTACCCAGCATTCAAACTGGCCAGAAAACGTTGGAAGATTATACTTCGGAAGCTTTATATTCACATAGGATAAGGCAGATTTTACAGTCTTATCATCATCGAGCTTGACCAGAAAACGTTGGAAAATTATACTTCGGAAGCTTTATATTCACATAGGATAAGGCAGATTTTACAGTCTTATCATCATCGAGCTGTGATTCTTTACCAAACAAATTTAGATATGTTTCTATTTTCACTATTCACCTGCCAAATCCTGAACCCCAGACAAATTTTTAAACTCATTCTTCATCAAAATCTATCATCATAGAATATCTATAATAATATTCCTCAAGCTTGTCATGATATCTTTGCAGATTTGATTTTTATGTAAGAATTTTCTATAAATTTTCTGATGTTAAATCATCGTCAACAGTTCTAGCAAACCTTCCAATTTGCTTGATTTGAGTTTGATACATTAATGGACCTGATGATTTCCTTTTTGACATATTTATTTTACTTTAAAGAATAAAATTACAATAGTTAGTATAGATGTCATGCAAACTTCAAACATATATTTAAAAAATGTATAATAGAAACCAGAGTTTAAGAATGAATTTTACATGAAAATACTTTGAATACAACTAAAATTTCCTTATAGTTTTTCATTTACAGCATAAAAATGCATATATCGATTTTTTTTTGTAAACCAGGTAACTTTAATGGAATACTAGAATTGGATTTTAGGCTTTCAATATAAAATCCTCACTGGTGGCTCCAATGTTTTGAATAAAATTGAATTGAATAAGATTTTGACTTTATCAGCTATCAGAGTTGTTTACATGTTTTTTTCTTCTTTTTAGCATTGAATACTAGTTGTTTAGTTTTATTTTATCTGTTGCCACAAACACATGGCAAAATTTTAAAATACATTACGAATCAAACATTTGGCACGAGGGGAGCATCATCCATAGGAAAGGATAAAATAAGGCATTAACATTTTTAAAACTGAACACCTTTTACAAACAGAAAATTACAGCACAAGTTTTTTGATACAACTCTTCATTCAACTACATATAGATAGCCATTTGGTAATGTTTTGCTACATATCAATTGCTACATTTGCAATAAGCTACATATCAAACAAACATAGCAATAGGAATGCTTCACAGATTTTTTAAAACTTTTTCCCTATATCACGACACTATACTGTCTGAAGTAGTCAGAACACAGTGAGGTAACAAATTAATATTTAAATCATCCAAGTTATTTCACTGAACTAGTTTAAACTTAAAAAATTTAACATGTTAATACATACCTGAATATTGATATCAAAATATCCAGTATTATATAAATATTGAGCTATTTCCAGAAAGCCATTTCTAGCTGCTATATGTAGAACTGTTAATCCATTTTCATTCTAAGATGGAGAATATATATGCAATTACATTAATAAGCGGGAAAAATTATTCATGCTTTTTTTAGACATTCAATTTAAAGCAATGGGGAAAATGCAAAGATTTAGTGAATGTGGAACACATGACAGAAATTTAATTAAAAAGCTGAAGAAATTTTGCAGATAATTTCAATAGAAGAAAAAGTTAATGGAATAGTCAATGGATCAATAACAATCTTTCATCTAATTAACCATACATTAAATTTCATCTCTAAACTGTTCATTTTAATCTTAATCTGAAAGATATATCTCTGAAAAAAAGTCTTTTGATTTGAAATAACAGCTTTCCATTAAAGTTTATTGATAAAGTTGACCAAATTTCTACTATTAACAAAAACATATATAGTTATACAGGATCATATAACTTATATTTGAAGGCTCATTCTTGATTTCTTAAAAATCCTTCAACTTCTGATCTCTTAAATTAAATTCAGTTGCATAATTTTTCTACTTATTTTGAAATAAAATTCATAATTCTAGATACTGCTAATGTTATTTAATTAATTGACAAAAATCGAATTTTACTATTTTTAATTCAGATTTACACCCCTTTAGCCAAATATTCAGATATGAAGTTTTTCACCTTTCACATTCTTCAAAAATAATTAACAATGTAAAAATTCATTTGATTTTTTTTTTCACAAACTCAAAAATATATCACTTTACATGCTTTAATAACATGAAACATGTATTTTTTTATAAAGGATAATTAAAAAATTATCTATTATGAATTCAATTAAAAGCACTACTCAGATCATTAGGAAGTATGGATCATGAATTCAATCTTCTTATTGTATAATTTAGAAACATGTAATAACTTCAATTTGAGAACTATACGAAAGACTTTCCTGTCCATCACCTCACACATACTCAAATCTTATCACTCTGGTAACTCATTCTTCTTAACAGATTATGAAATTTTAATTTTTTATAAACTCAAAATTTACTGAAAAGTACTCTAATTTCAAACCCATTAAGGTTTTTAATAAGTATTTAATTGCTGGAAATTAATAGGTATTTAATTGCTGGAAATGAAGGATTTTCTTATCTTTTATCACTTATCAAAATTTTTAAATATTCTTCATCCAATATAAAAGGTGCTTTATGTATTAAGAACAATTATCAATCAACTTAGAACAATCATAGCAACTTACTAGTTGTCTGCTTTTCTTTCTTTTTGTGCTTCTATTAGTCACAACATAGCTCAATTTTAAACAGTTTCACTTCTATATTCCCCCCCCCACCACCACCACAAAAACAAACAAAAAAAAAAAAAAAAAAAATTTGCTTTAGCTCTCAAGTCTATACAACTATAGTATCAGTATAGGAAAGCATACAATGGCCAGATTTAGACAGAACCAAAATTTCACGTTAAAGAAACATGAACAACAACCAAGCTGAAATTAACAAACATTTCACCGCTAATTTCTTAATAATTACAGGAAAATTCCTCTTAACCAACACCCAAATATCTAGATATGATATCAAAATAACAGCACTTTGGAAGTATCAAAATAATGGTACTACTTTTGAAAGTCTAGATTTAAATCCAAAATTTAGGCCTATGAGATAGAGAAGTATGTAATGGGTTGATGACTGTATCTGAACACTTGAAAGTTGAAAACATTCATGTGATGTTTCTGGAGCTCAACTTTACAGAGTCTTATCAAACTAATGAATGAAGAAATTATCCAAAAGATGAAGACGAACTACCAACTGCCTTTTATGCATACATGTGTGAACTTTGAAAGTAATGTCTATGATTTTCAGATAATTCACAATGAACAACACCATATCTACATTGTCTCTATCCTATTAAGATATTAAGAACATTAGTTTACGTTACTAATGGCAAAAATTGTAGCTCTTGATCATATTTGTAAGCAACACATAAAGTGACAAAGATTATCTTGGTTTTAAAACATGTCTGATGCTCATGTCAGATATCTTGGAATTACTTACATATTCAGAGAAGATTAATATTAGTGAACAGGAGATGCAAGTTTAGATGGATACAGCAAATTCTGTTCCTACCACATTTTCTTGAGATGACAATGAAATAATCAAATATTTACTAGGAAGGAAGAATATGGTGATGAGAGGAAGGATAAAGATAACATGCATAGCAAGAAAGTTAAGTGGTACCTCGAGATACAAGCACCTCTGTACATGATAAATTCGAGATACGAGGAAAGTACGAGAGAAAAATGTCTCTAAATACGAGCATCGACTCGAGTAACGAGAAATGAGCCAGGCTTTTAGTATGTGGCGCCATTTTCCGATCCGGCTGGACTCAGGCGTCAGATCACTCGGTGTTCTTTGATCTACGTGTTTATATGCTTAGAAGTAAATTCTTTAGTACATTTAACGTGAAAATAATTATTTCACGATGCCTCCCAAGAAGACTGTTGCCTCAGACAGTGCTGCAAAGAAAAATAAGGAAGCCATGACTGTTGAAATTAAGAAAGAAATCATAGGTAAAAAAGTGTTGTGTAAGAGTGATGGAATTGGCAAAGACTTACAGCCTTTCAACATCGATTTGCACTATTCTGAAGAAGCAGGAAGAAATTAAGAAACTTGGTACAGCCAAAGGAGTTACCATTACTTCCAAGCATCATCCAAAACTCCTAGATGTTGAGAAGCTGTTGTTGGTGTGGATTAATGAGTAGCAGTTAAAAGGTCGGTGTAGGAAGCTATCATAAAGGTTAACTGTGACTACATTATTTACCAGTGTTATTTATTTGAAAAATTGATTTTTATGTTGATATTTTTTTTGGGAGAGGGTGCAAAACAGATTAAGTGGACTTTAATTATTTTCAATGGGGATGCCTGTTTCTAGATACGAGAAATTCGTTACGAGCTCAATGCTGGAACGAATTAAACTCGTATCTCAAGGTTACACTGTACTTGGAAGGAAACTCATAAAAAATTGCAGACTTTTGTAAAATTTCCTGAGAAATGTTCATCTTCTGTACACAATGTTATGAAGCTCTACTGCACAAGCAGTGAATTTTTAAAACTATGGTGACAATCTTATAAACAAGCAGATATTCAAAGTTATATGGCATCATACTAAGAAATTCATAATTTTAATGCAATAATAAATAGTGCAATTTATAAATGTTTTTAATTTTGCTTTTCTGAAAGATAAAAATCATATTATGTGTTTTTATTTTAAATTATCTGTGTTATTTTCAGCAGTATTTATTTAACTTTAGCCAACAGATCAAAAACACTATCAAAAGACTTTGTATGCTGCAATTCCTATAGACGGCATCACAAGACATGATCAAGTAAGATCTAGAAATATATATTCAATTATCTTTAAAAACTTCTTATCTCAAATTGGTACGGTCCATTTACCGACAATTTAAATTAACTCTACTACACTAGATTGCTAAAATTACACCCCCCCCGAAAATGGAACTGGATAATCCGATTTCCACACTGAAGAAAATTTGCCAATTTCAGCTGATGAATTTAATTTGTTTTTATCATTCAGGTAATTTTAGTCTTTTATACCTTTAATTTGGAAATGTCTCCCACCACACACATACAGTGCACGGCAATAAACATATAATGTGAAACTTAGACCAGATAAGATGGTTAATACGAAAAAATTTTGGCCTGCAAGAAACAAGATCCAATCAGACCAAATGCTCATTGCCCTTAAACTTATGATGCTAAATAAATAAAAATGATTATGAAAAATTATAGAATGACATAAGGTCCTATTATGTACGAGGCTTGTGGGCAGTAATCTCGCCTTGCTAAGAAAGGATCCTAATCTTTGAAATGCATTCTGAAGAAAAATTTTTTCAAAACAAACTGACCTATTATTTTATTACAATATTAAATTAAAACAATTTTGCCTTCATTAAAAATTAGTGAAATCATATATTTATTTGTATTATAGTACTGCAAAAAATATTTTTTGCAATTAATATAAGACAGCACAATAATATGTTTTATATCTAGTTCGTTTTAAATAAATGGATTATTAAGCATATTCTACATTAAGGTAAAATACGAGAATAAAGTAACATATTTTACACTTCTTGAATATCAAATATATACCTACAAAAAGAAATTATATCAAAATAAGAATACAGAAAGTTTTATTAGAGCAAGTGGGAAAAAAATAAAAATAGTTACCTTTGTATCAGTTTGTGCTCCTGAAAGAACAAGATAACGAACTGCTGATATTTGATTTTTATCTACAGCTACCATAAGAGGAGTTTCTAAGTCATCATTTACAGTATCTATTAATGCACCAGCCTGCCATCAATAAAAACTTAAATTAATTGAATAAATGATCTTTTAAAGAAAAACAACTACTTAAATATACATATAAATTAATTTTGATCAAAGAAAGAAATTATTATAACATCATAGCTCAAATTATTATAATATTTTCTAAAACAAAGATTTTTGTTACAAAACATAATTATGTACTCTAATTTCATCAATCAAATTAATTTTTTTAATTAAAGCATCTTACATCTTAAAAAATCATTAAAATGAGAAATCAATAAGGTTTTGAGCACTGCTTTGTGTATATTGCAATTATTTCATAATTTTGTCTTTCTTTATCAAGAGATAACTTTTAATACTTTTACTTCAGTAAAAAATAAATAAAACGTTAAGACATATACCTGACATAAAATATGAATGATTCCAGTGAAACCATGATGGGCTGCAACATGAAGAGGAGTAGCATTCTTGTGCATTTTAAACTTGTGATTAGGATTAACGCCATTTGCTAAAATAAAAATTATATTTGTATCACATGTAGGCATAAATTTATTATACAAATTAGACATGATTAAATACTTTCAGTTATATGCTCTCAGAGGCTATTTTTTCTTAATAATTTCACTCTATTATGTTACAGTTTTTATTATTAATTCTTTAACTGATTTCATGTTATGCTGGACACCAAATTTTGAACCATATTATTTTTCTGTAACCTATAAGTTACATAAAATAAAGTACCGGGAAGAGTATGAAATACATTTTATTTACATATTTGTAAAATCACAAAGAGCAATTAATACTGTTACACAACCCCATTTCTTTCTCCCTCTCTCTCTTTTTTTTGGGGGGGGGAGGGAAGATGAAAATGAGTCAGACTCAGCAACTGCCTATTAATAGCAAGCTGGATATCTGTTACAGTTCTCTAAAAAACATGACATTTTGCTTTAATGAAGTTTAGAAAAAGTTTCAAGATTAACATCTGATAATGCGTTGGCAAAAGAAGATACTTACTTCTTTTGCTTCTTTGGAACTGTTCTATAACGTAATTCCATAGAGGAAAAAAATGCGTTTAATAATAAATTTCAGCATGTTTGTAAATAGCACAACTTTTCAGTGGTTTCCAAAGAAATTATAAATAAAAGAGAATCAAATGTGGTTTTTCAGGGCAGTAGAAGCAAAAATTTATACTGAAAAGTTTCTGTATTGCTTTTGAAACAACATATAAATTTTTATTTCCTACAATGTTCTATCAAGCACTGCCAACTGAAGTGATGATTATTTCTGAACAATTTTATTTTGGGGTGAAATCATATGCAGTTAAGAGCCAATTAACATAGTTTTGGTATTTAGTTATAGAAGTAAACTTCTGAATGCAATTAACGTCTGACATAAGGCACATCTTAAATGTGTGATATATGCTTTTTTAGCTTGTTAAATAATATCAATAAAATGTATTGTGAGTAAAATTTTTCTTCATATGTTTGCTGCCACTAGCATACAAAATACTAGTTGCTCCTGTAACAATTAAGGAATATTTCATACTCTAAAGAATGGTTTTGATAATGCTACTAATAAAATCTCGAACACTTTGAGGGTATAATTTTTTTACTTCTGTTATGTATTTGGACAAGATAACAATGCTATTTAACAGTTAAATATTAATATGATTACTATGCTATTAAAATGGAGTGACCTGTATTACATAAGCCTGGAGTTTAAACTGATAATAGCTGCAATTTGTTTTTCAAGAAAGATTATTAGTTTCCTCAGTTATTGATTCATTTTCTGTGTTTATGAGTTCAAGGATTACTGCAGCCTAGTATATGAATGTTTTAGTGTCATAGTGGAAGAGGGAGATAGGAAGTTGCTCCTGATAATAAACATACATAAAGAAAAAGTTAAAAATAAAAAGTTAAACAGTACCTCAATATTAATAATGCAGAATAGTAAGACACAGCAATACATATTTATTGGAAATGAGATTTAATATTAAAAGCTAAGCTAAAAAGGTTTAAAATGTTTCACGACAAAAAATATGACTGAATAATTTTATAAACAATGGAAAGATTAATGCATTTTTTAATCCTGCTCTATCTTCCTTGTATGAAATAAAGGAAGTATTGTAATCACAAAAAATTTCCAGTATCATATTTCAGTGAAAATATCTATTTTGACAGCACTTGAATGCATTTGAACAATGTTTTGCCAATGTTTTGTATATACAGACAGAATAAAGGACACTTTCCCCCCAAAATGGATTGTAAAATAAATTCAGAAGAGATTTTGTCTTGATGTCTGCGCCTTGCATAATTCAAAAACACATAGTCTCAGAATGTTGAAATTTTGTATATGTGACTGCTATAACATAAACCTTCCTTTTTAGTTGCAATTGGCCGCATTAAATACATATATATATATATACCCTCTCTGTTACCTTGCTTGGTGAACTCGGTTTTTTGTTCTGATATGTTAGTAAATTGTGCATTTTTTGTTTTAAATTGAATTATGTTGTTTTTATGATTAGGTTAAGGTTTTTATGTCTTTAATTATGTATTGTAGAATTATCAACAATTTAAAAGTAGTGCAGCTAACCCTAATAAATATGCTATTTGTTTAAATTTGAAGCCTCTTGCTACAACAGTGAATTCAGTTTCTGCACCTTCAGTGTCTTTTCGCTGAGTGGGACTCAGTTTTGTGCACCAAAAAATCTGCCTTCTTTCTTGCCTGATGGCTAGATTGTTTATTTTTGCGTAGACACTCTTAATTTTAATCGTAAAAATTGTTTTTTTAAACTGTATTTGGTATTTTATGTTTTGATGCACTTTAAAATTTTTACGTTTTTATGTATTTTTGCCTTGCCGCGACGTGAGAATTGAATTAATTGAATGAGAAATATAGCTCTAATGAATTTTGGGGAAATAAGTTTAAATGAAATGCAGCACCCTCAAAAAGTATAATTTGATAAGTCATGTGGTGTCCACATCAGATTTTTAAACTTAATCATTAAATATATTTTTTAAAAAATAAACACTGTTATAAAATCCTTTATTAAAATAAAAGGTAAAAGTTCAAGACTCACCTATAAGATGTACTACTTTTTTCACATCTCCTGTTTTAATAGGATTATACAGACATTTTCCTTTTGGCCTCAGGTGCAAGGATTTATCATTGGCTAAAGCATCAATCATCGTTTGAAGATCATGACTTTCAGGTACAAAGGGCATTTTCTCTGAAATGTTTTAATTATTAACACAGAAATTAAAACAAAAATTTATATAAACCATAAATAAGAATGAGGTGGATATAAATAAATTCAATAAAAGTTTTCTTATTTACTACCTTCTGTCAGTGGTAATAACGTGCATTAAAAAGTAATTAAAAATTACAATTTAATACTTAACTCATTTGCTATGCATATTGTTGTGGGCAATGGGCAACTGGTTCAATGATCTCTCTCTGAATGATTATTTTGAATACATGAACAGTTTATTATAAAATAGAATTAACAATTAAAGGAAGGGAGAAATTAACAGTTTATTATAAAATATTAATTACAAACAGCAAATAAATAACAATAAACAGCTTAAGGAGAACAAAGATATTAACAATCCTCCTTTGTTTGCGAGAATCCTCAGTACTGTTGACATGCTTTACAGGCCAACAAACTTTTTTACTGGCATTCTGTGCCGTCATCACTTTAACTGCAAGTATTGGAGCACTTTTGGACTCTCTGATTATCTGCCCAAACCACTTGCAAAGTAGTCAATCACTGATGACTAATTTTTTGTTAGGAAAAACTGCAGCCATTTTACAAAAAAGCGATGCACTGAAAATTGCTATATAAAACAGCAACAAATTAATGAATCTAAAAACAAAACAAGCAATTAAAATGAAAATTACCTAAAACAGCAACAAATTAATTAAAAAACCACAAGAAACATCCATAATAAAATGTCCCCCTGGGCTCTTCTCCCATGTACACACTCTGACATGTCTTAACTTAAAAAATTAATAAATAAATAAAATACTAATAAAAAAAAGCAGAGTATTGCACAAATTTGGAAAAAAGCTACTAAAATAATCACCTCAGAACAGCTCATAAACTGCTTTTGAGCTGCAAGATTTCTATAATAATGTTATATAAGAAATAAATAAAAGCTTTTACTTTAAATGAAAATGAAACTAACCAATATTTACATTTTTACAGCCAGTGGCTACTAATTAGCTATTTTTAATTTAGTTAATTTGTCACTGTTTTATACAATTTTTAGTGTTTGATTATGATTTTCTTTTATGCATGCAACATTTACTTTTTAATTAGCAGTGCAACATCTTACGCTATTCTATCGACCACCAGGAAGTTCTGAGAAAAAGAATGACCACCTCGAAAGTTCCCACGGAAAGAGTATTTCTTTCATGAATTCTTGGAAAGATGAAGTGACTAGCAGTCACAAAGCAATCTCAAGTTTTTGCTCCTCTTATAGTTGTTTGAAGGGAGATACTGTTCCGTTCACTTTCATCTGTTTATAGGTGCATTGTCTCAGACCACCTGGTTGGAGTCCCCAGTTGGAACCGAAAAGTTCTCATGGAATTTTTCCCAGGCTGTCTTCATCATATTCAGTTTTTAATCAAGTTTAATCAAGGTGCTCTCACCAATCAAGAGGCGCTTCTAAAAATTACAGACAAACGAGGATTCTAGAATTTTTCCGACATGCGCAGGACAACTTGAACATAAACATGGAACACAGTTCCAGAGAGGGAGGAGAGCTCACTCTCCTCGAGTGAGAGTAAGTTGCAGTAAGTAGAAAGAGAAACCTTCTCTCATTTCTTCCCAGCTCGGCAAAGAGTAAATTTTTGTTTTGTTCTGCGTAGAGCTATATTAGTATATTTGCGAAGAGATTTAGTACGAGGTAGCCGGGTTCGCCGCTACCTTATGGGAGAACATCCTGCTCAGAACCAGTTCAGACCGGCAACCACCAGCCACGGGAGTCTACTAATTCTAAGTGGAACTGTGCAAGAACTTTTCCAAACATCTTGAACAACTCCCAAACAGAACTGTTGTGATTTTGAATCAATTCTAAACTGAAACTTTATCTACATCATTGGCTTGTTATATATTTTCCCCTCCCGCTACTGTGAGAACAATATTTTATATGTTTATTTATTCATTATTTATTATTAATATTATTATTTTTGCATATAGCCTAGAACCCAAATAAATTTATTTACGCTACCTCTTGCCTTTCAAATTTGTCACAGCAAACAAACTTCACAGTGGCATTACTACTTTATACATGGGGAAGAGGTACATACTAATCACAAGCAGCAACTACGAAGATGAGCGTCTAATTTCAAAAGCCAAATTCCATGATAGTCTCAGTAACAATGATCTGAAACAATATGGCAACAATTTGTGGGCTACAAAATAAAATTTCTTTTGTAAAATTTTGGATTGCCTAATTTAGCAACATAGTGTGTTTGTTGCCTGTGGCAATTCTTCTCACATTGGGTAGATAATCACAGAATACAGTTTTTCTCACTGAAGTTTTAAAATTTAAATACAATGTAAAAAATAATCTAAAAAAGTATGTACGAGTGACATTGCTTAAGTTTTAGTTACACTCCATTAAAAAACATATAAAAGTACCAGTAACTACCAGTACCATACTTACCAGTACCTATTTTTTGAGAAACGGAATCTGCACTTTTCATCAAAATATTATAATCTTCCAAATCACTGGTTAAATTTTTAATATCAGAAGACCTAACAAAAACAGATAAAAAACCAATACCTTTAGTCATTAACATTAACTGATATTAGAACAATAAAAAAATTGCAAAAAATTAGCAACTTTTAACTAGAACCATTTAACATGCAGAAAACCAGATTAAAATGTAAGCATATAATTTATTTTAATAAAGACAGACGGAAACAACGACTGCAGCCTTTTAAAGTTATGTGAAAGGATAAAAACTCGTTAAGTCACTCAACATTCTATTTATTATTGAAGTTGAAATTAATAAAAGAATAATTAAGCATTGTGCCATATGTATAAAATATTTTGTAAATATAAAACATAATCATCAAAATGGGCAGACAAATGAATTTATGAAGTATTAAATTAAGATTGGGATTTCCTTTGGTAATTCAGTTACAAATGAACAATTCTTGAAATTTATAATAAGGTATTAAAACTATCATATAAATTAAGGAATATTTTCCAATACATTTCTGAAGTACTAAATAAAATTTGCAAAATTATTTGCACTGTTGGGGATCTCTAAGAATGGAAACAGGAAATATATGTTCATCTTAAATAAATGAAAGCATAAATAAATCACAAGGTCTGTAAACTTATAACAAATGTATAACTTATAACAAATATAGCTTAAAACTGTTTATTTTACAGAAATACATTTAGTTTTCTCACTATAAAACACAACGGCAATTAATATTTTAATTTAAATTCTAATGTTTGTTCACAGTAGAAAAGTTTAAATAAATCATGTTTGAAATGGAAAAAATTATGGTTCATTTAAGTATGGCAAAGCACTTGAGGACTTTATCTGCCTAAGGGCAGGGATGTCTTCATTAGAAACTTTCTAAGGAAACTAACTCATATACCCATTACACAAGGAGAAAACCATAAAACATGCATACAGCCAGCTTGTTTGCCATGATTCGAACCCCGGATTAAACTACCAGTGTTCAGCGTCTATCGCTAGGCCACTAGTGTGCCCTGGGAAAAATTATACTATATATGATTTCTGTGGGGGAAGAATTCCCTCCTTTTTTTTTAGAAATGTATTTTAAAAACATTAGTTACAGTTATTGTTTTCACTACTACTCTTTTTACTTCCACGCTACCACACATCACTTGAACTATATGCACAAAAAGGAAAAAAAAAAAAAAAAAGTTGTCATGCTCATTTCCTAAAATTAGAAATCCTGACAACCTTCTGTTTGCCTTGATATGCAAAGATGGCAAGATGCTTTTCAGATTCAATTCTTCATATGGCTTTTGCCTTACAGTAATTCATCTATCAGATCCAAATGTATTAAATTTTCACTCATATGTAAATATGACATTATTCCAATATTATAAACCTTTTAATGTCATTGAAGAAGAATTTCCTTTTTGTTGATCATTGTATCCACGTATCCTAATGACTCTTCTAGCAGTTGTAGGGTTAATATTCACTGTAAGCCATTCTTCTAACTCAACTACAAGTTTTACAGCACTAGTTTTTGGATTTTGTTTGATTTTTGGTAGGATAAATCTTTGATTCCTTTGTGTTAACTTGGAATGCAGATTCAGTGCATTTTGAACAGTTCTATACAATTTCCATCATTTTAATACACCAAAGATAGTTGAACGCTTTGTATTAAGGATTTTTTTAATACTTTTATCTTTTTTAAAATCATGAATAGCTATATTTCGAACAATACTTGCAGTTACTTGTAGCTTCTTGCCATGTTCATTTCAGATAGAGAACTGTTCATATATTTTACTAAGCAAGTAATAATTTCTAAATGCAGACAATTCTTGTGATGTATTTTTATTAAAAAAAATATGACAAGAAACATAATTTTCTAAAACATTTTGACAAAACTTTTGAGTGTCCAAATTATATAGTAGGAAAAAATTTGGAGTCTATGTTTCAATATTTAGAACAAGAACTAAGCAAATTTAAAAAATACAGGTGTCCAAACACAAATGTGAGCCACTGTAATTTTATTAAATGTACATTTCGTTACTGCACAGAAATTCCATATTAAAATAGTTCTGTAGAAAACACTTTCAAATAACAAAATGTGCATAAGGTTATGATGATTTTATACAGATGTTTGAATATTTTGTAATTAAAACAAAAATACAATAATGGAAGTTACTTACAATTCACAGTTTTTGCTGTCTTGTACTCCAGAATGAGTCATCAAGAATAAATTAATAGTTTTAAATATAGAATATTTACAACAATGTGGACATCTTGGGGGTAAACCAGGGACAGGAAGAAGAAAACAACCTTGGTGAAACAAATGAGGCTGATCATCAGTTTTTCCAGTGTCATCAGAAGAACATAACATGAATGACCCCTGAAAAGATATTTCAGTGTTAAAAAATAATAAATAAAAATTCAACACGATGTCTTTAACTAAAACAATACATGCTTATATATAGCAGCGCAAATTTAGTTTAGCCCAGTTTATTAATATAGTTAACTATATTAATAAACTGAAGGGAAAATGGAAAGGACACTAACATACTAAATGCTAGATAAAAATATGATGAAAAATAATGTAAAAAGAAAGTAAACACTTAACAAGAGGCTTTGTTAGATTTAACAACACACATTAGGACTCTGCCAAAGAGAAGATATGTCTTCATGGAGGACTTTCTATCAGGGTTGCCACTCAAACAAGAGAATGAAATTCCCAGACTTTTCCAGGTGTGTTTTAAGAAAATTCCAGTCTATCTGAGTAATGCACGTTGGCTGTGCTAAGAGGTAAATTAATTACGGTATTACTTGAGAACACAAAAATTTGCCAATTACATATGACTTACATATAAAATGTATTTTCTCATACATTATTTGTGTTGTGTGGCCGGGGCAACAGGAATGAGACAAATTTTGGAATATAAAATGATACGTTTATTTCAGCATCCATCTCACAAGCGCTCCTCCTGTACCTCGAGGAGAGGCCCTATTTATAGATAAGTGTGCATCATGATGCTCATCCAATCGGCGACATTAACTGAAATCACAAGGTGACGCTATCTTCTCATCAGTTTTCTTAACGACTTTATGTAATATGACAGATTTATGAATCTGGCGATTTGGCGGGCGCCAACAGGTTAATATAATTTATAATAAAGAAAGTATTTCGCCAAAATTTAGGAACAGGGATGCAATTTAGGTAGAGAATTGCCAACACATTATTAAAAAATATGATTAGAATTTAATTTAATTGATTAAAAAATATCATTACATACATATAAATATAATCCCCAAATTACTATTTTAACTATAACAGGAATTGTTTTCTCCACTGATGATTGAAATTAGAATCTGCCCAATCTGAATTAAAAAATGTCTTTTTTTGCAGACATTTTGCAGCTAAACAAAAGAAAGAAAGATATTTAATTATATTTTTTAAACAAATTCAGGTAATTAAGACACATGTATTTTATATTTATTCAGCAGCATACATATGCAAAAAATATGTGCATTAAATTTCGTGATGGCATGTCATCATACTGCTAGAATTAATTTCAGGATTTTGGCAGAGAAAATTTCCTGAAACTTGAAAGTATTATTTACTAATATAATAAATAAATTTAGAGAGAAGAAGTAGCATTAAATGATGCGAATAACAAAAATAAAGATAATTACTTAAAAATTGAATTAGAATAATCAACGATATTTTAGAGAATATCGTTGACCAAAAAAAGACATTTAATGGTTAGCCTAGATGACTGATTACTATTATTTTATTTTACTGCAAAATGAAAAATAAGGCATTTATTAAAAAAAAAAAAAAAAAAAAAAAAAAAAAAAAAAAGGTTTAAAAGATTTTGTGGTAAAATCCTAGTATATGATAAGGCCTTGGTACCATTTTGAAAATTGTTGCTACCAAAATGATCCATCCGTTTACTGCTCATCATAATGTGTCGCCATATCCCGTGTATACCGTACATGGAGGTTAGAATAGAATACATGGAGGTTATTCTAATCAAAGAACGTCTATGTAAAGAAGGAGAGGTTCCACAGAGATAATGCTATTACGCCGCTAAAAAGTGGAGGGAAACTTCGCCAATGTATTTGGTGACGGAACCTGGTGGCCAAAATTTCCCTCTGTGCGATATGTGCAGGAACACATGTTAAGAAGAAACATTCTTTGACAAAATGTTTCTTCTTTGATTTTTCGCAATAATTTAAACATGGATTATCATAGTTTTTTTTTCTCAAAATAACTAATCCATTAATTAATTTACTTGCACGAAAACATATTTTCTTTTGCTTTAAAGAAATTTTAAACGAAATTCATTCTATGAACTCTTGATATCGTGACCTTCGAACTTGACACCTGCTTCGAGCTTTCGCAACAGATATTTCACGCATGCGCAGCTGTTTCCCTCTATGTTGGAACGGAGCCACTCCTGTTGCAGAGAAGTCTTCCTTCTTAACGATACATATTCTTTGACTCTAACTTTCATAGTACTGTACACTAGGATTAAACCGATTTTGTTTCATACGAGAATAAGTATTTTGCTTAGTTCAACATGCACTGCACATGCGATTCTCGAGGTTACTGGAAACTTGCTTTGCTTTTCTATAAGACAATCTAATTAGAGGTGCAAAAATCGGCTCTATGCCAGCTGTCCAATGATGCTCACGCGATGCACAATTCGGCAAGAAAGTGATCGCTTCCAACGTCGCCGCAAAACTCGCTTTTTTGGGGGGATCGGTGTATGAAATTCCCAGACTTTTCCAGATTTTGACTAAAATATTTTAATTCCCTGACCTTTTCCCTGAATTTTTTTAGTCAATTTTCAAATTCCTGGACTTTTTCCAATTTTCCAGGTAGCGTGGCAACCCTGTTCTATGAAAAACTGATTCTTATTCATATTACACATGATGAAAATTCAAAAGACTCCCATGCAGTTAGCTTGTTTACTGAAAATCGAATCTGGATTGAACTACTGGTGTTCAGTGGTCTTAACCACTTGGTTTCCTAAGAAGGAATGAAGGACTAGTAATAGTAAATTGCATTAAAATAAATAAATTAATAAAAATGTACAACCTGGTAAAGGATTATAAAAAGAAAAAGCAATTGAGGGGGGATGGGTATTAATTTCAGTTTTTTTAAAGCAAAACTGCAAAAAATTCCCATCTAAGGAAGATACACTTCTTATAACCAGAGTGAACAAGAAAATTAGAAAATTTATGTATTAAGAATGATACAATTAAGAATAAAATTTGGAGCAGTTTATAGTAAAAACCTATGCTTAAGATTTTCATCCATTTCATTTAAATGCTGTTTAAATAATTCAAATTAACTCTTGTCACAATTTCACTTTACATGCCAAATTTAAGACAGGCAGTTAAACTTTAGGAATTTATAAACAAAAGTTCAGACAGTTAGCAGCCAAAATAATTCTGATCATGACAATGTTGAAAACAGAATGCTGAAAATGCCAACTAAGGTAGGAAAGTCATTTAAGTTTGTCAAAAAATAAAAAGTTAACAGATGTGAAATCTTGTGGTGTAATAATAAATAGGACTTTCACTAAGAATTTAATCTTTTAAAAATGAATGGCAAAAGGACAGTAAAACTGGAACAACTAAAATACATGCTTCGTTAATAAAATTTACTCCATGGGAAACAGATACACTTTTTTCTATTGGTAATGATTTTATTGCCAAAAAAATGAATTGCCCAAATCAATTTTAGGCAACCTGTATTTTTAAAAAACTAAATCGAACAAAAAATACCAGAAATGAATTTTTTGTACATATAACTTAGTATCATAAAATATCAAAAATTTTAGTTATTATGTAAAACACAAATAGGATGCGACAGCATTGATAGAAAAGTCATGCACATCAGAGGAAGATTGTATACAGTACAAGACACTTTATTTCCTTAGATCGAACTAATACAACATGAAACTGTTTTTCCACCACATGCTCAAAATTGGAAAATTGTTAAGCAATGCAATATGGATGCTCACTTTACCATACTTCAAGCCACTTCCCGGAGCACCTGCACATTGATTCTGTTAATCGCCATCGTAATATTTCTTTTTAGGTCCTGAAATATGTATAGATTATTTGCAGAAATCTTTCCTTTATGACTCGATAGAAAATATTCTGAAAATGACAAATTGGGTGAATCTACAATCCTTATGGAGACATAATTCTTTTGAAATGATACAGTCATAACCAATCTTAGTGGGGAGCCAAGATGGAGCACAGAATGTGGGCAGCCAAATTTAAGGGCGATAAAATGATTATCAACTAATGTAGGGGAAAAAAAAAAAAGACCTGAGCTAAATGTAGCAAAAGCTTTGAGTAAACAACAGCCTAACTCCTAACTTGCCTGCTCGCACACTGTAGGTCTAACCACCCACTACTGTGATATCATCAGATGGTGCTGCTGTTATGATGGGAAAAAACAATGGACTTGGCAAAAAATTTCAGGATATAATACCTGGTTTGTTGCATTATCACTGCATAGCTCACCGTTTAGCTTTAGCTGTTTCCCAAGCTGCTGATGGAATATCCCTGTTTCAAAGCTACCAGAGAATTTTAGGTTCATTGTATGCTTATTTTCACACGTCCAATATTAGGATTGAAAAGCTGAAATTGATGCAAGATGTGTTAAATGAGTCAAACATAAATCTCAAAGACATAAATGCTGTTTGGTGGTTGTCACTTGGGAATGCAGTTGATGCATGTCGCATCAGTTATGATGCTGTGATCCTTGCCCAGAGAGACATAAATGCAAAGAGAAAAACTACGGACAAGGGCTCAGGACTACTTAAACAATGCTAACAATTTTTATTTGCAGCCCCCTTGTCATTTTTGAGAGATGTGTTACTGATTATGAAAAAAGTCAGTAGAATTTTTCAGAGCAATGATGTGAACTTCTCCGTGTTGGTTAACAGTCTAGAATCAACTATTAATCACACGCAAGAAATGAAAAAGGAGGAAGGTCATGGCACTCATCTAAAGGAATTCTTAGAGTCTGCTCTTAATAATGGGTATTATCGAGCTGTGTTTCTACTAAATCTTGAAATGATTTCATGAGTGCTAAAAATGCTTTTTTGAGTGCACTGATAGAGAATCTGCAAGAAAGATTTAATTTGCAGCAGATGTATTTTTTGCAGGATTTTGATGTTTTGCTGAATTCCTCTTGTGTTACAATAGAATCATCAAGATTGGACTCCCTAGATAATGTTATTAAACATTATTATAGGGCAGATTCTATATCGTTTTTTGGGTGTTTCAGCAGAAGAGTTAAAGCAAGAGCAACTTGAAGGAGAGTGTTTTTACGCCCGCTACAGAGAATTCAAATTTAAACAGTTTGCCAATTTGTTGTTCTCATCAAGTTTAAATGGTGAACTCTTATATCCAAGATTTACAGCCCTGGCACAAATAGCTATATCTTTGTCAACGGCTGTTTGTGAAAGAGGATTTTCTACTCAAAATAGGATCAAATCAAATCGGAGAAATAGATTGGGGGAAAAACAACTGGAAATTCTAACGGGAATATCTGAGCAAGGTCCAGATTTCAAAGAACAAAGCGGAAATGATTTTTTTGTGATTTTAGCACAATAGATAGAGAACAATATTTTTTTTTTTTTTTTTTTTTTTTTTTTGTTGGATAAGAAATGATGGAGAGCAATTATCAAAAGAATGATTGCTATTATGCAATTTTTGGTTTGTCAGAACTCAGCTTTTAAAAATGCAGTAGTTCAGTACTAAAGAGGGGAGGGGACAATGGGAACTTTTTAAAGAGTGGTGGAATGATAGCTGAATTTTATCCTATTTTATTTTAACACATAAATAACATCTAAAAATCTAAGGATAAAAATTCCTGCTTGCCCCATTATTTAGGTAAACATTTTCAAAATGAAATTATTACACTTTTTTTTTTGCATTCTCTATTATTAGGCAAACTGCAATGCTTTCTTTTTCATTAGCTGGCAAACTCCACAGTTGCATTACGATTCTTTACAAAGGAAAAAAAAAAAATGTATTTAGTGCAACAAACACAAACACTAACCATCGTCCTATAAAAAACAAAAACACTTACAACTGGAGCTTATTTACCGGACACATGCATATATTTTGGAGATACCGTAAAGCTGCCTATTTTGGTTACATAGCATGTTGCTTCATGAATACTTTTCGGGAAGGTAGGCATGGATAATCAGAAATACTGAAACAGCAATCACATGTAAATGTAAAGTTATGTATGAAAAAAAAAAAGTTAATTTTTCCAATGAATACAGATTTAGAACACACTCCAAATACAACCTTTGCATTACATACGATTCACAGAATTATACACTTTTAGTGCAACGATATAAAAATTCTATATCAGTAAGTACAATATAAAGATGTAGAAAAAATGTTATACATAACATTACATAAATGTTGAAAGGTTGCTTTAAGGAACTATACCTTGGGAAGATTATCATTTTGGAACTTTAAACTTATATAACCTGATGAATGATAAAAATTTTACTTATTTTGAATGACAGTAACACAAAGAGACATAATGAAGAAATTTTAATACGGAAATCAATTGAATGTTCATAAATATGACACATAATGAAGTAGCTCAAATGTTAAAAAGCAACCTGAACAATATCTTTTCACTTTCATATTTGAAAAGTGAAAATGCTTTAATATAAAAATGCCTCCTATTTATATACCTGTGTGCAAAATACTCCACACTTTGGACAACAGTGATGCCTCTGTAAACGCCATAAATGAATGTCGCAAAAAGCTCTGTGCCGAATCTCTGATGATGGAGTCAGTAAATATTGCTTTGACACTTTATTTGAGCACGGAATAATCTGTAATATGAAACATAAACTAAATTATAAAAGACATACTTCTCTTCATAATTTTGAACAGACAATTATAAATAATACTTATAAAAATGTCTGCTAATTTTTTCCATTATTTTTTATTATGCAGTCAAAACATCAAAAGCAAATTACAAAAATTAAAACATTTATGTTATACTAACATTGTCATCAACTGTATCTTCTCCTTCGCATACCTCCTGCAAGTTTCCATCGGTACAAATGCATGGCTTTTCTTTCTCAGAGCAGCAACATACAGGATGAGATATCATTAATTCCTAAAGAAACAACATATTACAAAAATATTATTTTAATACCTTTCAATATACATGAATATAACAATTCACAAGGAAGTTTGAATTTCTAAAATATAACTATTACAATCCATGTGTTCAATGTATAAATACTAGGAAAATTAGAAAATGCCATACATGATTCAACACTGCACTAACATAATGTCAAGTTGAATATTTGGATTTAAATCAGATTTGCTCAATATTTTTTTCAGTCTCTACAAATAAAAAACATGCTATCCTAGAATTGAAATACATTATGAAGGGAGATAAAATGTGCATTGAAGAACGTAAGTATGAAGTAAATTTAAATATACTTTACATCAGTGTTTCTCATCTGGAGTTGCCAATATCTTAGAACTCTGATAGAAATTCTGTGTTCTTTGAATAACAGTTTAAAACACTGCTCACATGTAAATGCATGGTTGATGTAAGAATGTAATGTTTATACAAGAATCCTCTGAGATATGAACAGAGGCTTACACAATATATCATCACTAAAAAAATACTGCCATCAATTAATTCATGAAATTTAGGAGACAGCTGAAAACTTTACTAGTTACTATAATAAAAAATAGAGTGAAACCTTGGTTTAGAAATTTAATTTGCTTTTGAAGGCAGTTCGTAAACCAGAATACTCATAAGCCAAAACAATTTTCCTCACAGGCTTTAATGTAAAATGGGTTAATTCATTATTCTTAAACCACAGATAAATGCTTATTTAAACTTTACAATGGTATTTTTTGCACAAGTTCATTATCCAAGACCACTGGAAATCATTAAATATAACACAGAAAAGTTAACACAATACCAAACATATAAAATAAATGAAAACTTGCTTTAATTTTGCTGCATGTGTACGAAGGAAAGGGGTTACATAAGTAAAAAATTATGAGACACATTATTGTTTGTATACTAATCATTCATAAAAATATAAGAAAATTGTCTTTTTTGTGCATATTAGAATAGACAAATTCTTTCTTCTGAAGACATTTTTACCACAACTGTCTTGGTAAGCTCATTTTTAAGGTCCTGTAACAACTTTCCATGTGGCCATTGTTAAGTTCCTAAAATGTGGTTTCAGTCTGACATAATATTGGGTTGTCTGAAATGTCAGGACACATTTTTTTTTTTTTAAACTTTTTTCAAAGGGCCTTTATTTATATAAAGAAAAATGCTCAGTCAATAGTATATGGTCTTGTGCTATCAAGGATGGAATGCAGTTCCTATATGATTAATGAGCTCTTCAAGTTTCTGGAAGTTGGATTTGTTGAAACTGTCCGGTTGGTGATAGTACACATTCAAACTTATTTTTGTTGGCTCTTCAAAGGACCTTGGATACAAAAGTTTTATCACTGAAAAAAATTACTGGAATTTGGATAAAGTGTTGCCATGCATATCATACTCAAACTTTCACTTGTCTTATTCTCTTAATTCAGGTGATAATTCTTAATTAATTCAGGTGAAGCCATAAATCAGCAACTTTTGGCCAATAAAGCTAGGTTCTTTTGTGAATTAAGAATCCACGAAGCTCATTAAAAGAAAGTAAAATGTTAATTAAACAAAACGGGCAATATATGGGCTGATCATTATTTTTTTATATATTATGAGATCTTTGAAGAACATAGAAAAAATGCTTCATGACTTTTCAGACAACCCAGTATCAAAGACAACAAAAAATGTTTTAACTATCACAGAGCTCTAAGTCTTTGTCTGCAACTTGGTTGTAGTGATGGACATCATAAAATTACCAACACGGTGATAAACATTCCATTCTAGTTGTGCCCTTATAAAGGAACTGAGGACTCGCAATACCCCACTTCTTCATACCAATGTGAAAAGTCACTGTAACTCTTGCACAAAAACTGTAAAAGATTCTGTATTGAAAATCATATGCATTCTGAAATATCTAACTATTCATATTGTATGTTAGACATATGCTAATGTATTTAATAAAATCATTTCATGTGCAACTTCTATTGGATTACTCAAAGGCAGACTATAATGATTCACAATGCTATTGAGAATACAAGAAGGGAGAACTGTTCCTTTTCCTTACTTCCTTAATCTACTGTATAAATATTTATAAAAAAAGATTATCAGACTGAGGGAAAATCATAGTCTTTAAACAACAAAACTGCTAAAACTAGCTTGTAATTTCATATATAAACCAAAATTAAACTTACAACGATATAAAAAATGCTGCCTTCAAATCAAATGCAAACAGTAAAACTGAATTCCAGCAACTATTCAGAATGGAAATTCAAAATGCAAATGCTACTAGGTGAGGTTCTTTATGATGTACCTCCAAGCCCTATCACAGAACAATGGAATAAACTCGATCAGTAATGTCGCACACAGCTAAATTTATTTATTCAGGATAGCCAGATGGTTCATATTAAATATAAAACTACAGCTAAAGCCGTTGGGGGAAAACACAGACAGGTCCACGAAAAGTCTTAACCTCTCAATTAAATTATTTCTCTTACGGAAGTTTTACAGTCTAAAGTTAGAAGAAGATGGTGATAAAAAAACTCGTAAAAATATTCTACCAGAGTTAGTCGATGAGTTTTAAGCAACATGTGAGAACATAAAAGATAATTACACTTTAGTGCTTTTGCTTTGTTTCTTAAAGACAAAGTGTTTGTGCCTCTATTTCCCCAGGATTTCAGCATGTGAAGCAGAAGATAATTGAAATGCTTGAATCATTAACAAAGGATACTCTATTTCAAGTGTGGCAGGAACTGGAATACTGCATAGATATTTGCTGTGTCACTAGAGGAGCACACACTAAACATGCACAGAATACATTTAACTATAGTTTCATAATAAATTTGATTTATCAAAATTAAGTAATTACAACATTCACAGGTATGCCTTTTTTGGTCTCATTCAATACGAAACACCCTGCATAATTCAACTTGAAGAAAAATAAATAAAAATTAATACAATTATGCATACATTAGTTATAATCCTAAATGTTCTGATGAAAAAATTTGAATAGTTTATATATTTTATGCAAAAATCTCTAAAGAAAGTTATAAAATTTTATCCTGAAATACAGATCCAATACATGGAACTTAACAAAAACAAAATCAAGAATGTTGTTACTACAAATACAGGTTTTAACCCTTTGATGGGCGGTGTCATAAAAAAGGTCGGATGCCAAACGTCACCATCTTTTTTATAAGTTTTTATCTCCCAGATGGAAGCTGCAAAATTACATTTAAAATACATACAATTATGCCTTTTAGTTCTCTAAATGTATAACATATGGCAGCACTAGTATTCATTCATGGAAGAAATGTAAAATAAAAATTCTTTGCAGGTCTAATTTTGAAGAAGTTTTTTTTTTCTTTAATTTTTAATGCAATTTAAATCGTCTGAACAACAATTTTTGGTGTTAGAATGAATATTTTTAAGTGAAAGTTTCCTTTTCTAATAAAAATTATTATTCGAATTCATATATACTAATTAAGAATGGTTAAAATTAAAAGGTGGGACCAAATACGTCCCATCGTGCATGTAGGAATTGCTGCTATTAGGAATGGCAGCACCATTCAAATATTTTAAAATTCAAATAACATGTTTGTTTTATATGTTGAAAATTCAAATTTATATTTTTTAATAAATTGCAATAATGTTAAAACTTGGAAAATATTTAATATTTTTTCCAAAAGAAATGAAAATATAACTCTGTAACATGAAATGTCATTAAATACTGAATGGATATGTGACAGTGATCCACCGTAGAAAAATATCCTAAGCAGAGGAAAGAGAGGTGAAATGTAAATAAACATGACGGCCTTCTAAATGTCTTCTCTTTCAAACTTGTAGCAAATAAAGTACTGGAGTGAAAATCTTTTTTGTTTCAAATCTATTATGAAATCATTAAAAAAAAATCTAAAAAGTCGTACAGAGAACGATTTTTTTTTAAATTATGGAATTTTTTGGAAAAAAAATTATTTTGCGAATATGATCAACATTGAGAATATGATTCAAAAACATTTTTTATATCTTGCATTTTCGGTTGGTTGCTAAAACTAGCACTTTAGATAAGCATGTTACGAGAGTTTATGCGGAAACAAAGATGCTATTTTACTGCTCTAGATGCACGGTGGGACAAGCATTATCTCACCCCGTCATGAATTACCTTAAAGGTTTACCTGTTTTTTTTTTTTTTTTTTCCTGCTTGCATGAAATAACATTGTACTAGGGGCTAATTATCTATGTGTAACATTTTTTATGCACTAAATCTCAAAGGATGAAGTGGCAATTTAGAAAACATCATGAAGATCAGGAAACTGATCCTGAAACTAAATATCATTATCTCTTACACTCTAGAGATGACTGTGAAGTTAAATATCTGCTTGTTACGTCAGTTTTCTGCCAAAAAACTTTCTCAGTAAAGTTAGAAAAAACAAACAATAAAGGCAGTAACTTTAGTGTGTAATCACCACACAAATCTATGATTTCTGCCAATGTTTTGGTAGTTTTTCAAAGCCTTCGGCCAAGAAACTTGGTAGCCGGAAATCCAAAAACTGATCAACCTCATTTTGGACATCCTGCACAAAATGGAAGATAGCACCAGCAAAATGTAGCAGCAAGTGTGAAAAAAGAGAAATCGGAAGGAACGATGTCGGGGGGAAGGGGGGTATATAGTGGGCATGGCTAAAGATCCCATTCGAGTCCATACAGAGTTCAGGCGGTGAATGCAGATACAGGTGGTCTTGAATTATCTGTGTAAAACATTACCTTTTTGCACCTGAACTCAGTTCAACATTTTTTCTTGATAGCAGCGTCAACACAGACTAGATTTTGCTGTACACCTTATTGTCGATGGTTTTACCTTTTTCCAGATACATATTGTGGATAATACCATGGCAATTCCACTAGATACAAAGTATGATCTTTTCATTAGTCAAACCACACTTTGTGACAGTGTCGACAGGCTCACTAGGTGCAGACTAACCCCCTTTTTTGCCTGTGTTGTTGAAATTCACTTTTCATCACAAGTCACGATCTGGACTATAAATTTAACCTTGTGTTGATATTCGAGCAGATTAATGCAGGCCCGAACACGTCTGTCCTTGTCTGCTTGAGTTCACTCATGCCGCATCCAACACTTGAACGTCAAGCCTATGCGATGCATGCCTGACCAATGGTGCTCTTGAGTGGTTGCATGCTAATCTTCTTCCACAAGTTCTTATAGGTGGGCCTCATCAACACCAGTAGGCTGGCCAGAGCACTCTGCTTCTTGAATATCATAGTTCTTGTTTTAAACTTTCAGTACCAAACATTCACAACGTCATATGATGCAATATTAGTACCTAAAGCTGTATACATAATTTAGTGACATTCTGTAGCTGCCTTTTTGCAACAAAACTGGAAGTAAATGATGGTTCTAATACGGGAGCGTGATATGGAAATTTTGTGGCAATTGCTTAGAAAATATTTAATAAAAGAACCATTTGAATCACGAAAACAAGCAAAAAGAACACATACGCAAATGACGACGTTACTTGTTAAAAACTGAAGAACTGAATGCACATAACTGCCAGAGTTTGGTGATTCAGAAAATTTGGTAATTTGCTTCAGATAATTATGCTAATACATAAGTACGAAAAAATATTCAACTTTTACATAATGGTTCTTAAATAATTAGTACAAGTAAGATTTGTAATTTTAAAACAATAAATATTTTACCTTTACTGGAGAGCAAATTCTAGTATTTCAGACACCTTGCAATTAATGATAACACTATTTTTTTTACAAATTTCACAACACAGTGCTCTAAAGCAAGTGTCTTTCTTTCAAAATGCAAAAATCGTTAGATAAAATACGAGGGGTGATCCAAAAAAAAAGTTTACAAGGCAAATGAAAAAGTATTTATTAACAATAGAAACAAGATACAAATGGGAATCAAGAGGCACATCTGGCCTTCACTTTTCCACACAGTCGCCAAACCTGTTTAGGCATTTGTCAGAACGTTCGACCAACTTGTTTGTCCCGTCTTGGTAGTAATCAGGGCCCTGCTCATTGAGCCATTTCTCGGCAGCTGTTTTCACTGCATCGTCTTAGGTGAACCGTGTTCCGGATAAGTATCGCTTCAACACCGGAAAAATGAAATAGTCACTTGGATCCAATTCGGGGCTGTATGGGGGGGGTGATTCCAGACCTCCCACTTGAACCTTTGCAGCAATTCCTGAGTCTGGCGAGCTGTATGGGGCCTGGCATTGTCATGTAGAAGAATGACTCCTTTGCTCAGTAATCCAGGCCGTTTGCATTGGATGGTTTTACGCAATTTCGTTAAGGTGGAACAATAACGATCGGCCTTAATGGTATGGCCACACTCCAAATACTCGATTAGGATAACACCAGTCGTATCGCAGAAACGGTTGCCATCACTTTACTGGCAGAGGGTGTGACTTTAAACTTCTTCGTCGTCGGTGATCCAGCGTGTTTCCACTTCATCGTGGCTCTTTTGGATGTGGGGGTGAAGTGATGAAGCCATGTTTCATCACCGGTAACGATGCGATCAATGAAGCGTTGGCCGTCTGAATGGTATCGCTGAAGAAATGTGAGGCTGCATATAATTCGAGTGGCCTTATGCTCTGCGGACAACGCACTTGCAACCCAGCAGGCACAAACTTTGGAATATCGCAACTCATCGGTTACGATACGCTGAACGTTACCATAACTCAGGTCCAACTCTCACGTATGGTTACTCATCGATCCCTTTGGATGATTTCTTCAACACGTGCTGTGTTGATATCCGTCCTTGAAGAACTTGGACGGCCGCTCGCTTTCATATTGCGATTTTCCACATGCTCCCTGCCCGCTTGATAAGAACAACACCATTTCGCTACCTGTTGTCTACTCATTGCTTTGTCCCCGTATACCTCAATGGTTTGTCTGTGAATTTTGGATGTGGCCACATTCTTGGCCCATAAGAATCGAATAACGGCTCGCACCTCTATGCGAGACCACTTTTCTAGACGTCGTGCCATTACTGTCCCTCTTAAGTATTGGCGTACTGACGCTATTTACTCGTAGAACCGCTGTAGGACAACTAGCGCCATATTTCAACCACCCTGGGTGGAAATATTCGCTCCATAATTATTACGTTTCAAATGCTTCTGTTTGAAATCTTTTTTTTTTTTGGATCAACCTACATAAGATTAAACACACCAATGCAAACTGTTTGCATAGACAAAATTTGCAGTGGCGGGAAACTTTCGTTAAAACTCAATATAATTACATTTTTGATGAATGAAACAAGACACCAGAAGCACTTAAGTACTCAACTGTATGGGAATTACAAAATCTGAATAATTCAAATTTTCTAATTGATAGCAGGAGTATAAATATTTTAGCAGGTAGTTTTCTGCCACTTCTCAGAAGTAATGAACACGATGGAAGATTTTAGCAGCTACAGAATTGTATATATAGTACAACTACAAATATTATGATGAATATTTTTATCAATGTAAATAAAATTACATATTGACAGCCTACAGAGACACAGTATAGGAAGCAGGAAAATACTACTAAGTACAGGAAGAATATAAATATGAAATATATTTAAAGAAACTTTAGATACTTTTACTTTTAGTATTCACATTTTGTATTTTTTCTATAAATACACAGAATATACTCAATAAATATGCAGAATTGATAAATTTTTATAGAAAGAAGAGTAAATTATGTAAAAATGTATGTATGAAATATATTTAAATATAGTTACTTCTATTCTATATGTAACTACAAGTTTTAACAGCACAATTTGAGTTCCACATCAATTTTTCAATAAATATGCTGAATTTATCAGAAAAGTATGTATAAAATAAGAGATTTCAATAAAATGGAAAATTAAGCCTTCCAGAAAATGTGTTATGGCTTAAGTTATGTAAAAAACTACATTCTTCTAAATTGCTGTTAAATTTTTCAATCACCAGCAGTTGAAAGAAAACTAATTATTTTTAAATACAGTTCCAGCAATAAAAAAAATAAGGTACCTTAGCACAACTATCTTGGCACAGTTTGGCAGATTTTTACAGAAAAAAAGGAAGGGTGACACATAATTCCAAAAACATTTCAATGACGAACTTAACTTGAAAATCAAATTAATAGCCTACTTACAAGTGGGTTTCTGCTTCTTTCATTCTGATGGAAATTTTGTGGCAATCCCTTAGAAAATATTTAATAAAAGAACCATTTGAATCTAGAAAACAAGCAGAAAGAACACATACGCAAACGACGATGTTACTTGTTCAAAACTGAAGAACTGAATGCACATAACTGCCAGAGTTTGGTGATTCAGAAAATCTGGTAAATTGTTTCAGATAATTATGCTAATGCATAAGTATGAAAAAAATATTCAACTTTTACATAATGGTTCTTAAATAATTAGTACAAGTAAGATTTGTAATTTTAAAACAATAAATATTTTACCTTTACTGGAGAGCAAATTCTAGTATTCCTCACATCTTCATCAGACATTTCAGACAAATTAGATGATTCTAAGAAAAAATTTACAGTTTTTAAAAATTTTATGGCTAACTTTTCAAAAAGAAATAAGTAACACATTTAACTGCAAAAAATAAACCAAAATATTAGTTACTAATGCACATATTTATAAAATATCAGCAATACAGTTTTGAATTATAAACTAAGAAAATATATTACACTTATGCAATTTTTTTAATTGAATTTAGAAAATTTTTATACACCAGAAAATTAACTAAATATGACTTTCCTTAGATTTTGAATTTTTAAAAAAGTCATATTCTCAATCTGGCAGAACTAAAAAAATCTGAAGTGTACACCATATGACTTTCTTGTATGGAATATTAAATTATATGCATTTTTTGCTGCATTTCACTTAATCTTATTTTCTCGAATTTCATTAGAGATATAGTTCTCATTCAATTGTATTCAGTTTTCACTTCATGGAAAGGCTAAAATACATAAAACCTCAAAATATCTTTTATCAAAACTTAAAATATAAAACACCAAATATAGTTTTTTTTTTTTTTTTTTTTTTTTTTTTTTGAGTTTCTACACAAAAACAAGCTATTCGGACAGCAAGTAAGACGGCAGATTTTCCGACAAACAAAACTGAAAATTTACTTTTGGTTCCACTTGGCAAAAACACACTGAAGATGCAGAAGCTGACTTAATTCACTATTCTGCTAAGTTTCAAATGCAAATAAATATAGCAGCTAAGGTAAAAAAAATTAGGCTTAGCTACACTTAGACAACTTTTAAATTGTTGATAATTCTACAACTATTGCATGCAGATTAACTAAAGGAATAAAAATTTTAACCGGAAGACAAGAACAACATAATTCAATATTTTTTTTTTTTTTTACAATTACCAACATATAAGAATAAAAGAAAAAAAAAGGGAGCCTCCTGCAGCCGAGTAACAGAGTGAGTATATATATTATATTCATATACTTTTGGTGTGGGCGACTGCAACCAAAAAGGGAGGCGCAAAACGACATGTTATAGCAGTCCTATATACAAAATTCAACATTCTGAGGCTACTCGTTTTTGAGTCATGAGAGATACATACATACTGTAATGTATTTTGCAGTAATTTACAAAACAGACAATCTTCTTAGTAGAACATAAATTTTATTTCTAGTTCTCGGTGATAGACAAATTTTATACAATTCCTTAGTGGCAAAATTTTAATACTACTCCTAGCTGGCAAAATCTTCAGGATACAAAATCTTTTTAAAACAATATCTCTTGTTACTGAGTAACGGTTTGATACAAATATGGCGTTGCCACTTCAACAATAATTATATTTATTTATTAAATAACAAGATATTACAACCTCTCCCCCCTCCAGATAAACTTTAATTTATATTTTTATAAATTAAAGTTTATTTATTTATTTTTTTTCAAAACAACAATATCAGCACAATACAGAATTGAAATACAAGATATAACGTAATAACATACACTGAGGAAAAGAGGAAGGAACAAAATATTTTTTATCTATATAGAGAAACAATTTATTTAATCAGGCCAGGAAGTACGACTTAATGCGTCAACATTTTTGTGGTTTTTACCCCTTCGATGAACGATCGTGTAATTGTAGGGTTGTAGTACCAGTGCCCATCTCATAAGTCGTGGATTTAGACTCACATTATTTTTGAGCCAAACTAAGGGATTATGATCGGTCATGATGAGGAATTTAGTATGCCCGTCTAAATAACATTGAAGTTTCTTTACAGCAAATATTATGGCGGCGCATTCCTTTTCTGTGGTACAGTACACAGACAGACAGATTCCTTTCTGTGGTACAGTTCGTTCAGTTTCTGTAAACTTCTTACTGAGGTATAATACTGGATGTTCATTGTCTCGTTCATCTTTTTGAGCTAAAATGACACCCATACCAGAGTTTGACGCATCAGTTTGCAAAATAAACTCCTTATTGAAATCAGGTGCATGTAGTATAGGCCTTTGAGACAGTTTCTCCTTTAGCTCTTCAAATGCTTTTGTGCACTCTTCTGTCCAATTTATTTTCCCTTTCTTTAAGTTTCCTTTCAAAGTTTCTGTTAAAGGTGCTGCGATAGATGAGAAAATGGGAATGTAATGATTATAATATCCCATTAATCCTAAAAATGCTCTGACTTGACTTTTTGTGGATGGCACTGGAAAATCAAAAATAGCTTTTACTTTCACTTCACTTGGCATTCTTATACCACGACCTACAATATGTCCTAGATATTTTACTCTATCTTGAGCAAATTTACATTTTATTGGTGTAATAGTTAAACCAGTGTCCTTTATTTTGGACAAAACAGCTTTCAGGTGACTAAGTTGTTCTTCCCAGGTGTTTGAAAAGATTGCCACGTGATCTAAATATGGAGGAACAGCAAAGTGTTCACAACCGTGAAGGATTTGGGCCATCATTTTACTAAATGAAAATGGTGCATTTTTAAGTCCGAAAAGCATCCGTAGAGGTCTAAATGTGCCAAAACTTGTAACAAAGTGGCTAATCTTTGAGCATTAGGTGTTAAAGGTATTTGCCAGTATCCCTTTGTTAAATCCAAAAGAGTTATATATTTTGCGCCTGCTACCGTTTCTACTCGTTGTTGATGTTAGGCAAGGGGAAGAATTGTGTTTTAGTCAATTTACTATAGTCGATATAAGGTCTTGGATCCCTCCCTGCTACTTCTACTAAAATCATAGGAGAAGTGTAATCTGAATCTCCTATTTCAATTATTTTATGCTGAAGCATTTTACCGATTTCTGTTTTTAATATATCCGTTTGTCTAGGAGACATTCTGTATGGTTTACAGTGGACTGCGGTGTTTTCTGTCAATTGAATATCATGCGTTATTAAATGAGTTTTTCCAGGTTTATTAGAAAAGATTTTTGAAAACTTCAGCAGCATATCATGCAATTCTTGAATCTGTTGTTCATTTAGCTTATCACTTAAGGAGCTGTTTTCTTTGATGTCCTCAAAATCGAACAATGTTGGTTCAGAGTCAATTGTTGGGAAATTTTCCTCCATATCATCAATTTCAGACTGATCTTCTGTAATCATAAGGTTAACCGATTCTGCTCGTCTATGATAGGGTTTTAGCATGTTAACATGGTAGACTTGGTTAAAGTCATTTTTTTCTTCGAAACTCACAACATAATTAGTTTCGGATAATTTCTTCTCAACCTTCCCAGGACCTTTCCATTCAACTGCTAGTCTGTTTGGTTTATTCGTTGATACTAACTAATACTAAATCCCCTTCAGAGAATTCTTTTTTTATAGCTTTACGATCGTACCACACCTTTCTTTTGGTTTGCATTTCCAGCATTTTATCTGTAGCCAGCTCATTGCATCTTTTTAACAGATTTATCAATTGAAAAACGTATTCAACAACATTATTTCCTTCGTCTTCAGGATTCATCCATTGTTCATATAATAATGTTACAGGTGTTCTAAGATTTCAACCATATACTAATTCTGCAGGTGTAAATCCCATACTCTCGTGCGTTATTGTTCTTAAAGCAAATAGAGCTGCGGGAACTTGCTTCTCCCACTCAGGGGCTGCTTCGATACATAAACTTTTAAAATTCGTTTGATTGTTCGGTGAAATCTTTCAACAGGGTTGCTCTGCGGATGTGTACTGAGCTTCTAGTTACTTTTATTCCAAATTTTTCTACAAATTCTATGGCTAGATTGCTCATAAAGGAGGTACCTTGATCAGTTTGTATTCTTTTCGGGAAACCCATTCTACTAAATATTTTTAACATGGCTTCAATTACTGACGTTGTGCCAATATTAGGAACAGGTACAGCATCCGGATATTTTGAAGCTAAACAAATAGCTGTAATTAAATATCTATTGCCATTCGGTGTTATTGGTAAAGGACCGCATGCGTCAAAGTTAATTTTTGGAAATACTTCTGCAATAATTGGTACTAAAGTCAAAGGTGCTTTGGCTTTATCATTAGATTTTCCCACTCTTTGACATGGATCGCAAGTTTTAACATACTCTTCTATTTCTTTATAGCAATTAGGCCAGTAAAAGTATCTTGTTAATCTATCTTTAGTTTTCACGACGCCTAAATGTCCAGATGTGCTATCATGACATAATGACTTTATTTGATCCCTATATTTTTCAGGAATAACAATTGATTCCCTTTCATTTCCATTTTTATCTATTTTCCTTTTCACCAACAATCCATTTTTTCTTTTACTTTGAAATCATTTGTCTTGCTGGAATTTTCATTTTTAGCTTCGTTAAGCAATGGGGCGTTAGATCTCTGCTTTGATGCTTGAGATTCAATTAATTCCTTTGAATTAACATTAATTCACTTTCTTAAGTTTCCTTGTCTTCCGCATCAGCTTGAGGTAAAAATATCTTCGTCAGTTTCAATAAACGTTTAGTTCTTCTAGTTTCTCCATTTCAATTTCTCTGCTTCGATCATCTTCATAAGATCTTTTTACTTGAGATCGTGTCAAAACTGCATTTATTTTTTTCTAAATTTAAGAATGATTTACTTTTGAACAATTGAGCAGTTTTGTTACCCAATACATATCTGCCTAGATCATTTGTAACAACAGCTGCCTTTGTCTTTATATGACCTCATCTGTAACAACAGCTGCCTTTGTCTTTATATGACCAAGTTCGCAATTAATTTCAACTTCCGCTAACGGTAGACACACTAAATGGTCATTTAAAAGATAACATCAACAGTGGCTCCTGTGTCTCGAAGAATAGGCATTTCATGCCCATTAACTAATATTGTATATGTCTATAACAAAGCATTATTCGAAGATACGCAATTTATCTTTTCATTTGGTTTTAAGCGAGGACACTGAGGCTTAAAATGTTCGTATGACCCACACTCGAAACAACGTGGTCGATACCTTTTGTCATATAAATTTTCTTGGTTCTTGTTTTGAAATTGACTTCTTTGTCGGTGATCTTTCTGGTATTTTGAATCGTCCCATTTATCAGAATGCTCAAAATGAGGCGGATGCTCTATTTTTTTTGCAA